TCTTTTTTCCTCCCCTTGTACAAATTTGCCCTCCTGACCACCTTCCATCCCTACCTGCCTCCCTTCTCTTCTCTCCTTCAATTTGTTCTTCCCTCTTTAATTTCCTTTGATTGTCAGTTGTCAGATTGTCAGATTCCTTTCACGTTCTTCACCATTCATTTCTAGGTCTTTTAAGATGCTCGTTCGTATCTGCCTTTCCCCATGCTCGTTCTCTCGCTTACACATTTCCCTGCCAATCCAGATATTAACGAATGCTCATCTAATCCTTGTAACAATGGAGGAAATTGTCATGATCAAGTCAGTGGATATGTGTGTGATTGTCTTGCGGGATATACCGGCGAACACTGCGACACAGGTAATGCTTTGTGGAGGTCTTGCACTCTTTCTTAGTGTGGGATCACGCGGAGAACACCCCTCACTCCAACACGGTCAAGGAAATGGAATGGCTCTAAACGAGTCCAATGTGTTCTGCAAACATGACACCATGTCCCTTACAATGGTGATTATTAAACCCTTTGGAGCTTTTTTCCCTGGATGCGTATATTATACAATGCGAAATACTTGGATGGGTTCTAGCCCTTGGTGCCCCTTTTGCAGGCGTGGCATGTTCGTTTCACCCTTATGGAGAACAAATTATTTTGTATCCACAAATGAATGAATGTGCCTCGCTTCCATGTTACATTTGCCACACTCTCTTTCTTTCTCCGTCTCGCCATTATATACCTACCTGAGATACATCTTTCCGCTCTTCCTTCCCCGAGAACCGTGCCTGTCAACCTTCTTCAATACCTAGATCAAATCTCTTCTATTTCCTTTCTTGTCTTCCCTCTTTCTCATCTTTCTTCACCGCTTCTCTCTTCTGTATTGCCCTTCCTTTCCCCATCTGTTGACTGCCTTCTACATTTCTGTCCAGATATCAACGAGTGCTCGTCCAATCCTTGCAACAATGGAGGAAGTTGTCATGATCAAGTCAGTGGATATGTGTGTGATTGTCTTGCGGGATATACCGGTGAACACTGTGACACAGGTAAGTCCTAGAAAAATGTTTTATCCCATACTGTACCGGCTAGTCTGGAGATAATGATGCTTAAACCGATTCATAGCTCATTTGAATGGAACTTTGTAGGGCAACCATATGTTGCACAGGCCACTAAATATTTCTTGCAATAGATGATCGCTGGGAATTCTTTGTCAACTGCACTCCACGCAAGCCGCATACATTCAATTTCTGGGACTTCAGTACTGCACAAGTATAAATGTAACCTATATGCCCTGGATAGTTACATGACTGTGTTGATGGAGGAAAGCTAATTCCAGCCGGCATTGTGCAACATCTTGGTCTTAACTTAAAACAGTAATATCTCGAAAGGTCTCCACAAGTACTCTTCTTGTAATGTGGAATACCTGTATATCATTAATTCACGTCTTCAAGCAAACGTTATGAATATTACCAAGTGTACAATGAAAACCAGAGTGTGCAGCTCGGATGGGTTGCTGTCACTGCGGAATTCCGGGATTACATTATTTTAGTGATGCAGTGCGTACAAGCAGGATTCAAGCAGGTCTCTTTCTGCACAACTGCAGCTCACTTGAATGCACTACGCCATTTCCCACCTCAGATCTGCGACGATTTGATGTAATCACTGAATTCCGTCGTGACAGACACCAATAGTAGGAAAAGCCCCAAGCTGCACACTCTGGTTTTCATGTACTCTTGATATCACTATCTTCTGACAAGGTGTGTCATGACCATAATAAATATTATTCAAAACTCTCCCCCCCCCCCCCCTCATCTCTTTCCTGCATTGCAGATCTCGACGAATGCTCGTCCAATCCATGCCAGAATGGTGCCACTTGTCGGGACCTACTAAATCAGCATGTTTGTGTCTGCAGACCAGGGTTCACGGGGAATTTTTGTCAGACAGGTTAGTATGAACTATTATTTAGATTAAGTTAATTTTGCTCCAGGAGACACGGAAAATAATTTTATTGAAACAAACGGAGAAGATAAATATGGTGGTAAAGACACACCTGGCAATATGGCGGTAAACACACGCCTGCCCACACACGCTCTCTAGGCTGCAAAGTTCTGGCACAGAGCTCTCCTTCTCACCACCACCACCATCAGTTTTCAACAATAAGTACAGCTGCAGTGGTGTCTTCAACTTCATTCTCCCGAGTCAACAAAAAACGGAGAAGAGACAATAATTTGATAGCCGCAATCAATAAGACAAGTTTTACATTGCACGAATAAAGTATACACAATTGTCGATTCAGCTTTTTGAATTTGAATTCACAAGAGACAGATTGAGAGTTTTGTTGCAACTCTGAATTTGAATTCTTCATTCTCACGAGCTTGTCTTATTTTTTGTGGTTATCAATTCATTATATTAGCACGCATTTAGTCAGGCATGCATCCTGCAATTTTGGCATCACTACATTGTCCTCCTTGTTCTGCACCAAACGTCTCTGGTGTGTTTTACCAACTTATCTTGTACTCGAAGTACAATTGTCATCATAATTGCTGTATTTCTGTGATCTCCTGCTCTTCAGATATCAATGAATGCAGTGCTGTGGTTTGTCAACATGGTGGTACTTGCCTGGATTTGGAGAATCAGTTCTCTTGTCAGTGTGCTCTTGGATACAGTGGACTGTACTGTGAACAAGGTAATCCCCATCTAAAAGTTGTGCACATATTTTGTGTTAACTTTTCAAAAATGAGGCCTAGACGCAAAATACATTATGTTGACTAAAACATTGCCAAAAAAAATAGAGATGAAGTTCGGACATTTAAAAACGTTTGAGCACTCATTGACATCTGCCTGAGCCAAGTACTCAATGGACCTAACAAACTGTTGTTCCACATAGACGTGGTCCCGTTATCCAGTGTAATTTGATAGGAGAATGGCATCAAGTACAGTCATGTTCTTCTGAAGAAGATTATATTGTCCTTGGAGACAGCCGGCAGGAGGTTGCTTTTCGATTTTCTCCTGTGTTCGCACTACCATGTTACATGATTGCATGTCTGCTGTTATCCATAGATATCAATGACTGTGCACCTTCACAATGCCAGAATGGAGGAGAGTGTGTGGATCATGTCAACGACTTCTCCTGTATCTGTCGGCCAGGATTCACAGGACCTCTCTGTGACCAAGGTGTGTTTTATTTTGATTATTTGCTCCTGCTGTTGTCGTAGTTGAGAACCCACATGCCCTTGCTGTTTGTCTTACGCAGAGCTCAATAACTTGTCAGTTCGAGCAGTTTGGCAGGGTAAATTTGGGCCTGGATAAGATCTGGCTATGCAAAAAGTAATTTTCAGTGCTATCATGTTCGTTTTCATAGTTTCTGTGCTGCACTGGTGGGTCCTCAAGGACAAAACATTTCTATCCTCAGATTGAGTTTTTATTCAGTTCAATCTTATAGCATACTTAGGCAATGCCAACCTGGGAATGATGAACCCATCAGACTTTCAGTTGGACAATTATTGCTTTGAGTTTTATTTTGCCACGAATGATTATATTAATCCTTCTGTCGCTGTACATGCATCTTCTCCCTTGTGCAATATACAATAGATGTGGATGAGTGTTCATCTAATCCATGTGAGAACAGTGCTACTTGTCAAAACCTACTCAACCAGTATGTGTGTGTCTGTAGACCAGGTTTCACCGGTACACTATGTCAGACAGGTTAGTACACTCTGAGCATGCAATGAGATGTGGACGTCTTCTTCAATACTAATGCTTTTAAAATCTCATTCACTGAAGTTTCCTGCACCATTATTTGGTGTCTGTGTTTGTTCACATTTCGGATGGACGTGTGTATGTGCTTGCACACACACACACATGCATGATTCTGTGTGCTTGTTCTCATTCAGACATTGATGATTGTCAGCGATCACCTTGTCACACTGATGCAACATGTTTGGATCATGTCAACAATTTCACCTGTGTTTGCCAGCCAGGATTTACTGGACAATTGTGTGACCAAGGTAAGTTAGGCGGGGTGATAATGGTCTGGTTCATGTATTTACTACATATCACATGTATTTGCAACTAAAACATCTGTTCCTACTTCTCCACTAACTTTTTTCATCTGTATAATATTATTATTTCCCTTCATACTCTCACTTCCTCCCTCAGTCGCATCATTCCATTTCTTTATCTGGACTTCTTTCTCTTCTACCATGTCTGCCCCCCCTCTCCATCTCTCCCTCTTGATTTGCCATTCTATGCATCCCTCATTCCATGTTTATCCATTACGTTCTCTCTCTCTCTCTTTTCATCTTCATCTTCATCTCTTTTTCACCTTCTTCATCTCTGCAGATATTGACGAATGCTCGTCCAATCCTTGTAACAATGGAGGAAGTTGTTATGATCAAGTCAGTGGATATGTGTGTGATTGTCTTGCCGGGTACACCGGCGAACACTGTGACACAGGTAAAAATTTTCATTGAACTCTGTAAGTTTCTGTGCGATAAGATTCGTTCCGAGGAAACTTCACCTTTACGAATAGTGTTGTATCATTGTGGAAAGGCACTGTGATGGCCAAGCATTGTGTGCAAGAGCCATTCCATGTTTCGTGCAATGGTAGTCATTGGACATTTGGGACAGGGTCATCTGGACCAGAATACTATGCCCTCCTGAAAGCTTAGCGAGACGTGTAAAATTCAGGGTATGCTACTCCTACATAGTTACTTGGCCTTACCCAGACTATACTATGATAGGCCAGCTCACTACAGATCCAGACATGTTAAACCCGTTGGGCCTTGTGAGTGAGTGTCGCCCAATGCATGGGCTACAGGATATCATTATGACTTTAAAGAATATATTAACTCTCTATTTCTATCTTTCGCTCTCTGTCTTCCTCCCCCCTCCTCCTCTCTCTCTCTCTCTCTCTCTCTCTCTCTCTCTCTCTCTCTCTCTCTCTCTCTCTCTCTCTGTTCTTATTCTATCATGTGTGTTCTGCCTTCAGACCTGGATGAATGCATGTCGAATCCATGTCAGAACGGAGCTTCATGTCGTGACTTGCTTAACCAACATGTGTGTATCTGCAGACCAGGGTTCACGGGTTCACTTTGTCAGACAGGTGGGTATGCACTTCATGATTGTCATACGGACAACATCTAGCGATAGACCCAATCATTTAAAAAATGGTGTTTCGCCCATGCATGCATTAATACACATAACCACAAATATTCTCTCTCTCACTCTCTCTCTCTCTCTCTCTCTCTCTCTCTCTCTCTCTCTCTCTCTCTTCTCTCTCTCTCTCTCTCTCTCTCTCTCTCTCTCTCTCTCTGGCATTGTGGTTGCACAGACACTGAGGTATCATGGTTTCTTACTTGTGCCTTCGTGTGCTTTGACTTGTAATTTCCATGGTTTTATCTGCATCCCAGTGTTTTTTTGCATTGTTTTTCCCCCATGCATTGTGCATTGTAGATGTTGATGAGTGTTCATCTAATCCATGTGAGAACAGTGCTACTTGTCAGAACCTACTTAACCAGTATGTGTGTGTCTGCAGACCAGGTTTCACTGGTACACTATGTCAGACAGGTTAGTACACTCTGATCATGCAATGAGATGTTGACGTCTTTCTTGAATACTAAAGCTTTTAAGTCTCATTCACTGAAGTTTCCTGCACCATGATTTGGTGTCTGTGTTTGCTCACGTTTTGGGATGGACGTGTGTGTGTGTGTGCTTGCACATGCACATACATGCTTCGGTGTGCTTGTTCTCATACAGACATTGATGATTGTCAGCTATCACCTTGTCACACTGATGCAACATGTTTGGATTCGTGTCAACAATTTCACCTGTGTTTGTCAGCCAGGTTTTACTGGAGAATTGTGTGACAAAGGTAAGTAGGGAGGGGTGATAATGGTTTTATTACCATGTCTGGGTGACTGTAATCTCAACTTGACTGGTTATAACTAGGTGTTGTCCCATGTGTCATGTACTAGTGTCTGCTTCACAAGTACCACATGCTACTGCTAATTGCATATTGAACTCGGAAATTTCTTTATGCTCCTCCACTAACTTTTGCATCTGTATAATTATTTCTCTCCAGATTCTCACTTCCTCCTTCATCCACATCACTCCCTATCTCCATCCGGACATCTTTCTGGTCTACCATATATGCCCCCCCCCTCCATCTCTCCCTCTTGCTTTTCCCTTCTATGCACATCCCTCATTCCATGTTTATCCAGTCTGTCCTCCTTCTTTATCATCTTCATCTTCATCTCTTTTTCACCTTCTTCATCTCTGCAGACATTAACGAATGCTCGTCCAATCCTTGTAACAATGGAGGAAGTTGTCATGATCAAGTCAGTAGATATGTGTGTGATTGTCTTGCGGGATATACCGGTGAACACTGCGACACAGGTAATACTTTTCTTTGAACTCTGTCAGTTCCAGTACGATAAGATTGGTTTCGAGGGAACTTCACTTTCACGAATAGTGTTGTATCATCGCAGAAAGGCACTGTGATGGCCACGCATTGTGTGCAAGAGCCATACGTGTTCCGTGCAATGGTAGTCATTGGAAGTTTTGGGGCAGTGTCATCTGGACTAGATTACTGGCCACTCTTAAATGCTTAGCCAGACGGGTAAATATAATTCAGGTTTTATCCCTACAGAAGGAGGTACTTGGCCGTTACTGACTATACTACGATCAGCCAACTCAGTACAAGAAACCAGACATTTTGAAACTGTCGGGCCTCGTGAGTGAGTGTCTCAAATTGCAGGGGGCTACAGGATATTATTGCTGACCTGAGGAATGAATTTACTCTCTATTTCTCTCTTTCACTCTCTGCCTCTCCCCTCTCCCCTCTCTCTTTTTCTATCATGTACGTTTTGCACCTCAGACCTGGACGAATGCTTATCTAATCCATGTCTGAACGGGAGCTTCATGTCGTGACTTGCTTAACCAACATGTGTGTATCTGCAGACCAGGGTTCACGGGTTCACTTTGTCAGACAGGTGGGCTTGCACTTCATGATTGTCATGCAGGCACCATTAGCAATAGAATCGCTCATTGAAAACATGGTGTCTCGGCCATGCATGCATTCATATATAAACCCAAAATATTCTCTCTCTCCTTCTCTCTCTCTCTCTTTATCTCTATCTCTCTATCTCTCTCTCTATCTCTATCTATCTATCTCTCTATCTCTCTCTCTCTCTCTCTCTCTCTCTCCTCTCTCTCTCTCTCTCTCTCTCTCTCTCTCTCTCTCTCTCTCTCTCTCTCTCTCTCTCTCTCTCTCTCTCTCTCTCTCTCTCTCTCTCTCTCTCTCTCTCTCTCTCTCTCTCTCTCTCTCTCTCTCTCTCTCTCTCTCTCTCTCTCTCTCTCTCTCTCTCTCTCTCTCTCTCTCTCTCTCTCTCTCTCTCTCTCTGGCATTGTGGTTGCACAAACAGGTATCTTGCTTTCTTACTTGGGTCTTTGTGTGCTTTGTCTTGTAATTTCTATGGTTTCATCTCCGTCGCATTGTTGTTGTTTTGCATTGGGGTTTTTTCCCTGTGCATTGCAGATGTGGATGAATGTTCAGCTAATCCATGTCTGAACAGTGCTACTTGTCAGAACCTACTCAACCAGTTCGTGTGTGTCTGTAGACCCGGTTTCACTGGTACACTATGTCAGACAGTTAGTACACTCTGAGCATGTAATGAGATGTGGACGTCTTCTTCAATACTAATGCTTTTAAAATCTCATTCACTGAAGATTCCTGCACCAGTATTTGTGTCTGTGTTTGTTCACATTTCGGATGGACGTGTGTATGTGTTTGCACACACACACACCCATGAATGATTCTGTGTACTTGTTCTCATTCAGACATTGATGATTGTCAGCGATCACCTTGTCACACTGATGCAACATGTTTGGATCGTGTCAACAATTTCACCTGTGTTTGTCAGCCAGGTTTTACTGGACAATTGTGTGACCAAGGTAAGTTAGGCAGGGTGATAATGGTCTGGTTCATGTATTTACTACATATCACATGTATTTACAACTCAACAATCTGTTCCTACTTCTCCAATAACTTTTTTCATCTGTATAATATTATTATTTCCCTTCATACTCTCACTTCCTCCCTCACTCGCATCACTCCATTTCTTTATCTGGACTTCTTTCTCTTCTACCATGTCTGCCCCCCCTCCATCTCTCCCTCCTGATTTACCCTTCTATGCACCCCTCATTCCATGTTTATCCATTACGTTCTCTCTCTCTCTCTTTTCATCTTCATCTTCATCTCTTTTTCACCTTCTTCATCTCTGCAGATATTAACGAATGCTCGTCCAATCCTTGTAACAATGGAGGAAGTTGTCATGATCAAGTCAGTGGATATGTGTGTGATTGTCTTGCGGGATACACCAGCGAACACTGCGACACAGGTAATACTTTTCTTTGAACTCTGTCAGTTTCTGAAAGATAAGATTCGTTTCAAGGGAACTTCACTTTTACGAATAGTGTTGTATCATCGTGGAATGGCACTGTGATGGCCACGCATTGTGTGCAAAGCCATACAATGTTTCGTGCAATGGAAGTCATTGGAAGTTTGGGACAGTGTCATCCGGACGAGAATACCAGCCACTCATGAATGCTTAGCCAGGCGGGTAAATGGAATTCAGGGAATGTCCCTACGTAGGTATTTGGCCTCTATTTGGACTATAAGGCCCAGAATCTGCGAAAACCAGGCTTAGGGTGAAAATCATTTTTTGAGAAAAATATGTTTTGTTAAAAGGTTGTGTCGCGTGGACGATCGAGTGCAGCGAAGTGGAACCAAAGAGAATCTCGATTGTTTGAAGAAGAAGCAGTCATGGCAGGAAGGGTTTCAGTAGTCAGGGAAGTCAACGGGCTTCCGGTAGAATATTCCCTGCTACTCCTCTAGTCACAATGAAGAGTTTTTGAGCTGATCGAACGGATTCCATCTCCTGCACACAGGGATGGCGAAATTTCTGCGCTAGCTGCTGCTTGCGGAAAATGGTGAAGAAATCGTCTCCAGTTAGAGTCGGGATGGCGATAGCGAGGAGAACCTGGACGACATCGATCCAGCCAATCGAAGTACGGAGATATTAGCTGTTTCTGGGCCTCACGCAAAGGGAACACGCGCAGCAGAGCTCATACGTTTGCAGCAAGTTCACGAGGAAAAAGGCTTGAAGCGCAGTGTGAAAACTGTTTTGAATTGAAGTCCTTGGCGATGAAGTGCTACTGTACTCTGTAGTACTGAATGCCAGGTGAATTAGCGAGCAGATCGAGAGGCTCCCATTCGAGACTTTCTCGCTGGACAGCTCCCTGCAAGGGATTGTACGACATGCCGATATTTCACTTGCTGGTCAGCACCAAGCAGATACTGCAGCACGCCAGCACACTATGCGCATACTATGAACAGTGGAACAGTTTGAAAGGCTGTGTTCTTGCTTGTTTATGAACAGTTGTACTAGATTCACCCTTCAAAAGGTGCCATCTCAACTAGAGTCGGGTTTCCTTGTGGTGTGTAGCGCCAGAGCATGCCAGTGCATGTATTCAGCCCCAGAATGTGCTGAGTGAGGAGCAAACAAAATAATTCGTGCAGAACTGTGCATTGCCACTACAGCCTGCACCAAGGGGCCACAACAAGCCTGCCCCCACATGTCTACCTTGTCATGTCACCAAAACAAAATCATCCATGTCTCTTCCTTCAGTCTGGTGGATCTCTCTTCATTTCTTTCCTGTGATAACAATTTTGTGTTTTTTTTTGGATTTTTTAACACAATACCCTGGTGTGTTTGAGATACTTTTAATACCATTATGAGTCGACACACACCTGTAATATTTTGTCTCCTGACCTCCCATGCCCAGTAGAAGCTGAAAGTGGGAAAAGTCATTTTGTGAAATTTCACCCTAAGCCTGGTTTTCGCAGATTCTGGGCCATTTTATATTAAACGATATGATCAGCCAGCTCAGTACAAGAACCAGAAATGTTGAACCTGTCGGGCCTTGTGAGTGAGTGTCGCAGATTGCATGGGGCTACAGGATATTTTAATATCCTGTAGCCCCATTGCCCCTACATGTGTGATTCTGAGAGATGCAGGGCCGTATGTGCCCTTGTCACACCACAAAACAACCTTTTTTTGAACACTCATGGTTCAGTGCCAATACCAGTATTTTTTCGATCAAAGTCAAAAATCCCCAGTATGCCGGTAGTTATCCAAGTTTTTCCGGTAGTATACAGGGAAAACCGGTATGGTTGGCAATAATAATATTATTATTGTTGGCAAACAGTTTCCTCTGAGACAAAAATGCGATAATACTCATAAAAAGGACATACTTCAGGCTCATTACAAACATCTTGAAAGTTTTTGTCTTCACAAGTATACTTTCAAGCCTTCTCGTCAGGTGAAATACAGGCAAGGGAAAAGGAACAGGAACAGTGGATTAAATACAGTAAGAAGGTGGTAAAACAGCGCAAAAAAAAGAAAGAAAGAAGATAGCTAAAGTAAACAGCGAAACTTGCAATAATGACACAAAGGTGCAAATGCGAGAAAACTCAATAAGCGCGACATGATTGTAGTGCGACAACAAGAGACAACCACTGGGCATACATGTAACTAAGGAGGTTTTGACGACCTACCTAACAGCCTAAGTGTGAATTTGATTTGTTTCAGCTTGCAAAGGTTGGGTTTCTTTGTGTGGATGTATACAGCTTCCAAAACATTCAGCAATCTAGCACTGTGTACACGTGACACAATCGAAAAACAATCATCTGAATACACAGCACGACAATCAGGATGCTCAAACAAATGACTAGCAATGGACGACTCATACTTATCAGAACTAACATCAGAACAATCAGCATGTGCGGTGGACACATCCAATTTCACATGGCTAGTCGAGTGGACCCTAGCTGTTGCCTCTGTCTGTACTTTAGTCGCTGCCATCGCCGCCGTTGCCGATCTTGTCATTCTTCTGGTTGATGCAGTTCCTGTCACTGCCACGCCAGTAGGTGTCTTGTCCGGTTGTTTTTCTGGGTGTCTAGTTAAAGATGTTTGTAATGAGCCTGAAGTGTGTCCTTTTTATGAGTATTATTGTTGGCCTGAAGAATTAATTAAATTGCTCTTTCTCTCCTTCGCTCTCTGTCTCCCCCTCTCTCTTATTCTATGATTATGTGTTTTGAACTTCAGACCTGGACGAATGCTCATCTAATCCATGTCAGAATGGAGCTTCATGTCGTGACTTGCTTAACCAACATGTGTGTATCTGCAGACCAGGTCACGGGTTCACTTTGTCAGACAGGTGGGCATGCACTTCATGATTGTCATGCGGGCAACTACTTGTAGCAATAGAATCACTCATTGAAAACATGATGTTTCGCCCATGCATGCATTACTACACATAACCCTAAATATTCTCTCTCTCTCCTTCTATCTCTCTCTCTCTCTCTCTCTCTCTCTCTCTCTCTCTCTCTCTCTCTCTCTCTCTCTCTCTCTCTCTCTCTCTCTCTCTCTCTCTCTCTCTCTCTCTCTCTCTCTGTCTCTCTCTCTCTCTCTCTCTCTCTCTCTCTCTCTCTCTCTCTCTCTCTCTCTCTCTCTCTCTCTCTCTCTCTCTCTCTCTCTCTCTCTCTCTCTCTCTCTCTCTCTCTCTCTCTCTCTCTCTCTCTCTCTCTCTCTCTCTCTCTCTCTCTCTCTCTCTCTCTCTCTCTCTCTCTCTCTCTCTCTCTCTCTCTCTGTCTCTCTCTCTCCTCTCTCTCTCTCTCTCTCTCTCTCTCTTCTCTCTCTCTCTCTCTCTCTCTCTCTCTCTCTCTCTCTCTCTCTCTCTCTCTCTCTCTCTCTGGCATTGTGGTTGCACAAACAGGTATCTTGCTTTCTTACTTGGGTCTTTGTGTGCTTTGCCTTGTATTTTCTATGATTTCATCTCCGTCGCATTGTTGTTGTTTTGCATTGCAGACTTGGATGAATGTTCATCAAATCCATGTGAGAACAGTGCTACTTGTCAGAACCTACTTAACCAGTATGTGTGTGTCTGCAGACCAGGTTTCACCGGTACACAATGTCAGACAGGTTAGTACAGTAGATGCCCAGCTTGTTCTTGGCTACCGGGAAAAATGCATCAACATAAATGCTCATTGCTAGCGATTCACTACATGCAATGCCATATATAAACATAATTGTACTACTCGAGTGCAATCAGTCTCTTGAATAGCGACCTCGGATGTAACACCTTCCAAAACAGCAGCACACTTTTCGGACAATTTGACTGCTTACTTTCAGCGTCACCAATGATGACAACGCAGGAAAACGACAACTCGTGGATAATGACACCTTTTCACGCACGACCAAGGGTCGTTCACATTTCTCATCGTTGACCGTGGAACCAACACTATTGGATAGCCTTGCATATCAACGGACTATTTGACTGATGTGTATCCTGCAAAATGCTTATCACCTTTGCACGAAGAAGACACGCCGGACAGACAAAAGTGATTTTATGAGGAATCTTGGTATTCTCGTGTGTCACATGTACTCCAGAAATTAATTTTAATAGTCAGGAAGAACGTGATTTTAGCTGTTTTTGTTCCAACGAGTACAGACAGAATGGCGTCACGCGTATTGCTTGCTTCTCTAGATATCGATGACTGTGCGTCATCGCAATGTCAGAATGCATCGCAATGTGTGGATCACATGAACGGATTCTCATGCATCTGCCAACCTGGATTCACAGGACCTCTCTGCGACCAAGGTGCGTTTTTCCCTTATAGTGTTTCAAGGCCAAATTAGAATTAAATTTCAGGATGAGCCCTTTTGAGCCCGGTATTTGAAAGACCTTCAAACAAGTGTTACCATGTAAAGTTTACCCACCGTCCGTAGAGGGCTCAATTTGCTGAAAGCAAAGAACGGAATACAGACATGTCTTAGTATGTTTCGGCAGTTGATCCTACAGGATTGTGTGCTAGAGTTATAGACTCTAGTGATGTTTTCCAATCACTAATTTGTTTCCAAATTTGGATACAAGTATCCTTGAGCTAATTACCTGTATTCCCATGAGTGGCTGTCGGCTCCTTCCGCTTCTTTGGTTGTTATCAGTTGATACTCATCTTTCCTACTTTGGGTGATTCGTGGATTATTTGGTATGTTTGCAGATACTTGGTCCGCGTCAGCGATATTGTCGCTTATCTTTCAACTTTGTTTATATGTCGCCAATGCTTACTTGGCAGCCCATTTCATCCAAATTTTGGTTAGCAAGTTAGTTTACTAGTACGTGAAAGGTCTAGCTAGAGTTCGAGTGGATTTCGAGAGCGACAGGTGAGTGATTCTGATTGATACAGCGCCGCATCAAAATAGATTATCTTTTTACGCTGTGCAGGCAAGAGCAGCGCAAGCCACAAGAAAGTAATCGGCTACTCGGAATCAGCTCCATTTTGCTGAACGGCCGAGATCGCTCACCTCAGGGATCGCTCATCAAGCTGAGATCGCAGCTCCCTTACCTCCAGCTCAACGCTCGGAGTATCCAGCGCGTCATTGAGATTTGCAAGTACTGTACGCGTCGTCGTCGTTCAAAATATAATCTTGCAAAGAACGGTGTCTGATTTGAACTACACAGGCTGTCGTGCTGCCCACGCGAAGTCCTATAGAGAAGGCGACCGTCACGATCGACTTCTCTTTAGAAAATAGCCAGGCAGCGGAGAGGAAGAGAGATGAGCTTGCAAAAGCAAGAGAGTCGATCCCGAGCAAAAATATTTGTCGCCAGCGCCGAGAGCAGAGACGAGGAGGACTGAAAAAAGTAGGAACCCTTCCTTGGACAATAAATTCCTCGCAGCTAGTTGTCATTCTATACCTTACCGTCCATCGTACCAAGTTTTATCACTTCAAGTGCGCGCGTTCATGTCCAAAGTCTAAGTTCAAATTGTAGAAAGATAAGCGACAATATTGCTGACGCGGACCAAGTACCCTAGCCAAGTCTTCTCTCCCGGTGCATTCTCCTCTGTCTCTGTTCTAGATGTGGATGAGTGTTCATCTAATCCATGTCAGAACAGTGCTACTTGTCAAAACCTACTCAACCAGTATGTGTGTGTCTGCAGACCAGGTTTCACTGGTACACTATGTCAGACAGGTTAGCATCATCTAGCATACGGTGATATAAGCAAAATAATTGAGTCAAGATAATCACTCTTTGAAATAGATGTTTACTCATTCATGCACATAACCATTAATATGCTGCTATTATTTCGAAAGGAGTGCCCACATTAACATACATAATTGTCATGCATAATTGTTGTGGTCCTTCCTTCATGTCAGATATCAATGAATGTAGTGGTGTGGTATGTCAACATGGTGGTACTTGCCTGGATCTGGAGAATCAGTTTTCATGTCATTGTGCTCTTGGATACAGTGGACTGTACTGTCAACAAGGTATACACCATGCCATCCTTCACTCACACGCACCCACTTTTGAATTTAACCCTTTCACCACTGTCGACGTATATATACGTCATGACGTGTGCAGCTGCCCCACTGACGACGTATATATACGTCCTCGGTGTACGTCGCGTTTGTACTGATGCCTCAACATCAGTGGGGCCTGGAACTGTTCCTCAGTGGGCTGAAGGATCTGATCGACGTGTACGCAGCGTATGTGGCCAGTCTGCACAGCAGAACAGCCGCGAGCGTCGAGTTTGAAGTGCGTATTTTGGCATATCGTTCAAATAAATTGTTTTGCTCAAAGTTCGTTTTCATCATCTTGCCCTGCTGTTTCTCGGCAAGGTAAGTAGCTCAACTACTCTGTGTCGATGGAAGGAGTCCTGTGAAGCAGTGTGAGGCGGGTAATGACTCTGAGGATGATTCTGTAGACAGCGAAATTGTGTCGGAGTCGTTTTCTGAGGATTACGAATTTGCTGCTATTCAAAAGATCGCAGCTGGCTCGGACGCAGGGGATGCTGGAGACCAAAGAGATTTGGAAAGCGATGCTGAAGTTTCTGACACCTAGGCATGGTGTTCTGAGCAGGAGCTATCTGTCGTGAGCCCATTTGCTGAAGTTCCTCAAGTAAACTGCGATCAAATTTGAAGGTCAGATTTTTGAAAATATTTGAATTTGAAATCAAGTGTACTGGTCAGACATGCATGCAGATCACAATAGAGATGTGCATACATGTAAGTATTGTATGTTGAACACAGAGCCAGGCACCTACAGGATGGTGATTGCTATCTAATATGAATCCAGAATAATCCAGAATAGTCAACAATTGTGCAATTTTGAACCACTATCAGAAATTGCACAGCCGATTGTTTCTTGAATTTTCATGCGTATGTACACCGGTACGCAGTATGCACTCGGCTGTTTAGGGAATGCTTCAGACTATTTTGGTAGCTGGATTGTCTTGCCAGTGAGTGTCCAAATCAGAGAATGAGCTGTATTGCATTCTCCATCAATATGACTTTACCTGTGCCGCGTACGTACGTACGTACGTACGCGTGCGGCCAGTGATGATTCACCCTGGGAGGCGCCGAGCACAGTAAGCCAACCGCTGCCACTGCACCGGCTGCTATTATAGCTGATGCAGTTGCTGGGGTTGCTACTCCAGTTACTCGGCATCCTCACTGTCCATCACATGGTTTTGTCTTGAAGTAGGTAGGGCTGCTGGAGGATTCAAGCTTTACGAGGCGCCCAAGAAAAAGAAAGACCCATTCTGGATCGCGCAGTCGCATATGATTCAAGCGCCGTAAAAAACGAGTTGCTGTACTCTAGTCTAGGTTGCCGTAGAACACCAGGATCATATCAAGCTTGTTATATAACATTTCTCCATTCTGAAGTCAACACAGACCAGTTATAGCACTGCTTGCCATTGCTTGTCTGATCTTTTGTCGTCAATTGCCTAAATTGAATGAATTTTGAGGAAAAATCGTCAAAAGTCGCATATCTAAATATGGTATTATGAGTCTCGTACAATGAAATCCTACAAAATTTCTTTGGATTCACAGTGCATATGTCCATACCCAACATCTCCAATCAATTTTGGACCAGAATATGCATTTTCAAAAATTGCCATTTTTGGCCCAGTGGGAGGTGATTTTCCGGTCAGGGCTGAAAGGGTTAAGGTGTTTGCTTTCTAGATTTAGATGCTGACTTTGCCAAAGCAACAGCGTCTTATGATAAGAGTATGAAATCTTAGCCAATGTATAGGGGTGAAACGAGTATCTATTTTGACCAATCGATCCCTCATTCAGAATATTCGATCGAGTATCCGATTATTTAGAGTATTTTATCAAAATTCAAAGGGGCTAGATTTGTGAGTTCTCGACCAATGCGGAAGAAATTATCTCTGTGGACATAGAACAAAAGTCGCCAACGTCTTGTACAGAGTGTAAATTAACGATTTTCATCAGTACTTTCATATCTCAGAACGTTAACTAACATTACTTGCCGTGGTGATCGCATCGTCCAAGTCATAAAATTAATACTAACTCAAAGGCATGCATACCAGTGGATGAGCGGTACAACCAAAGTTTTTGAAAAACAGAATTCCAATAAATGAACTAAAAAAACCCATCGAGTGCAAAATTTCGAATACTCGCTCGTTTGACATTTTCGAACGAATACTCGAATATTCAAACCAATCGTTTCACCCCTACCCATGTATGTAAACAACTTTCATGAAAATGTCCGGAGTGGAACTGTAATGAGCCGAGGTAGGGGAGTTTGAACTGGTTTCAAAAGATTAAATTTGAGGTACTTAAACTGCTCTACCCCAACATTCTCTGTGGCATCAATTTTGCCTATTTCTCTAGATATTGACGACTGCGCACCTTCTCAATGTCAGAATGGAGCGGAATGTGTGGATCATGTGAACAGCTTTTCCTGTATGTGTCAGCCTGGATTCACTGGGCCTCTCTGCGACCAAGGTATGTTGCTCTCCATGTAGCCCCGTGCTAAAACACATTCTGAACATCCTCGCATGTTGCTGAGTGATGCCAATGCGGCCAAGCATGTCATAATAATTATGTGCCCTTTGATGTCTCTTGGATCGGAATTGGTGAGAGCTGGAGATCCGCGTGACCCAACCTCAGCATCTGCAAGCCATGCAAAACCGGGCGATCCGATGCATTGATGGCAGCCCGCCATGTTCCGCGATGCAGCCCCTCCTGGCTGCCAACTCGATTTACCGCGTCACTGACCTTTTTAAACAAAAGCTCCTGATCTTCATCTGGCGGTGTCTAAATGACTCCACTAGCCTTGCTCTAGCCCAGCTTCTCAAACCAGCAGCATGCAGCGGCAGAAGTACGCGCCATCAGCATGCCAATGGTCTGCTCAGCCAGCCAGCTCGCAGTCGGTGTGGCCAAACCAGATTCGCCACCGCAGGAGCATTGCAGTGGAACAGTTTGCCTAGAGAGGTGCGCACCGTATCCAGATTGCAAGATTTTAAGCTAGCCTGCCTTCATTATGTATGCTTGGAATAGGTTGTGTTTCGTCAGGTTTTGACATGTTCCTTTTCTTCTCAGTATTCTCGCTCGCATAGTACTCCATTTCTATGATAATATTGCCTATGCTGTTGCTCATTAGGATTTTGGAAAATTCTATCCTTCGCTTTCATACAACTGGGCCAGGAACCCGTTTGAACTTGCAAAGTAAAATAAAATCAATCAATCATATTGAAATTAGCTTGTAGAAAATAATGGACACCTTCCACCTGCTCCGCTATCCTCTGGGCATTCTTCTTAGTGTACTTAGTCATGTGCTCGCCAAGTCCCATCAAGTCTTATTTACTGTCTTTCCTGCAGACTTGGATGAGTGTTCATCTAATCCATGTCAGAACGGAGCTTCATGTCAGAACCTACTTAACCAGTATGTGTGTGTCTGCAGACCAGGTTTCACCGGTATACTATGTCAGACAGGTTAGTACAGCACAACCGTGCAAAGCTGAACAATTTAATTTTGAGGTTAACACACTAGGGTGCTCAGATAACCGATCTTGCATGACAGGTGTGATGTTTGTGTAGAATTTCTTAGTGCCGGCTGAAGTGTGCGTACTTAGAAGGCAGAAAGCCACCCTGGATTTGTTGCTGCTCAGAATGTGATGCCTGTGGCAATCTTGCGCTGCCTGGAGATATATTGTCAGAATATAATGATTTGCAGCCTGCATTGTTCCTGTAGTTCATCACAAACTAAAAATCCCCCTTTCCTTTGTTCATGTTCTCAATAAATTACAGATCTGGATGAATGCATGTCCAATCCATGTCATAACGGAGCTTCTTGTCGGAACCTGCTCAACCATCATGTATGTGTCTGTAAGCCAGGCTTCACGGGAACCCTGTGCCAGACAGGTACGCATAATCATTATGTGCAAACAACTTGCCTCTTTGAACTGTTTGACGCACGAACACAAGAACAAGATCTAAAGAATTAGGAAATAAGAGGCCACATGCCTCGTACTGCTCTTTTCTCTCCGAAATCCAACGCTTGCAAACCATATACGAGCTAAAGACAGGCAATACGAGGCATGTGGCCTCGAATTTCCGAATACTTTGAAATTCTCCGTGAAGTCCAAATTTGAAATTGCAAGATCTAAAGAGGTACAGCATGGGTACTTGCTCTGAATGTTCTCCATAACATTCAGACTCTGATATTATACTTGCTGTTTCCCCCTAGATATCGATGATTGTGCGTCTTCTCAATGCCGAAATGGTTCGGCGTGTGTGGATCACGTGAACAACTTTTCTTGCATCTGTCAGCCAGGATTTACAGGGCCTATCTGTGACCAAGGTAGGTTTTTCTCTGTGTCGCTTCCCTTCTCGAATGAACACATGGTAATGTGGAATGAACGATCCATTTGCATGTCAGTAATCCTTAGATTTCTGTTACCAGTTACCAGTGTCCTTTTATGCTGGTTTTCGATGTGATTGCTTTTAAATGTGACCGCTGACTATGCTCTATCGGTGCGTTCTATACCATTTGTCTTGCAGATGTGGATGAATGTTCATCAAATCCATGTCAGAACAGTGCTACTTGTCAGAACCTACTCAACCAGTATGTGTGTGTCTGCAGACCAGGGTTCACTGGTACACTATGTCAGACAGGTTAGTACAGTAGATGGTGATACGTATAGTGGATTATCCACATGTATTTACTCGTGCCCCTTTCGTGCACAGTTTAAACGTATTATGAGCTGCTGCAGTATGAGGTCTATGATGACACGTGTGTGAAGACAGCCAAAGGGGTCCTTCTACACACGTGAGTGTGTATGTGAACGTGTGTTCTACATTTTAAAGTCATTAATGTCTGAAATAAGGTTGTGTCTTATCGCCTCGGGGTGGACTGGGGCGAGGAGGAGGGTAATATTCGCTCAACCAAGTATCGAGCCCACAACCGCATGTGTGGTCAATGATCCAACCACTACGTGGAATCACCCACTTTCCTGGTTTGCCATTCAGTCATCATCACATCTCCTTTTTTTTGGTTTGCGCTGTCTCCCGTGTATTTCAGATCTGGATGAGTGCATATCCAATCCATGCCAGAACGGAGCTTCTTGTCGGAACCTACTCAACCACCATGTTTGCGTCTGCCGACCAGGTTACACAGGTGCCCTTTGCCAAACAGGTTAGGACAGTTCAGTCATGCCATGTCGATAACCAAAAACAGCCAAACCGCATAGATGAGCATGGATTTATGCGGTAGCTCAAGGTGATGATCACTTTGAGCTGCCGTACCTGCATGCACACAGGAATATACACGTGCATACCCTCATGACCGTTTAGGAGCCGCATCTGACGCCTGATCATGGGGTGGTGGCGTCCCACGGAAGCGGAAAGGTGGTTCTTGACCAGGGAGTTGTACGACTCCTTGTTCTTGACCTGCCCGGTATGCGAACCCGTCGAATTTTTTATAATTTTTTTGATACCCTCATGAACTTCACCAGCTATGAACTTATGCAAGTGTCCATAACAATAATCTTTTCCTCTTGTCAATGGATAATGGCATGCTTTTTGTCATCTCCTTCTCTTCAGATATCAATGAATGCAGTGATGTGCTATGTCAACATGGTGGTACTTGCCTGGATCTGGAAAATCAGTTCTCATGTCAGTGTGCTCTTGGATACAGCGGACTCTACTGTCAGCAAGGTATACAACACAATGATTGTCTAAACACGTACATAATATCTATTATGTTACTTCTGTAGTGGGTGGCACGTAAAGTGCTGCAAAATGAAGTCACTGATCCTATGTTGCGAATCACAGTTTTTGGATTACATTTTTGGTCTTTGACCACTTTCCTGGTGGGTGTAATCAACTCACCTGCGACTGATTGAGAACCTCCAGATAAGGACTGATCCTGGAGGGTAATGGCAGTCCTACGGATGCGGAAAACTCAACCTAACTAATTCTCAGACAAACCGTGAATATTTTTATGCAGCCATCCAGCTGAACCACACAGACACCAGCAAGGACACTTCCATTGAGAGATAATATTGCTCCACGCCTCTAGACAGCTGTTTCGCTCCCTGTCGGAGCTCATCAGTAGAGGATGATAATGATGATAATGGAGGAATGATCATTCTTATACACCAGAAATGGCGAAGTGTCCTTGCTGGTGTCTGTATGGTTCGGCTGAAGAGCGCGTGGTTGTGATGAGTTGGGAATGCAATGAATTGAAAATATGGCCGAAAGCTCTGTCGCAATATTTAGCCATCCAGCTGTCAAGAATAAACCTTTTCAAGTTGTGAATAAGAAACTGGGTTACAGCGCTTGCTCTAATCCTCCTGCAATCATTTTTGTTGATTTCTGTAGATATCAACGACTGTGCGCATTCTTTATGCCAGAATGGCGCACAATGTGTGGATCACTTAAACAACTTCTCTTGCATTTGTCAACCGGGATTCACCGGCCCTCTGTGCGACCAAGGTGTGTTAGATAGCTTGATCAATTTAACACGGCATGAGTACGCGTCGGATATTGCATTTCTTGTGGAATGGCATCGTGATCAACCTGCTTACAATGTAGTGTATCCTTCAATACTTTTTGTTATGATAGTATTACGATTGTGATTCCACGTTGATTTTTCACATTTGAAATGCAGGTATAATACAAGTTCGACTGAACAAGCTAGGATCTGTGGCCTAGGCCGGCTTAGCAGTTATGCGTTGATTTATATCTGTTCCACCTGTCGTATTTCCTGCTCCAACTTTCACATGTCTATAACTTCAGCTGCTCAATGAAGTCCAGTCGCGGCACTGAAGTACGCACTGGGCCCTAGACTTCCGAATACTGGCCTGCGAAATGATGCAAGATGCAAACTTGAGTGTGGCGGCTGGACTTAATAGAGCAGGAGTGTACCATTCATAAGTCACCTCTGTCACGCGATTCTTCACCATTTGGCTTGTAGATGTGAACGAATGCTCATCTAGCCCATGCCAGAACGGTGCTACTTGTCAAGATCTGCTCGACCAGTATGTGTGTACCTGCAGACCAGGTTTCAGTGGCACACTGTGCCAAACAGGTTAGCTTACAGCTTATACTGATAATTGTTGATAGCTACATGCAGATAGGTAGCACACATCGATCATGATTTTCAGCTATGTGTATCTGCATGCACACGATCACACATGGTTGAATCTCTTAACCGTATCAAAACTGATCTTTCCTTTTTCAGCATGAAGCATCTTGATGTCAAAATATCTTGCTCACCTGTAGATGAAGAACTATGTATTTCCGGGATCTCCTGCTCTTCAGATATCAACGAATGTAGTGGTGTGGTATGTCAACATGGTGGTACTTGCCTGGATCTGGACAATCAATTCTCCTGTGAATGTGTTGTTGGATACAATGGAACCTACTGTGAACAAGGTAGGCACTGCATAAATTTCTGGGAAATCCAGAGGCTAGTTGAACACTGTGTGTTATACAATCAACTTAGCGTATAACGACTCACGGCGGGGCATCAGAAAAGTGTCCTTATATCCGAAGTCTCATTGTATGTATTACAGTTAGATGGGACTTTGCTCTGGGCATGGAGATTCTGTCGTTATTCGCGAATTGTCGTTATATCCGCAGTTAAGGGGGCACATCACCCAAAAATTCGCTGAAAAATCGAATTTGTAAATTCATATTGAGTGCTACGTCAGTTGAAAGAGCATGAATAGCTGCAAATTCTCTGAAAACTGTGTCCCTATCTGACCAGCCGTTCAAGAGTTATGGCCGAAAATGTGCCCTTGCAAGGAAAGATTTTTTTGTTGCATGCTGTCATTTGTTGGCAGCACTGTATTTGAATGTGAGCAGACCGTGCGCAACTTGTCGTATTATGGAAACACGCGAAAGTGTGCAGAATTTTGCCCCAAGTCCAAAAAAGTCCAAAAAATCACGTTTAAAAACCACGTATTGGGCTGCACGGCGGCGGGCGAAGCCCGCCGCCGTGCAGCAGGACTTTTGCCAGCACCCTCGTGACGTTGCAGATATGTGGCTTGATTATTGTAGTTGACGTTGATTTAGTGACTTTGGCAAGTTTGAGTCGTGTCAAGAAGTCAGGTAGGATTCAGTACTAGGCAGTAGTGAAACATGAGTGGCAGTCTTTGCCGGTTTCTGAGGGCATCCTGGATTTGGTTTGCAGCGCTGTGGAAATGGCTTGCTGTGGAGGTCCCAGCACTGGATGTTGTATCAAAGGTACGACCTCGTAGCACGTGCCAAACCTAAAAAAATTCAAAAATTGCCTTGGGTCTGTGGGAGTCCGTGAAAGAACGCCCACTCGTTCCGTTGTGACAGATTCCAGGGCCACGTTGAGGGGCCCTACCCCACCACCCATGGCTGCTTCTGGACTTGTTTTAGGTCTGGGTCCCGCGCACGGACAGAATGGGCACGAAAATGTGAAAAAAATGTAAATGGATTTGTTTGGCTCCTGGGTGGCTCGCACACCGTAGCACTATGCCGGAAATTTGAGTTTTTCCGGCCTGGAAAGCCTGTCAGTGAGACGCAAGAACTTGTAAATCATGTCCTGAGGGCCAGCATAGTGGCAGGAGTGTGTGGTCAAAATTTCACTCAAATCCACTGAGAAACACCAAAGTTACGGTCAATTGAATGCCATATGAAATTTTTGGGTGATGTGCCCCCTCAAGGGGGCACATCACCCAAAAATTCGCTGAAAAATCGAATTTGTAAATTCAGATTGAGTGCTACGTCAGTTGAAAGAGCATGAATAGCTGCAAATTCTCTGAAAACTGTGTCCCTATCTGACCAGCCGTTCAAGAGTTATGGCCGAAAATGTGCCCTTGCAAGGAAAGATTTTTTTGTTGCATGCTGTCATTTGTTGGCAGCACTGTATTTGAATGTGAGCAGACCGTGCGCAACTTGTCGTATTATGGAAACACGCGAAAGTGTGCAGAATTTTGCCCCAAGTCCAAAAAAGTCCAAAAAATCACGTTTAAAAACCACGTATTGGGCTGCACGGCGGCGGGCGAAGCCCGCCGCCGTGCAGCAGGACTTTTGCCAGCACCCTCGTGACGTTGCAGATATGTGGCTTGATTATTGTAGTTGACGTTGATTTAGTGACTTTGGCAAGTTTGAGTCGTGTCAAGAAGTCAGGTAGGATTCAGTACTAGGCAGTAGTGAAACGTGAGTGGCAGTCTTTGCCGGTTTCTGAGGGCATCCTGGATTTGGTTTGCAGCGCTGTGGAAATGGCTTGCTGTGGAGGTCCCAGCACTGGATGTTGCATCAAAGGTACGACCTCGTAGCACGTGCCAAACCTAAAAAAATTCAAAAATTGCCTTGGGTCTGTGGGAGTCCGTGAAAGAACGCCCACTCGTTCCGTTGTGACAGATTCCAGGGCCACGTTGAGGGGCCCTACCCCACCACCCATGGCTGCTTCTGGACTTGTTTTAGGTTTGGGTCCCGCGCACGGACAGAATGGGCACGAAAATGTGAAAAAAATGTAAATGGATTTGTTTGGCTCCTGGGTGGCTCGCACACCGTAGCACTATGCCGGAAATTTGAGTTTTTCCGGCCTGGAAAGCCTGTCAGTGAGACGCAAGAACTTGTAAATCATGTCCTGAGGGCCAGCATAGTGGCAGGAGTGTGTGGTCAAAATTTCACTCAAATCCACTGAGAAACACCAAAGTTACGGTCAATTGAATGCCATATGAAATTTTTGGGTGATGTGCCCCCTTAAGTATAGCGAAGGTGACTGTATATTTGTTTATCGCCTTCTTAGTATTTGACCCCACTAATTTCCCTGATACCTAAGCGGTCAAATATATCGCGTATTTGACTGCTTAGTCAAATACACGATATATTTGACTACTTATATTTGACTCCTTAGAACTTCTTGGACTTAGAAATTTTCTCTCCAACTTAGAAAAAGAAATTTTTGAAGAAAGCAGAAATACACAAGATGGGATTTGAACCCACAACCTTGTGAATCTCAGTCACTCTTCCTTACCACCCAGCCACTGTGCTACCGATGCTGAACCTAGTTTAAACAATGATCTTGACTTTAAATGCAGTACAATGCGGTATAGGCTATAGTATAATACTAGAATTACAAGGATATGTCGTATATGAAGAGAAACTATTGCGTGGAGAACACGATAAATAGATTATAGACCTCATAGTTGGTCTATACAGGATATATAGACCTCGTAAAAGACCTCGGGGGACCTCGGTCTTTTACTCGGTCTATATATCCTGTGACCTCGGTCTTTTACGAGGTCTATATATCCTGTATAGACCTCCTAACCGGTCTATAATCTATACGTATTTGCCTGGAATATTAATTTTATGCCACACTCTGCCAACTGAACAAGATCAATTTCTCTGTTCGCGGATAGGTCCAGCGTTCTGTTCTCAAATTTATCCTTAATTTTGCTGCACTTACCACTCCCGACCTTGTTTCGAATCCAATTTGCTTGTTTCTCTAGATATCGATGACTGTGCATTATCGCCATGCAAGAATGGAGGGGAGTGTGTGGACCACGTGAATAACTTCTCTTGCATATGTCATCCTGGATTCACTGGACCTCTCTGTGACCAAGGTATGCTGCCCTCCACTTCCTTCACTGGGAGGTGACTAATGTCACTTTCTGATTGAATGGCAAAGTTGCAGTCCAGCATTCGAGTCAGCACAGCATCCTGTCGTATGATGCGTATTTACCGTTTTTGGGAGCTGGGTTCTAGGCGTTTACAAGGCTTTTTCTTCAATTTTCTATTTGTTTCAAACATGAATAATAGTACTCCAAAGTGTACTTGAAATATTCTGTGGCAAAATAATGCCAAACCTTATGTGTTCCTTTGTTACTTTCTGCGGTTGCAACTGCAGTTGCAACCTTCAATGTTTTCTGGTGTTTCTCTGCGTACTTGCTAATGCTTAGCCCCACTCTGCCGTTGTGTTCTCTATTTCCTGACTTGCAGATGTTGACGAGTGCTTGTCTAACCCCTGTGAGAACGGGTCAACTTGTGAGAACCTACTCAACGAGTTTGTGTGCATCTGCAGACCAGGCTTCATGGGAATCCTATGTCATACAGGTCAGTATAGTGCATCTAAATGTTCAGCTAAGTATATACTCCGCACAGTTATACATCCTACCCAAAAATAGTCTCTCGGCTACATATTATTCCAAAAATAATTAATTAAGAATTGCGATCAACAGAACGAGCTGAACCGACATTTTCACAAAGGCTTTTATTGTATTCAAAAAAACGAGTGTATACGAAGGCAGTGAAGAACATGTAAGAAAGAAAAAATGTGATATGGAAGAAATGATGAACAAAAAATTGTACTTCGAACTAGTTTTCGCACAACACTCCTCAGGAAGCTACGTTGTACTAATGAAAAACAATCCAGAAAGATACTAATAAAGAGAAATGGAGTGAGAAGAAACAACACCTATGAAAATGATAATCCTAGCACTAAGGTAATAACAGGAAAAACTGCGAAAGCACTTAACGAACTTGTAAAGACTACTAGTATACTGTGACACAAGATATGACACCATGGCCAACCAGAGCCAAACAGACAGAACAAGTTGCTACTAAAACAATTTCAAACGAATAATGCTGTCCTTCTGGACACACAGATTAGGCTTATGAATACGTTGACAAACGGCTTCTAACACACTCAACTGCAGCTTATAACCATGACGAGCACGGCACAAAACAGAAAAAGAAGAATCAGAATAAACCTTACAGCAATCAGGACGAGATGCAAGATGCTTATACACTGATGACTTCCTACTAGAAAACACACGCTCGCACCCACTCTTACTCACACGATCATTCTCGCTCTCACACTCACCGGAATCACTGGACTCACTGGCCGAATCCTCCTCAACGACTTCCTGCCTCGGAGCAATCAGGGCCCGTCTCCTCCCATCCCTCGTCTCACGTTCCTGTTGTGTATTCCGTTGGCTCGGTACTTCCGTACTGAAATAGGTCATGGTGTAATTAGCAGTTGTTCTTCTGGGTCTCGTTGATATTGAGGTAGGTATTGTTGTCGTCTCTGCCGGTGATGCAGCAAGCGATGCTGATGCAAACGTGTCTGCATGCAACACACGTGGCGTCGCCAAAGCCACATCCACCTCCGCTGGTGGAGGGAGTGACTTGGTCATGGCCACGGGAGCCAATGGTGGACTTGTCGAGTGAGACGCTAGGTCCTGTGTTGGCGGAGGTAGTGGTTGTTTACGGGGTCTTCCCCGCGTGGGACGCTCCAGTTGTGCGCTACGTGGGATAATGTGTAAAGGAGTGTGTTGCTTGATGCGTATTAGTATCTTTCTGGATTGTTTTTCACTAGTACAACGTAGCTTCCTGAGGAGTGTTGTGCGAAAACTAGTTCGAAGTACAATTTTTTGGTCATCATTTCTTCCATATCACATTTTTTCTTTCTTACATGTTCTTCACTGCCTTCGTATACACTCGTTTTTTGAATACAATAAAAGCCTTTGTGAAAATGTCGGTTCAGCTCGTTCTGTTGATCGCAATTCTAAAACTATTGTCGCCTCGACGCCTATTTACATAATTAATTAAATTATAAATATAACCCAAATTTGCGTGCCATTATGTTTTGAAGAATTTGTAACCGAGAGACCGTTTTTCGGGAGTGGTGTATAACTGTGTGAAACATGAAGTAGCTACAGTGCAGTCTGCACACCCTTAGGAAGCTAGGTGCATAAAGCAGCACGATCGTGGCATAACGCCAAACAGCCATTAACGCAATGTCATTAGATTGATTTGATATTGTATTTGCAAGGATTCTCCAGAGGCAAATGGATGCCTATCAAAGGGAGTCTCCTAGGGAAAGTAAGTGAAGGTGCCTGCTATATGAGAAAGGGAGGAAGGTACATGACAAGGTGAAATAATACAGTTAGAGAGGAAGGAACACCTTGAACAAGTCCAAATTCAAGTCAACACATGATCACCAAACAGCAGGTTGACCTGTGGTCACGAATGAGTCTCTCTCTCTCTCTCTCTCTCTCTCTCATGTTCTCTCTATCTCTCTCGTTCTCTCTCTCTCTCTCTCTCTCGCGTTCTCTCTCGTTCTCTCTCTCGTTCTTTCTCTCGTGCGTACATACATTTACTGATGGCCATAACAATAACAAAATAATATTGGCTTAATCAGTTGCCTTCTGCCATTTTGCAATTTTCATCAAATTGCGGAACTGCTGCGATCTTGTGACTTTCAGATGTCAATGAATGTAGCATTGTGGTGTGTCAACATGGAGGTACTTGCCTGGATCTGGAGAATCAATTCTCCTGTCTGTGTGCTGTTGGATACAATGGAACCTACTGTGAACAAGGTATACATTGCACCAGCGGATAGCTGTGAATATCCCGCCACTGCACAACTGTATGTTTGCACAACTGTATGTCATACATATTAAGCGTTACAGATTTAGATGAGAACTCTAATAACAGTCCAAGAAAATACTTCCTCCTCGTCATTACAATTGTCGGAATGTTTTTGACTTGCTGGTCTTAGTCGATCTGTTGGAATCGCTGTTTTCTGTGCTGGAACATTGCTACGACGCTTCCTACACAATATAATGCAACGGAAGCCATGGTGGTCTCAGAGCTCTCGTCCACACCAAACAGATGCATCGAGCTTCGCACTATTTCAGCGCAGAGCGCGTATATTTTTTCTGGAGTTCGTGCCGTCCACATCGTTTGCGTGGACATTTGTCAAGACTGCAAGCTCGGGTATAAGAATCCTGGTATTTCTCCTGAATTTGAAATGCTGAAGTTCACTATGGCAAGAACAAAGTGTTCTCAAATTCCTAACAACAAAATCACCCACACGCTACGTGTGGCGCATTTGCTGTGGAGGAAGCAGAGCAGGTCTGAAAGCACCAAAAAAAAAACAGTGAATCCATTGTCAAGGAAAGAACTATGAACAAGATCGGACGAGCTTGGAATGCTTAGCTCCTGCAAATATTCTCGATAATTCTCACTCTCAAGCCAAAGTTTCTTGTTTCTCCTAGATATCGATGACTGTACGCCGTCTCAATGTCAGAATGGTGCGGAGTGTGTGGATCGCGTAAACAACTTCTCTTGCATCTGTCAGCCAGGATTCACAGGACCTGTTTGTGATCAAGGTGTGTTGTCACAGTAACTCTGTGTAGGGCCTCATTTGAACCTTGGCTTGTATACATGAGCGCGTATGTAGGATGTGGAAGGATTCGCAGTGTGGCAAGGATGCAATGCACATGCAGTGCACATGGCAATCAACGATTCTTGTACTACTGATGCGTGGATTGTGTGAGTGAGACTCGAACCATCTAAACCATTACATTCAATGTGTACAGTTCTCTGGCATGGTACCAGTGTACTTGGGATAACAAATTTGATCTATATAAGCTGGTTGAGACCAATCCAATTGCATGGCTGTAGTCCTTACACTTCTCTCTTCAACATTTGAATTGCAGTGTTCTTTAGTTTTCTATGATTTTGCTTCCAAATAGGACAGCTAACTCTGCTCTGTCCGTGCATTCCCCTCTACCTTGTTTGTAGATGTGGATGAATGTTCATCTAATCCATGTCAGAACAGTGCTACTTGTCAGAACCTACTCAACCAGTATGTGTGTGTCTGCAGACCAGGTTTCACCGGTACACAATGTCAAACAGGTTAGTATGATCCTTTATGATTATCATCTCCGTACCTATAATTATTATTATAGACCGTGTTCAGTGACCAGCCCACCATGCACAGAAATCCAGTTCCTAGTAGACAATACAGTGCGGATCGGCTATAGGGTTGTCGGCTATAGTAATATACCTCTTATAGTGATCGTATTCTCAAATTCATTTTCGTAAACCATATATGTATATCTGTTTTCATTCAGCACCTGTTCCTGTTGGTTAAGAATGTATGTTGACATGTTTTCTGCTTGTTGATATGAACTGTGTCTGAACTGTGTCTGAAGTGAAACTGATTCTATTTGAGCGGTCACTCGAGTATAATCCTAGCTGCAGCATTTCCATCCTTCTTTTCAGCTCTAACACTCATACATGATCTCTCTTGATGTCCGTCAAATTTTACCCATCATCTTTCCGTCAAACCAATGAATATTGCCCATCATTTGTATTTTTGTATTGTGTTTTACAAGTATTATTTTGCTTTGGCATTCCCAACAGTCCCCAAGGTCGCCTTACAGGGCGCCCGAGATGAATGAATGCCATCCTGAAAAACCATCATCATGACGGATTGATTAAATCAACGTGTAAATGGCTGCAATGTCGTTTGTGAGTCCTTAGATTGGTGTTAACCTTGTTTCCCCTCATCGTGTTTGGTATTTTATCTGTTGATTTCCCTAGATATCGATGACTGCACACCTTCTCAATGTCAGAATGGAGCGGAGTGTGTGGATCATGTGAACAACTTTTCTTGCACCTGTCAGCCAGGATTCACCGGGCCTCTCTGCGATAAAGGTACTGTATATCATTGTTTATATCTTATAGCTCCCTTATTGAAATGAAGTATAATGTCTTGTGCAAATTATTTGAGCAGGCACACAAGTGATGCAAGTTGCACTCATATTGCGACTCTATCTTTCCTTTTCTAATTGTCCTTCATGACCCTGATGTTGGGCCAGGCCCAAATATTTGGTGTGATGTAAATTTGAATTTGAATCACAGTGAAGAGACCATTTTGGGAGTTTGGAGTTGAGAAGTGAAGTTTCCTAAAATAAATTAATATCCATCTTTCCTATAGGGTTTATGGCTGCTAAATCTTCCATTTTCAACCCCCTCAAACTGATGAATAGGTCTGCTGTGTTCTTCCATTCTCTACTGTTTGTCTTGCAGATGTGGATGAATGTTCTTCTAATCCATGTCAGAACAGTGCTACTTGTCAAAACCTACTCAACCAGTATGTGTGTGTCTGCAGACCAGGTTTCACCGGTGCATTATGTCAGACAGGTTAGTATAGTGCATGTCGAAAGGCATATTGGAATGTGTATAAATGACCAAGATGCACGGAAAGCTGATCCGTACACACAAGGTCACTGTTCTCCACAGATGAAATTCCCTCGAAATGTACAGTGAGATGTTGTATGTTGTCCATGATGCCATGTTTATAAAGAAAGCCAAGGCGAGCTTTCTATGCAGAAGAGAGTGCACGCAAAAGTGTGTGTTTTGCTTTTGAAGTCATTCATGTCTGAATTTTAAAAGGTTTTCTCCTTCATTGCAGAAGAGCCCCTGGGGCCGGGGGTGGGGGGAGAGAGGAGGATGCTATTTGCTTAACCAGGTATCGAACCCACAAGCATATGTTTAGATGGCCTATTTTCTAACCATTATGCTGAAAGGCCCCATTTTATGATTTGCCATGTCGCAATTCATTTTGTGGTTCAATCAATGAAGTGAGGAGTCGGATCGCAGCAGCCTCGGCTGCTGTTGCACGACTAGTAACAATCTGGAGGGATAGAAACATCAGTATCGGCTCGAATTTACGTCTACTCAATGCTATTGTTTTATCCTTATTCCTTTATGCTTGCCAGTCTTGGACCTTAACTGCTGAAATAGTGAAAAAGATCGAGGCTTTCGAAATGAGAAGCTATCGATGTCTTCTCAGGATTCCTTTCACTGATCACCGGACGAATGTGTCTGTTAGAGAGGAAATAAATAGTATTCACAAACAGGTCCCACTTATTGTTTCTGTTCGTAGAAGGAAATTGCAATTTTTTGGTCGTATTGTTCGTTCCGGCTGTTTGCCATTGACTGTTCTTCAGGGTTGTGTTGCTGGAGGTCGTGGCCGAGGCAGGCCCAGAATGTCATGGCTTGATAATATTATTTCATGGACTGCACTTGACGTGCAGTCCTTGCTAGGTGCTGCACGCGATCGATTTTTATGGCGCTCGCTTGTTCATACTTGCTCTGTGACGCCCCGACGGCCTTAGAGCTATGGGCTTGTGGTGATGATGATGATGATGATGTCGCAATTATTACATCTCCTTTCTTGGTGTGCCCTGTCTCTGTGCCATATGCCCTATGCCCTGTCCCTCGTGCTCTGTCCCCCTTGTCCTGTGCCCTGTGCCCTGAACCCTGTGTCCTGTGCCCTGTGCCCTGGACCCTGTGCCCTGAACCCGGTACCCTATGCCCTGTGCCCTGGACCCTGTGCCCTGAACCCGGTGCCCTGTGCCCTGTGCCCTGCACCCTGCACCCTGTGCCCCGTGTATTTCAGATCTGGATGAGTGCATGTCCAATCCATGCCAGAATGGAGCGTCATGTCGGAATCTACTCAACCATCACGTGTGCGTCTGCCGACCAGGTTACACAGGTGCCCTTTGCCAAACAGGTTAGGGCAGTACAGTTGAGACTTGACAATTGCTTTACAGCCAAAATGCAATGATCAGCATGAAAACCGTACCTGCATGCACACAGGACTATGCCCGTGCATGCACTCATCTACTTTGCCTTGATGGAAATGGTCTCATGCAAGTGTCCATACCAAAATATTACGTAATCAAGCAGCGTGCTCCACTGTCCGAAGAGTGCTCAATACCCATATAGGGCAGAGTCTTGTACACAAGAGAGAGATTGGAAGCTGTGTCGCAACTCTGAGTTTCACGTATTACTACGATCATCAGGCAATACTAAAATGTTATCATCTTTCACTCTTGTCATTGGATAATGGCATGCTTGTTGTCATCTCCTGCTGTTCAGATATCAATGAATGCAGTGATGTGGTATGTCAACATGGTGGTACTTGCCTGGATCTGGAGAATCAGTTTTCATGTCAGTGTGCTCTTGGATACAGTGGACTTTACTGTCAACAAGGTATACCCTGTCATCTCACCCTTTATATGTGTATGTAGCAGAGTAAGCCCAGACTAGTGAATAGCAGCTTAGCTTGTTTAAGCCAAATACTGTGTTGACTAATAAAACTATATTTATGTTGACAATGTATTGGGCATAACCTTTCGTGTTGTACGATACTCGGAGGCAGACAACCATCAGGTTTCAAAATGTGAGCTATTCCAGCTTGTACACATTTACTATATCCCTAGTACATACCTAGAGTCCATAATCCCTCAGAGTATGCAACTTCACTGACCAGATCTGGGACGGCGAAATCCGTGTTGCACGTCATAGTGTGACATCATGAGTAGGGGAAGTGTGTTTGGGTCTCGGAACTCGGCGGACCACATCGACCGAATGAGGCAAGTCCGACCCTAAAAATGACGAACATCGCGGACTACGCCGTCCCACAACCCCATCCCAGTTGCGCACTCTGCCGGGGGGATTATGGACTCTTGTCCGCACTGACAAGTGTGCTCTTACATTGATACCATTGTTGCTGATTTCTCCAGATATCGATGACTGTGATTCTTCGCCGTGCGAGAACGGATCCGAGTGTGTGGATCAAGTGAATGATTTCGCCTGCATCTGTAAGCCTGGCTTCACCGCACCTCTCTGTGGCCAAGGTATATCTAGAGTTTTTTTTTAGTTTTCAAGTTCTGTGATTGTAATTGGATGTTTTAATCTATTTTGTAACTGATGAAACTCGATCGTGATTGGATTTTGTCAGGGCATTGGTGCGCATGAACATTTTAAAAGTTCCAATTTGATTCCAGAATGGACACTGGTGGGCTTGTATGTAGCTGCTTGTAGGTAGCTGTCTACTTTCCTTCTCCTTGGCTGTACCCCCGGCTTATCCTTTGTCTGTTTACGTGTGTATGTATTGCCATTTGCTTATAATTATAATAATAATATATCATACTATCATGAATCGCACTAAATTTTGCCTATCATTGTATGCATACATTTGCTAAACCTTTCGTTTTCAACTGCCTCAAACACATGAATAGGTTTGCTGCGATCTTCCATTCTCTACGATTTGTCTTGCAGTTGTGGATGAGTGTTCATCTAATCCGTGTCAGAACAGTGCTACTTGTCAGAACCTACTTAACCAGTATGTGTGTGTCTGCAGACCAGGTTTCAACGGTACACTATGTCAGACAGGTTAGTACAGTAGATGGTGATATGTATAGTGGATTAACCTCATATATTTAGTATGGTGTGTTTGTGACACCATTGATCGAAAGAAATGCTCACAATAATACAAATATTCACTGGTTTGAGGGAAAGACACATGAACTATGTCATAATAATAATTATATCTTTCATCTTGCCGTGCACTTGAACCCAAACAGTACTTTGTGTACCAGAGACTCCAGGAGGTTAATACGCAATGTTTCTTCCATTCCTGATCTGTGACAGCTGACATTTATCTTCTCCTGCTGTTCAGATATCAATGACTGCAGTGATGTGGTATGTCAACATGGTGGTACTTGCCTGGATCTGGAGAATCAGTTCTCATGTCTGTGTGCTCTTGGATACACTGGTCTCTACTGTGAACAAGGTATACAACACATGATCGGACATTTTGCACATGTGGCATTGAAAGCAAGTGGCAAATCCATCACTTATGGGCATGCTATCACTCATAGTCACATCACGCTTTGTAATATACCTACATGTGCATGTAAATGTTTAGTCTCAAACGTTGGAGACTTTCAGATGCTATCCATCTATTTATTTTCCACCCAGCTATCACTAATACAGCCGTTAGAACAGTGTTTTTTGCTGGACGCTTAGAGATCCGCTGGAAACCATTTGGAATATTGAAACTGTTTACAAAAGAAAACTGCGAGATCTTTATTCAAACTTAGAAGTTGCGACTTCGGTGGTAATACTCATGAAAATGGTTTCTCCAACTAGGAGCACACGCTTCTTGCCAAACTTGACACTTGACTGACTCACGACTGCCATCCGGAGCACAAGAGGAGCACATTCACACCTTCCGCTCCGCGTTGGAGCAACCATCTTCATATCTTTTATTCAGGCTAAACAATTTTCACCCATGCCTCTTCGCGCTTTTCCTCTGAGTGTACCATTATGTTTGTCTTTGCTCGTTGTACACCTTGCCTCACCACACACTTACTGTGCATCTCCCCAATCCTTTCCCTCTTGCTCGTTCCACTAGATATTGACGACTGTACACCTTCTCAATGCCTGAATGGTTCGGAATGTGTGGATCACGTGAACAACTTCTCTTGTATCTGTCAGGCAGGATTCAGCGGGCCACTCTGCAACCAAGGTTTGTTGAATGCCATTTAGCATGTCATCTACCTCTTATGCTGAAAGGGGGGTATCTTTTTAGGGAAATGGAACAGCTGTGAAATTGTCACTCAAAATCTTTGTTCGAAGAATCTATGTGCGGTCATTACGTTTCTGTGAATGGGATTCCAATTCTTCCTTTTGAATTATCTTCTTTCTTTCTTCTTTCTTATACATGTATGTCTACTACTTTTCTTTTGTTGATTTGGCCGTGGTTGGCTATCACCCCTCTCTCATTCAATATTGGCATTGCTTACCACGACATGATTCAATAAATAAATGAAAAGCATTTGCAAGCAGAACCCCTAGTTTCAACTTATGATATATTTCGAGATACCTAATTATTAGTGTACTTGGGGTAAGCCACTGCAAGCCTGTGCTCAGTTTTCATCTTCTTTGTAGGATCTATTTCATCTTCTTTGTAGGATCTATTTCATCTTCTTTGTAGCATTTATTTGCCTTCTGTCTTTACAGTGTGTACTGTTCTATCTTGGTGTGATTGGTCAATTGCATCTGCTGTTCCATTCTCTACTGTCTGTCTTGTAGGTGTGGATGAGTTTTCATCTAATCCATGTCACATTTAGCTTGCAAACATGACCGATAACTCTGCTCTGTTCGTGCATTATCTACTGTTTGTCTTGCAGATGTGGATGAGTGTTCATCTAATCCATGTGAGAACAGTGCTACTTGTCAAAACCTACTTAACCAGTATGTGTGTGTCTGTAGACCAGGTTTCACCGGTACACTATGTCAAACAGGTTAGTACAGTAGATGTGTGCCATGTTGACAGCCACTGTGGAGCCAGTCTCTTACCAATTACCCTTTTGCAACACAGAAAACTGATCATTGGAGTGACCCCTAGTATATGCCTCTCTTCACACCAGCCACTAACATGATCACCACTGTCCAGTGCCGATTCAGTTTGGTTGCCCCTCTGTTGGAATTTGTGATATCAGCTAAATTATATTTACTTCTTTGCTCTCATAAACGTCTGCTTATCCAACTGTTGTTGTTGGAGAAGACATTGATCGTGTTCATAAATGTGTGTGTGTGTGTGTGTGTGTGTGTGTGTGTGTGTGTGTGTTCAGACTGTGATTTGTGTGTTGGTGCAATGGGAATTGTGAGCATCTTTGTGTGTGTCTGTGTGTATATATTTGTCTGTCTGTTTATCTGACTATCTGTCTGTACACGTGTGCGTCCATGGGTGCGTGCATCGTGTGTGCGCCTGGTGTCTACAGATATCGACGAATGCTTCTCAGCACCATGTTCGAACAACAGCAGCTGTGTGGATGGTGTGAATAGCTTTAAGTGCATGTGTTCACCGGGATTCACAGGTACCCTCTGCGAGACAAGTAAGTTATGTAGCCATGATAGCTTTTCAAAAAATCTGGTTAGAGATGGACTACGTACATCATACATACTGACATGTTTTAAGGATGCTAGATTTTTTTGGAAAGTGACAGGAAGTGTGATTCCCACAAGCCTTTTCTTGTGGATCCGAAGTGGTATGCTCACTCAGAGGCAAGGAAACATGTTGTCTTCGGAGACAATAGTGCTTGCGACCATACCAGTGGAAGTGATGTGTTTTATGATGTCAGACTTAAAAGGCATAATGTGATCGGTTGCCACCATTATTGTAGTCGCGACTTGCTGGCCTAAACTGTGGACATAACCAGAGATTCTGTATGTTCGTGTGCTTAAATCGCCAAATTGGTTTGGTCAATAAATTCAACTTCATCATTCTCAGGCGGGCTGATCGTACATGACTGTACCATCGAGTACTGGGCTGGCTTCGGAGAAATCGCATAATTATTATCGACTCATATCCAGAAAACTCAATTGCGGTTCATGTACTCTCTATTCTGTGTAGATATCAATGAATGTGCTTCAAATCCCTGCCACAACCAAGGCACTTGTTTGGACTTACTGGATCAGTTCAGTTGCACGTGTACAACTGGATACACGGGAGATACTTGTGACAGAGGTATGGGCATAATGCTTGTCCAGGTTACTCTTGTTGGTATTGTTTCACCTGTACATCTTTGCACAACACAGGAAAGTGATGAGTCACTCTTCATTCATTACCCATTGCCACCCACATTGAACTGTGTATCTTGGCTTACGTGGCATGAGTGTGAGCAAGTCATTGTGTGCTCCTGCCTGGCACATCATTTCTTAACATGCACACAGGTGTCCTTAACTTGCATGAGCCCACACGCATAGGCGATTTGTGCTTCAGTGTGTAATATAATTGTATATTTCTGCTTGCGAATGTGCGACTGTGTTTATTATTTTTCGGCCATGTGCTTTTCAGATATCAACGAGTGTCTGTCTGATCCATGTATGAACGGCGGTACATGCATTGATCAGCTTGGTCAACATTTCTGCAACTGCACACCAGGATATACTGGACGTCTGTGTGATGATGGTAAGCCACAGAACATGGATTTTTGAAAATTAAATACAGCTGGATAGCAACACAACCCAGTGTTTGTTGGGGTGCCAAGACTTGTTTGATGATAAACCAAGGATCTTTCAAGATCGGTAATGCTGTAACATACTTGATGTCTGCTGCATATGATCACGGTGCGTTTGCATCTTGCCCGCTATTCTCAGAAATCAATGAATGCTTGTCCGACCCATGCCAGAACTCTGCCACGTGTGTTGATCAGATCAATAAATATGTCTGCCAGTGTACGCCGGGATACACTGGAGAGTTCTGTGGACAAGGTACTGTGATTGCAGGGGATGATAAGAAGGCAAATTATATCTGGAGACAAATTTCCACTCCCAAACACTCTAGCGATGGTACACACACGTGCATGCATATCCACACACACACACACACACACACACACACACACACACACAGGCACACACACATGCAAGCATGCGTGTGAATGAGTGCACACACACCATTTGACCATTTAACGCCCATCACGGGAGGCGATCATAGCGATGCTACAGCAGAAGTCATGGCAACTCACACACACACACACACACACACACACACACACACACACACACACACACACACGCAAACAGGGAGTTGCATCGCACGAGTAAACCACCCAATATTGCACTGAGTTGCTGACCCCCTTTGACCAGAGCACGGCCCAGACAGGTGAAGCCGTATGTTTTTGGGCGTAAAGGGGGTCATCTTTCGTGCTGCTACAAAGGTCGTTTCTGGGTCACGTTCCGAATCAACCACAATTGACAAACGGGTATCATTATCTTATCCACCCACACTCCGTATATCATTCAAACATATCTTATAATAAAAATAAATGATTTCATAACTCCATACAAGGTCCCTAGTTCGATTCCTGGACTCCTGTCCCTAGTAGTAGATTCTCCCTTTAGAATTTACTCCTTCCCATTCCCTTCAAACTAGTGAACAACTTGATTTGTATGATACCCTTCTTCTCAATTTATTATTGTATCGCTGTACTTTCTTCCATGCATTCACTGTAGATGTTGATGATTGTCTGTGCGAGCCATGCCAGAATGGGGCAACTTGTGTTGATAAAGTCAACGACTACACATGTGCATGTCGACCAGGATACACAGGAAAGCAGTGTCATATCGGTAAGGAATGATTGGGAATCATGGGCTACAGCAAACTGATGTTCCTTATAAGTGCGAGATGGCCATTTAGCACGCGTAGAAGTGGCCTGTCTTTTTTAGGCTTATCTGATCGATGTCCCATATTAATGACCAAACCAAGCACAAACTGCTCCTCGTGTCCTTTACTATCCAAACACAAAATGTTTTCTTGCCAACATTGTGCCTACATTTGCCAAGTGTAGGTGCATGTTTGCATCAGAATTCCTTGCACCATAATTATAGTACCGTAATGTGCTGATATCTTTTTGCAGTAATGTTAAGATGATCATTGTTTTCTATCATTGTAGATGTGGATGAATGTCTCTCATCACCCTGTCAGCATAATAGCATGTGTGAGGATCAGGAGAACTCATTCTTGTGCCACTGTACCCAGGGATACACTGGCATCATGTGTGAAATAGGTATGTTCGGGTTGCGGCGAGCCATATGTTCAGCTTTATACTATATACGCATATCACTCTCATCTAGCATCAAGCAATGGTTACTCACCATATGGCCGAAGAGATGGTGACTGCGAACTGAGAACCAAGGACTGAAGTGTTGTGTCACACATTCTAGCAGCATACACAGCTGAGGTCTTGGTTCTTCTTTTTTTTCATATTTGGAGGATAGGGCACACCAGCGATTTGGAGCCAAACGTATTGCCTCCAAAGTGTGCACTATACTCCGGCAAATACGGCACTTCCTTATGAAGAGCCATGAGTCAAAATTTGGAGATTATACTAATTTGAAATTGCAGTGAAAAACTATAGTCGTGGTGGCGGTGGAGGCGGCGGCGGGGGGGGGGGGTGAAGGCGATAATTTCAAGTGATGATGGTGATTAAAAGGTTCAAGAATGGTCCGAAGGAACAGCACCTTGTAAAATTGTGTTCAATTTCCATTCCTTTTGTAGATATGAATGAATGTCATAGCATGCCTTGTCAGAATGGAGCTCAGTGTGTAGATGAGCTGAACACATTCATCTGCACATGTCGAGCTGGCTATACTGGTCAGCTCTGCCAAACTGGTAAGGAGAGAGCTGACCAGTGTTAAAACCATTGGCCTCTTGTGGTAGATCAATTCTACTATCCGATTATCCTCCCCACTCCACCCCCAGCTAGGGTGCTGTGTTGTTTGGCATAAATGCAGTTAATCCAAATGATGGTTAAAACGTGTCTTCCTTGGCGAAGCCAAAATTGTGATGCACAGTCTTATCTTCATTTTACCTGGCTAGCAAAAGTATGTCCACTCAGAGCTATAGAACAGTTACAAGTGAAGATACATGTAAAACTGGCACGAATCGGTCCTCATCATATCCAGAGAAGAAATGTTGACCCTCCTCACCTATTTTACCCATTTTACACCCCATACTGTCCATTTGTACTAGCTGATATTATACTTCCATGTAGTGATGACCTCTCTATTATTGTGTGGTGGTATAGGTTGGATTTATCTTCTTTGTTTGTTCTAATACCTCAATTCCTGTGAACTTTAAACATACTTTTATTGAAGTTGGTTTGAGGGTGCCATCCCAGACACATTATGACTCAACATTCTGAAACAATGCCATTCTCCGAATCTGGATTGTCCTCTGTTGGTATAATTATGTGAATGGTGTCTCCAGATATCGACGAGTGCTTCTCAGCACCATGTTCAAACAATGGCAGCTGTGTGGATGGTGTGAATAGCTTTGAGTGTACATGTCCACCAGGATTCACTGGTAACCTCTGTCAGACAAGTAAGTTGTGAAACGATGTGTTAACTCTATGGGAATGGGGCTCACTGGCCCGGTGATCCTGTTTGAAATCTGTACCAAGGAAATTCATCTCCATGTGTATGTGTTGTAAAATCTATCTCTCTCTCCCTCTCCCTCTCCCTCTCCCTCTCCCTCTCCCTCTCCCTCTCCCTCTCCCTCTCCCTCTCCCTCTCCCCTCCAACCCCCTCGTTTTCTTTCTCTCTGACAATGTGACGAATGGGACCATTATTAGCATGGTTCAATGCTCGGTGTATTCTTATTTTTCTCATTCAAATAATTGTTATGATACATGTGTATTGCTTTTATTCCACATGTCTAGCAGATACACTATGTTTTCATCCTCTACTCAAGATAAAATCGAGTTTTAGAAAACGAGTTCGCTACAAAAGGAATACTTATTGTTCTGTATGGACATTGTTGGCGCACAAGTCAAGTGATCCATCGTGTTAAACTTGTGAATAAGTGATTCATCGTGACTGAATTGGGTTTGGATAAGACATAAAATTAATTTCATACAACGTACACTTTCCTGCTGTACATGGGAGTATACCTTATCAGTGTTGTGCTTCATGCCGTGCAAGTCTTGCAGTTCAGCTGGTGAGAGCGTCCATTTTGCTGTACTCTATTCTGTGTAGATATCAATGAATGTGCTTCAAGTCCTTGCCACAATCAAGGCACATGTGTGGATTTGCTGGATCGGTTCAGTTGCACGTGTACAACTGGATACACGGGAGATACGTGCGACAGAGGTGCAGGATTTTGTTAATGGCTACTGTGTCCGTGTACCTCTCACCTAGTGCTCTGCCAATGTTCTTTTGTACATAGCAGAGAAGAGTGATCATTTAATCTTCATTCTTCCTTCTTCCTCACCACCACTGGTGTACACTACCTCCCAATTTACGTTCTGTAACCCTTATTATCAACAACAATCTCACCCTTTATGTAAACATTCCAGTGTTGGTGGAGAGAAAGAGAGAGAGATTTGAAATGCACTTAATCAAAAAATTGGTACTATTTTCTGTCACAGAGGCTATAGGCTCAATGTCAGATAAGTGACAAACAGAAGGAACCATGCAAAGGCTTCTGTATGAAATGTACACAGCTCACATGCACACACAGACACTCCCCCCCCCCCCCGTCACACGTGCACAACCCCCCCCCCCCCACCATCATGAAGCCATTTCCATTTCCATGCTCCTGTATGTGTATGTGTTTGTGTATGTGTGCGTATGGTGTATGCTGTGTGTTCTCAGATATCAACGAGTGTCTATCAGATCCATGTATGTACGGTGGTACATGCATTGATCAGCTCGGTCAACATTTCTGCAACTGCACACCTGGGTATACTGGACATCTGTGTGACTCAGGTAGAACTGGATTTTTGAAAATTTAATATCGCTGGATAGCAGCACTTCCAGTTGTTGGTTTGGGTGATAGGGGCTGATTTGATGATAAACGCACGATGAGTCAAATTTGGTGTTGCTGTTGCGTAGTTATTTCCTGTATATGGTAACTGTCCGACCGTTTGCATCTTGCCCGCTACTCTCAGAAATCAATGAATGCGTATCAAACCCATGCAAGAATTCTGCCACGTGTATTGATCAGATCAATCAATATGTCTGCCAGTGTAGGCCAGGCTACACCGGAGAGTTGTGTGAACAAGGTAATGTGATCCGGAAGGCAAACTATGTCTTGGAACAAATTTCTCCTCGTGAATACTCTTGCGATGATACACACGCACACACACACACACACACACACACACACACACACACACACATGCACGCATGTGCACACATCCTCGTTTTTCCACTCCAAGTGTATAAATCCTACCGTTGTTTCATCATCCCCTTTAATCACGAACTCCATTGGTAATTGTGACAAGAAAACGTTCTGGAACACTTTATTCGCTGCTATGGTTGTGATATAGGTGCGCATATAGTTTTAGTCATTGCATTATCAAGATTGTTGTCTCCATGTCGTGCCTACTCCAGATGTAGATGATTGTCTGTGTGAGCCATGCCAGAACGGAGCAACATGTGCTGATGAGGTCAATGATTATGCATGTACATGTCCACCAGGATACTCAGGAAAGCAGTGTGATATCGGTAAGCAAAGATTGTTGATCCTGGGCTTCTGCAACGTGCTGTCCCTTATAAGTGCAACGTGGCCATGTAGCCTGCCTAGAAGCAGCCTGGCCTCCTGAAGAAGATCTGTTCAATGCACCATATGAATGGCAAAACCACACCGTGACAAACTGCTTCTCATGTCCGAAACTAACCAAAAATGTGTTCGTGCTCAGTACAATTGTGCCTATATTTGCCCAGTGCACACACAAGTTTGCATCAGAATTCCTCACCCCATACACTACCATAAGGAATTGATATCTTTCTGCAGTAATGTGTGGTTGATTATTGTTTTCTATCATTGTAGATGTGGACGAATGTCTCTCGTCACCCTGTCAGCATAATAGCATGTGTGAGGATCACGAGAACTCATTCTTGTGCCACTGTACCCTGGGATACACTGGCGTCAAGTGTGAAACAGGTATGGGCGGGTTGCGGCGAGCCATATGTGTTCAGCTATAGGTATGCACATCAGTCTCGTCCTGCATCAATCGGCAGGCAATCACCATAAAATGGCGAAAGAGATGGTGACTGCGAACTGAGAAACAAGGACTGAAGCATAGTGTCACACATTCTAACCGCATACATACTAGTAGCTGAGGTCTTGGTTCCTACTTTATTCATATTCGTAGTATAGGGCGCACCAGTGATTTGGGGCCAGAAGTATTGCCTCCAAAGTGTGCACTATACTCTGGCAAATACTCCCTTATGAAGAGCCAAAGGTCAAAATTCGGAGATCATAACAATTGAAAAGCAGTGAAAGACCAAAGTGATGGTGGTGTTGGTGGTGGTGATGAAGCCTTCAAGGTGATAATTTTGAGATGATCGTGATTAAAAGTTTCAAGAATGGCCGGGAATTTCCCCAATAGATCACCCGAAAGAGCATCGAATAGTACATTGTTGTTCATGTTCCATTCCTTCGTAGATATGAATGAATGTCAGAGCATGCCTTGTCAGAATGGAGCTGAGTGTATAGATCAGCTGAACACATTCATCTGCACATGTCCAGCTGGCTATACTGGTCAACTTTGCCAAACTGGTAAGGAGAGAACTACCCGATGCTAAAATCATCGGCGCTTCTTGTGGTAGATCAATTCTACTATCCGATTATCCTCCCCAACCACCCCCAGCTAGGGTCCTGTGTTGTTTGGCATAAATGCAGATAATCCAATTCATGGTTTAAAGTTTCTTCCTTGGCAAAGCCAAAATTGTGCTGCACATTATTATCTTCATTTTACCTGGCTTTCAATAAGCCTATTGGCTGGGATCAGAGATGCACTGATTAACATCCCCAGACGACCATGCCAATGTGGCTGTGTGGAATGTTCGCGGCACAAATTACGTCTTTGCGCAATGGGCTTATAGGATGTCCACTCAGAGCTATAAAACAGTTACAAGTGAAAATACATGTAAAACTGGCACGAATCGGCACTCATCACATCCAGAGAAGACATTTTGACCCTAGTCGCTTACTATACCCACTTTGCACCCCACACTGTCCATTTGTACGAGCTGATACTATATTGCGGGGAGTCACGATCCCTCTATTGTTGTGTGGTGGTGTTGGTCAGATTTATCTTTTTCGTTTTTTCTAATGTCTCAATTCCCTCTCAATTTCTGTGAACTTTAAGTATCCTTTTATTGAAGTTGGTTTGAGGGTGTTGTCCCAGACACATTATGATCCAAAATTCTGAAACCAATGTCATTATCCGAATCTGTATTGTCCTCTGTTGGTATATGACTATATGATGTCCATTGCGTGTGCAGATATCGACGAATGCTTCTCAGCACCATGTTCAAACAATGGAAGCTGTGTGGATGGTGTGCATAGCTTTGAGTGCACATGTCCACCAGGATTCACTGGTAACCTCTGTCAGACAAGTAAGTTGTGAAACGATGTGTTAACTACATGGGAATTGGGCTCACCGGCATGTTGATCCTGTTTGAAATCTGTTCCAAGGAAATTCATCTCCATCGGTATGTGTAGTAAAATCTCTCTCTCTTTCTCTATCTATCTCTGTCTCTCTCTCTCTCTCTGTCTCTCTCTCTCTCTCTCCCTCTGTCCTCCAACCCCCTTCTTTTTCTTCATCTTTGACAATGTCACGAATGTGACCATTAATAGCGTGGTCCTAGAATGCTCGATCTGTTCTTTAGTTTCCCTTTCAAATTATGATATATGTACATTGCAGACAATGTTTTTAATCCTCTACTCAAGATAATATCGAGTTTTGGAGAATGAGTTCGTTACAAAAAGAATACTAACTGTCTTATTGTAGGAAGGAAAAGGAAATATAGATACGAGTTGAGAGTAACTCTCCATCACTTTAACCAGATACTATATACAGTCAGAAAGTGCAACAACTATGCACAAAACTGACAGAGTACCGAGACATTCGACGTCCTGACACCTAGCTTCAACACATATCTGTAGCGTTAACGCTTTGTCAAATATCCTACTGGTCTCGTCATAGTGCAGTAACAATCGACATGCTTTGTTCCTTTGGAACTGTAGCTTGTGCTCATTTTCGTTGCGCTTGCCTTCCCCTCTTTGGTCTTTCCATAACCTTGAACCTTCCAAGTTGCAAGGCTATTGGTTAGCGCAACGGAGATGTGTTGAAGCTAGGTGTCAAGACGTCGAATGTCTCAGTACTCTGTCAGTTTGGTGCCTAGGTGTTGCACTTTCTGACTGTATATAGTATCAAGCAATAGGAGGACAGAGGAAGTGTTTTTACTCAGAGTTTCACGCACTAAGGCCCCATTCACACACGGTACAAAACCGCATACAAGCATCATGTTCTTTGAAGTGGGCATGGAAACATGCGCGAAAAGTGAAAAATCACATCAACGTTCAAAGCCATCCCGGAGCGGCTTTGAAGGCGGCTTTGAAAGCGGATTTCGGCTTTTAGTTTTCAGGCAAGTCGAAACAAGTGGTTTGGTGTGTCCAGTGCGCAGAGTTTTTGTTAGTTTTTGGAGAGTCCGGTAGTACCATGCCTCGAGTTGTCTTTTCTGCCGAGGCGGAGCTACGGCTGATAGAACTATGGGGAAAATACAAGCGAGAAAAGTGAAACTATGATGAAAAGAGCTGTTGCCGAGAAGAGGATTGCAGATGAGCTGAATCTGTGCGCAAAGCAGCTACCCGGAGTGATCAGGAAATGACATACACGGCCTACCCACGGCCGCTATCGTTCACAACTCCAGCACACTCAGAGGAATACACCAGTTGTGGAGGCGTTCCACCGAGATCATACTAGCGGACCAAGAAATAGTATTTTTGAAATGTTTAGCCGTACCGGTGCGCTCAGCTCATGCAGAAATCAAAATATTTTAATTCCGCTATCGTTCACAACTCCAGCACACTCAGAGGAATACACCAGTTGTGGTGGCGTTCCACCAAGATCATACTAGCGGACCAAGAAATAGTATTTTTGAAATGTTTAGCCGTACCGGTACGGTGCGCTCAGCTCATGCAGAAATCAAAATTCCGGCTCTTCGCTATGGGAGTATGGGTCACGCGGGTCACTTTTTACGTGTTTGGCATGCACTGCATTTGACTGTGTGAATGCTCAGGCGTTGCAAGTGGCTTGTACCGTCATGTAAACGCGAATTTTTGTACCGTGTGTGAATGCAGCCTAAGCGATCATCAGAAAACAGTATATAGTATCATGTTAAAGTGATAGAGAGTGACTCTCAACTCGTATCTATATTTCCTTTTCCTTTCTACATTTATTATTGGCTCAACATCCGAGTTTCAAACTGTCTTATTGTTTTTTGAATTCTTTATTCTCACGATGGCACCATCGCCAATACGAGATAATTACTTTAGTAGGGACAGTGTTGGAGCACAAGTGAAGTGATCTGTCGTAACTGAATTGGGTTTGGATAAGACGTACATTGGACAATACGTACACTTTCCTGCTGTACATGGGAGTATACCTTATCAGTGTTGTACTTCATGCTGTGCAAGTCTTGCAGTTCAGCTGGTGCATGCGTCCATTTTGCTGTACTCTATTCTGTGTAGATATCAATGAATGTGCTTCAAGTCCTTGCCACAATCAAGGAACATGTGTGGATTCGCTGGATCGGTTTAGTTGCATGTGTACAACTGGATACACGGGAGATACTTGCGACAGAGGTATAGGATGTTGTTAATGGCTACTGTCTTCACGCCCCTCTCACCCAATAGTTTTCCAAATTTCTTTTGTACATAGCAGAAAAGAGTGACCATTTAATCTTTGCCCTGCCTTCTTCCTCACCGCCACTGCTGTACACTGCCTCCCAATTTATGTTCTGTTGTCCTTATTATCAACACCAATCTCACCCCTCATATAAACATTCCAGTGTTGGTGGAGAGAGAGAGAGAGAGAGAGAGAGAGAGACCAGAAATGCACTAAATCAAAAATTGGTACTATTTTCTGTCACAGAGTCTATAGGCTCCATGTCAGATAAGTGACGAACAGAAGGAACCATGAAAAGGCTTCTGCATGAAGTGGTACCATCATGAAGCGATATCCATTTCCATGCTCATGTATGTGTGTATGTGTGTGTATGGTACATTGTCTCGGCTATGTTTTCTCAGAGATCAATGAGTGTCTGTCAGATCCATGTATGAACGGTGGTACATGCATTGATCAGCTAGGTCAACATTTCTGCAACTGCACACCTGGGTATACTGGACATCTGTGTGACTCAGGTTAGAGCATAAAACTTGATGTAAATGACACTTAGGTGAGAGATATTCGTCAATGTCCAACACTGTAACTAGATAATAAGAAGTCAAAAAGTGTCCTTTATACTTTTCACATTTGAGCCTCTATATCCTCTATCTCTTTTTTGAGGATTTTGAGTTTTCTGTGCCATGAGATTGCTGTAATCCCACAGATCAATGTGCAACAGACCTCAGTCAAAAATCATCATATAACTGCTATCAGCGAGTTATGGCCGTTGGAAAAAGTGTATTCACATCTCTTTATAGAGAAAACTCTACTTTCAAATGCATTTTTCTCAACACTGCAAAGCTACATAGCCCGCTTTTCGGATCTGCATGCTCATTAATGATAGGTCAATATTCGTTGATACGCTGGATTACAGGAAATTAAATACTGCAGAGGGGATCTATATCCTACGTTGTCTTTGGCAAGTACTCTCATTAAACTCAAAACAAACAGGTACTATCAAAGCCACACTCATATCATGACTATAGTTTCTGTTCATGTGCACCTGTCTGTGTGCAGAAATCAATGAATGTTCCTCCAACCCATGCAGAAATTCCGCCACATGTATCGATCACATCAATGAATTCGTATGCGAGTGTTCAGCTGGATTTACCGGGGAGTCCTGCGAACAAGGTAATGTACTAGATTCTCTGCTTCCATTTTCCGACCATCTTCCTTCCCACCACCACCACCCCAAGCACACTAGGGTAGCAGGCACATTTTTGCTCCACAAGTTGAACCCTTTTTTTCTCTTCATCCCCTTGTCTCTGTATTTGCTGCTGTGAATCTACTGTAGATATAGACGATTGTCTGTGTGAGCCATGCTTGAACGGAGCAACATGCACTGACGAGGTCAACAATTATTCCTGTACCTGTCCACCGGGATTCTCAGGAAAGCAGTGTCATATTGGTGAGAGATTAAAAACTTCTGCATATATGTATTTTTGTAAATTCTTCGTTTTCCCACATTCCCCCACTGTGAAAAGCTTTTGTCACTCTATGTCTGACCACTACATGTACATGTACCATTGCATGATACAGTAAAACCTGTAACTAAAGACCACCGTTACTAGCATCCATCCTGGTCCTACAGACCACTTTACCAGGCAGAGACGGTCTCATATTCATATCAGGTTGTGCGGTGCAAACCTCTAACTAAGGACCACCTACCACCAAAGACCGCTTTCTCTGGCCCCAAGGGGTGGTCGTTAATCACAGGTTTACTGTATAGGTGAGCCTTGGTTGGTTGATTGGTTGACAGCATGTTACAGCCAATAATGGTTGTAGTCAGAAGCAATGTTATCAACACAGTGCGTCCTCCGCCTTAAATATGCTGTCGACCAATCAACATATACCATTTCCCATCAACAAAGCATCCCACCTCCGAAAACACTTAACAAAGGACACATCCTACTCGCTATCTGTAATATTTTCACTCCCACAGTCTCAGTAGTTGTTGTATTAGTGTGGTATTGCAAACACAGTAGTAGTGTGTTCTACCTTGTGAAATTCATCCACCGTCCGTAGAGGACTCAATTTCCTGAATGCAAAGAGCGGAATAACTAGAAAAAGAGAACGAGCAGTTGTTTTTCGGAACTCGAGTTTCACGAACTGAATCGATCATCGGACGAAAACAGACTTATTCTGTCTGTATAGTAATGTATTTTATGAATTTTTGCTCTATTTGCAGACATTGATGAATGCCTCTCATCACCCTGTCAGCATAATAGCATGTGTGAGGATCAAGAGAACTCATTCTTGTGCCACTGTACCCTGGGATACACTGGCGTCATGTGTGAAACAGGTATGGACGGGTCAAACCAAGCTGTGCGCTAATCCAGGGTTACTCAAGTCAGTGTGTATATATTACGGTATGCACTGGTATGGGAAAACTGTGCTATTTTTCCACTGTCAGAAGGCTCATTTCACAACATATGTCCAATACAAATGGAATTTTGAGCCAGGCACAGAGTGGCACCATCTTGGTTTCTGTAGGGCCTACTTCATGTTCAACATGGCACACTCACTTCAGCTTATAGTGCAGTATCTAGAAGTCTTGGATGTGTGCCGTTTGTTGGCTTTTGTTATGCTACAATTCCATGATTTAAGATGTTTCTTTTTAAATTCCCTGTTGAGAGTATACTCTCACACATATTTCTTGGAGAGGTGAACTTCCGCAATCAGCAAAACGGTCACCGAATAGGCAGTCATGAATTGGGGTGATGTGCATTCAATCCGATCTGGGTCGTTCAAAAAATGGGCTGAGAGTTTCCCCTAATAAATCACCCGGAAGAGCACCGAATACTGAGTAGTACAATTGTGTTCACTTTCGATTCATTGTGTAGATATGAATGAATGTCAGAGCATGCCTTGCCAGAATGGAGCTGAGTGTATAGATCAGCTGAACACATTCATCTGCACATGTCCTGCTGGCTATACTGGTCAACTCTGCCAAACTGGTAAGGACACCAAACATGTGTTCAGATCCCTGAATATTAGTCTCATGTGAACGCTATTGTCCTCAACCTTACTTACTATTATTACTACACTGCTGGCAACTAAAATCCGACCCCTCACATTCTAGCGGTCTCTATTTCAGAGTTTTACAATCCCGTGTTGGGTCTTTGCGATTATAGCACACTGCTCAGCGGTCGGATTTCAGTTGCCAGCACTGTATATTTGTATGTGTGTTGCATCACTTAATGATGCAAGAATTCTCTCCCGTTACAATTTTTTGTGTCTCCAAAACTGTTGTCAATGTGCTGCCATACGATCGGAGCATATTTGCGATTACCTTCAAGTACCTTCAGTGGGTTGACGTGCAAACTAAATTGTGAAATTGGTTTCATGTTACTAGAGTGAGAGTGCTCATTCGTGAACGGACATGTGTTTTTGGGTTAATTCACATTTCTGTGTGTTCTTTACTTGAGCAATACGACAGCATCTCCCAGCTTTCTTACCTATACATGTCGCCATGCCTTTCGTTGTGGCTTTCCCCTCCTTTGTCTACCAGATATAGATGAATGCGATGGTGTTGTGTGTTTCAATGGTGGATCGTGTAGTGACCATGTCAACAGCTACCAATGCTCCTGTTTAGATGGTTATACAGGTCAGCACTGTGAGACAGGTGAGCTGTTGTTACTTGTACAGTAGAACCTGTCTAAGACGACCGCTCATGGGACCATCAAAGCGTGGTCTCTGTTACCAGGTGGTCTACTTATCCAGGGTAATTTGACTGGAAGTAGCATCCCTCGATCCTGATTCCAGTGGTCTTCTGGAACAGGTGGTCGCCTTATCCGAGTGGTCACCATGACATATTTCACTTGTATGCTCCTTAAATATGTCTCCATAGTTTAATGATCACATTGGAGCTTTAAAATATCATCTGTTTGCGTAAACGGTGAAAACTTCGGGATCTGAAAACAGTGATCAGTATGTTGCAGAGTGATGGGAACAAGATTGTCAAACATCTTTTGTCAGTGAGCATTTTCGACCCTTTGTCACGCTTCTAATGTTGGAAAAGAGGTTCGGGTGGACATACCTATTCCAGTGTCATTGCAAATCTGAGCCAATTCGATCATTGTTCAGTTACCTGATGATGGCCATGTGCCGAAACATTGTTTAATAATGGAATTGGTTCAGATTTGCAGTGAGACTGGAATGGGTGTGTCCACCCAAACCTCTTTTCTATTATGAAGCTGCAGGAGGCCTCAAGACTTCTTTTCACTTGTGTAGAGAATTACGGTGATTGATCAACTGAAAACCAATCTATTCATGAGCTGTCTGCTAGCCTAAAACACCGAACTCATACCCTGTTGTATCCACACACTTTGTGCAGAGATTGTTTTAAGTTTTAAGCACACTGTCCTATTGATGATGTGGGGCAACAGTAAAGTGGGCCAGAAGACTCGGAAAATCAGACAAAAGAGGTAGGACATGCAAAACAAGGTGCAGGTGAGGCGAGTCCGGCTGGTCCAATTAACCAGAGGTCTGGGAGTCAGCACTGGATGCGCGCACCAGGAAGAGGTGAGGGCGGGTTGAGATGGGAGAGGAATGTAGTACCAAATTACCAGCATAAGGAAGAAAATCAAATTAAGGTGTAAGGTGTTTGTACAGTGTTCTAGTTCTTAGTTGATTTTAGTTGCCGTCTGTGGCCCACAGTAGTATGCAAGGGGAGGCAATGCTTCCAAAATGTCATAGTTTGAGGGACTTTGAAAGGGGAAAGGTCTAAAGAGAGATATCGACTGTCCCCGCGGGAAAAAAACAGCATTGTTGAATAGACAGTGTTTTGGCCCAAAAAATTCCTTTTGATTCGGAGCAAACCCATTCCCTGTTCATTGTGGTGTTGTATTGTTAAAAGATATCAATGAATGTTCAAGTAACCCATGTCGGCATTCTGGAATATGTGTGGATCACGTCGACAGTTTCTCATGTACCTGCATAGCTGGCTACACAGGAGACATGTGTGAACAAGGTACAGTCAGATCTCTCATAACCGCACACATCCATTTCCCACAAACATATCCGGATTGGCGAGGGAACCGGATAATCAAACGCACATACTGTATATGGGCCACAACCAGCTAAAACATGTCTTAGGGTGAAAATTTTCAAATTTTGTTTTCCTCCAGAAAACAGTTCTTGGGACCTTACTTGACCTCTTGAAGGTGATACAGGGCAGAAAAGTAGTCTACAAGTGCCCCAAACACCGCTTTCAAAATATGTACTTTGAAATAGAAAATGACAGTTTTCGCACAGTCTGACACAAAGAGACAAACTATTAGTACAATAGTGGCTTTTGTGGCGGAGCACAATACAACGGAACTAAAGATGTTGACACCGACTTCAGCATGTCAGTTTAAAGGCATGGCCCAAGTTCTTCCTGGAAAGCAACAAGATGCGCTGGGCGGCGTTGCACTTGCATACTCTTTCGATTCTGGCAGTGACACTTTCGATCGTCGCCTGCGTTTCCGAGACTGCGTCAGACGCCTCATGAGAGCTGAACGCAAGTAACGTCGTAACGCAGCCGGTTCGCCGCCTAAATGATTATGTACTAGCCCACAACTTGTGCCTCTTCGCTACTGGAGACAACGGGGACGATTCAGCTTCGCTGTCGACATCAACATAAATGAGATCCCAACAAATTGTCAGCGTCGCTCTGCAGACCCGCCACCACGGACTTGCAGACACCTGAATAAACCTGGGCCATGCACAGCGATCGTCTGGCCCTGCGAGCTGCTCTAGTATCACTAGATGCGGACATTGTCTTGTCTTTGATCGCCAGCTACTTGAAGTAGAACGCCAAACAAGTGTTTGAACAAAATTTGAGAAGATGATCGCCACATCATGAATCATTTTGAATGAAGTGCAGAGTGAACGCGCTCCAAAAAAACATTTTTTTTCATTTCGTCATTTCCCAACTTTTTTACGAAACCCCAAAGACATGTTTTAGCTGATCGCGGCCCATTATGCATTGCATATCCTGTAAATCGGTAACCAACGAATTCCTTTCGGATGGCGATGGATCTGGATAAGAGCGGACCGGATAAGCCAGGTCTGACATGCACCACAGTGCGATTACTGAGAACATGTTGGACTTGTGTAAATTGATAACATCAGTAATGGCAGAGCAAGATGGGAGTGGATATCCAACGATTGCTCTTAAAGCCTCACATCCTGGTTGTGTGAGCTTAGAATGATCATGATTAATAGGTGATGGACCTTGTGTTTGTGGTGTGCACCCCTTCCAGATATCGACAACTGCGCATCTGCACCATGTGGCAGCAATGGCATGTGCATAGATAGGGTGAATAATTTCACGTGCATCTGTGATGCGGGTGTGACTGGTCCACTCTGCTCACAAGGTAAGACTGTGAACTCAACCCTCTGTGTTTGCATTACTTCTATGTACTGTGCTGGTCAGTGAAATCCGATAAAGTGAGTCAATGCCACGGAATGTGACGGTGTATTCTGCTAAATGTGATGGTGGCAATTTCCTGTATTTTCGCTCTTCCTGCTTGCTCAGACATTATTGACTGTGAAAGCGACTTGTGTCAGAATGGCGGAACATGTCAGGATCTCACCAATGACTTCAGCTGTGCCTGCCGTGCCGGCTTCACGGGGAAGGTGTGTCAAAGAGGTGAGTACAAATCCTGTAGTTGTTGACAATTTGAAGGAGAACATCATAGTAAGCCACGTCTATATCCACTTCATGGTTGATGTACACGTGGGAGGAAATGTTTGACCCAGTCATAATTATGTGTATGGCCAGGCAATGTGGCATACCCCTTGAAGACGGCTTGGAGTTTCTACTTCAAAGTATGTGTAATTGGGTGTTTAGAACATAATTGTTATAAACAAGTTCGATTTCAGTTTTGATTTCATTTCGATTTCAGTTCGATTTCAGTTTTGATTTCAGTTCGATTTCAGTTCGATTTCAGTTCGATTTCATTTCGATTTCAGTTCGATTTCAGTTCAAGGATGGTGAGGAAGTAGGCAGGCCCTACAATCGAATACAACATAATATGTGCTTCAAATATTTGGTTAAAATAATTATTATGTGAACTTAAAAGTTGCGACTTCGGCGGTAATAGTCATGAAGTTGATTGATCCAACTAGGAACACACGCTTCTTGCCGAACTTGACACTTGACTGACTCACGACTACGATCCGGAGCACACGAGGAGCACGTCGCACCTTCCACTCGGCAAACCTGCAAGAAAGCACCACTCCCTGCTCAATACACGGTGTTTCGGGGAATTCACCCCTCATCAGTTGAGCTTGAGTAGGCTGAGGAAGATTGTGCTGCTTTCTTGCAGGTTTGCCGAGTGGAAGGTGCGACGTGCTCCTCGTGTGCTCCGGATGGCAGTCGTGAGTCAGTGAAGTGTCAAGTTCGGCAAGAAGCGTGTGTTCCTAGTTGGATCAATCAACTTCATAATTATTATGTGGTTCAAATAACTCTTTTGAAAGTGTAATGCAGGTTAGAAGTACTAGCTTCATTTGTAATGGTAGACGAAAATGGTTACACTGACGTGTAGGGCTCACGCTTCCTATCGAAATACTTGACACTTGACTGACTCACGATTGCCATCAAGAGCATGAGGAACACGTGGACCATTCCATTGGTGAAACCTGGAAGAAAGCACTGCTGTCTCACGGCATAACCAATTTTATAACTGATTGCTTGTTCGTCCAATGTTACTTGTTTGTCCAATGTTACTTGTTTGTCCAATCTTACTTGTTTGTCGAATCTTACTTGTTTGTCCAATTGTACTTGTTCATCCAATCTTACTTGTTTGTCCAATCTTACTTGTTTGTCCAATCTTACTTGTTTGTCCAATCTTACTTGTTTGTCCAATCTTACTTGTTTGTCCAATCTTACTTGTTTGTCCAATCTTACTTGTTCATCCAATCTCAATTGTTCGTTCAATCTTACTTGTTTGTCCTATCTTACTTGTTCGTCCAATCTTACTTGTTCGTCCAATCTTACTTGTTTGTCCAATCTAAATTGTTTGCCCAATCTTACTTGTTTGTCCAATCTTACTTGTTTGTCCAATATTACTTCTGCTAGATATTGATGACTGTGTGGGAGTGGTGTGTTATAACAACGGCAGCTGTGTGGATCAAGTCAATAGTTACTCCTGTCATTGCTCACCTGGCTACACAGGAGCACACTGCCAGCAAGGTACTGCTGCAATGGGCGCTTTCGATTACACATTTACACAATTCTGGAACTGGTTTTTTAAATTCTGGAATGACCAGAATGAGCGGATTCCGGCCTTGTAAACAAACGACTGGATCAACGTATTTTATTCATGTCATGTCACAAACAAACTTGATGAATCGTAAAAAGAGATCACGTAGACCTCTACACCCTCGCGCGCACGTGGACCCAGCATCGCGCACACACCGGCCAGGGAGGCTCTTCGCGCGCTTGAGTCATGACCAGACGGGTAACACACCGACTGTGCAATTCTGGCGCCAGAATTAAAGAAATTCCGCCCTCTCTTCAGAATTGACAGATTCGACGGAATTGGATAAAATCAATTCTAACGACGGAATTTGTCACTTTTTGTGTATTCGAACTGTGCATCAACAATAACTAATTCTAGAATTGACCGAAATGCGTGTAATCGAAAGCACCCATTGTCTGCTGTGTTCTCTGCCGTATTCTCCTGCGTGTTCTCCACTACATTGCATGTTGTGCTTTCTGCTGTGCTCTCCTTTTTTTTCTCTGCTGCATTGCAACCAACCTATTCTCAGTTATCACTCTTATAATATTATGATGTGCGTAGGGGTATGTCCGGATGTATGGAATTGTCACGTTCATACTCAGTTTCCATTGGATGGTTTTAGTGCTCTTGGAATCCGACCACAGTCTGCCCATCGAAGCTGAACTGTTCGGGATCTATAAAATCATTTTGTTTCTTTTGCTGTTTCCGGCATGCAGAGATAGACGAATGCGCAAGTCAGCCATGTCAGTACGCTGCTACATGCACTGATGGTCTCAATAGCTATATGTGTAATTGTGCAGCAGGCTATACTGGGCAGGTTTGTCAAACAGGTAAGATTCAATCTTCTTGGTGTTTCCTTGCCAGACCAGAGACCGACACCAACACCAACACCCCCTGCCCCCCCCCCCCCCCCATTTAGGAAGTACGATTCTGAACCGATTTTCGTCAACGGTTTGGACATTTCAACATTATCTTGACCATGTTGCGGTCCTTTGAATACCATTTCCTGTTTGCTTTGTGATAGATATCAATGAATGTGTATCGAACCCGTGTGAGAATGGTGGTGCATGTAATGATGAGCTCAACGCTTACACGTGTACATGCATTGCGGGTTACACCGGTCCTGAATGCCAGCAAGGTGAGATCATTAGCGAGTGCTTGGACATGCCTACGGGTACATTTACACATGACTTGAGCCAACGCTTGCATGCATGTACTGGAAACAGAAGTACTTTAAAGGGGCACTCCGGCTTCATTTTCGACGCCGAGTTTTCGATGCCAAGACGAAGGTAGGTGAAAGAGAAGACCCCTCGAACAAGAACGAGTCTCCAGAAGCGATCGAGTCGAGCAGGAAGACGACTTTTGAATTTCGCCGAGCGAGTGCTGATGACGTAATGAGGGATTAGCTTGCCAGTGGAAATGCATCTGCGCACATAAGTTACATTTCACATACTTTTTGGCCAATTTTCAATCGAAGAGGAGGTTGTTTTCTATGTTCTCTCAACGTCGTGAGCGATCCCGTCTTCTATACCCTTCCAGGTACCCTGAAGGTCCTCCAGAGGAGAATTTATCTCCAGCGAAGCGTTGTTGATCCGCTAAATTCGTCTCGAGACATATTCACCCAGTGCAGTGCTGATAAATGTAGAATGTTGAATCTGTGATAATTGTCGACGATGGAGAGAGAGGTTGATAGCCGCTGTCGCAGGGAAAGTGAAGCTGCTGGAAGTAACAACGGGGAGCTTGTTAGCATCACATGTGCATCCAGACTTCAAAGCAGCTTGACGGAATCGGGGAGTACTGACTATTTGTCTCGCCCTCAGTTTAGTGAATTTTATGACCAGAAAATTATTCGATCAGGATCCCTTCTACAAGATGTGTAGTACAGGTGATTTCTGAACTTGACGATATGGAGACCGACCAGTAGACCTACCAACAACGTGTACCTGCAGGAAATTCACCCAAGGCTATTGCTATCCTCTTCAGTGGCTGTTGTTTTGTAGTAAAAATATGTTCACTTCTCTCAACATACTCGTGCATGTCAGCAAGAAGGTGCGCTATGGAATTCAACGCCACAATCTTCGCCCAGCTGTGGATGAAGCATGGTCAAGTCATGGCAGTACATATACTTGAAACAGATGAGAAATTGAAGTTCATTTGTGATGGGAAGTTTGACAGCCCCAGTGACCGAGTCAAGCATTGTCTTTTGCCGTGGCACAAATTGCTGAAGAATCCGAGATGGTCTTGGAACTATGCACATGGATACTACCAGAAATAATGGTGGCATGAACCATTGTGGAATGGGACAGCTCACGGAGAATACTGGAATAGCTCAAGTATCTCTTAGTGATTGTAAATCCTGTTCTGGCTGATAGCTTCGGCCTGCTGCACCCGTCCATGTACAATGATGGGAACATGCATTTCTGTTTTCTACATATTTGCCGGCTACTGTACTGTGGTATTACAGTTGCAGGTCCCTTATATAAAAAATATGTTCAACCCCCTCCCACATTATAAATATGAACTAACAATTTCACTGTTGGACTCGCAGGCGGCTAGAGAGCAAAGGATTAATTTATAGCAAAGAAAAGGACCAGGGAACTACAAGTAAATTAGTTACGCTATACTGTCCACGAACAATTTCACTGTATTTGAAATAATTTTGTTTGATACCCTGAGAACTCTGAAACTTTGGAGCACTGTGGATTATATGTGGATACAACATTTATAGAAGGAAAAGTGGAATGATTTCTAACACATTGTTCAAATAATTATAGCACTGAATTGTTGAGATTGTGAGCACATTCCAATCAGCACTCTACATATTTATAAGCGGTGGAAATCGTTAGGAATAGGTCGTGAGTTGTCAGAGTGCTCCAGTATATGAGAGAATGTTTTGTTTGTCTAATCGACGGCTCGTTTGAAGCCAGAGTTGTTTGAACTTGTTTCAGTCGACTTGATTCTAGATAGTAGTCGAAGGAGTACTATAAAGTACACACCACACGTAGTCCGTAAGGTATCTCGTGAGAATTCTGTCGGTACACATCAGGTATCAGCTTGGAAAGATGGATCCTCTCTGTTTCTTGAAAGCCTGTATAATTGGACTGTGGCTCCAGCGATTCCCTTCTCAGAGCAGATACCATACCCAATACGGTCAATGCATATTGGACAGACCTGTATGCACAACAGAAATAGTGGAGAGAAATCTCTCAGCTCATGAACACGTCAGTGAAGTTTGAACTGCCGTTGTTTGTGGCCATCAGTATAAACCTATCGACTATAAGAATAATGTGCAAACAAACTTCTATAACCACAGCTGGGGCCATGGAATTATAAACTTAGGGAACTGCCAATTCTGGTCTGAGTTGCGTTCGAGGCCTGCAATTCATGATGGCTATCGTATGTTGCATTGACCAGAGATCATAATAAGTATTATTTTAAAACTTCCATGCCACATTGAAACACGCACCACTTTCGAGTACTTAGGTATCCCTCACCAAATGGGCATTCGTTCTCGGGGTGACAGGCGTCACTATTCGTTATGCCTGGATCAGATTTCATTGACCCAAACTGTCATGAAGAATCATTTTTACTTTGACTGGATTTCAGTACAAGTTGTAGAACTGCAGAATCAATTTCGTTGTATTTAGGCAACCATTTCACTACAAACGCTCTATTGGGAAAATAGAATTTTTTTTATAAAATACATGTCCAAATTCCACATCTACCCAAATCGGAATACTTGATCACGTATTCAGTACTACACGGAATGTTTAGAAAACGCCAGAGAATAGGAATTTGCTAACAAGAACTCCAGGCCAGGGTACTAGCATACGAACAAAACAAGATAAAAACTCACCAGTGTACTTGTAGTAATTCATGTCGGTGTAATATTCACGATAAGCAACGAGGCACCCTCCGATTTGGTCAAGCTGCTTTGAAGTATGGTTGTTCAGGTGATACAAACGGGCTCCCTGTTGTTACTTCCAGCAGCTTAACTCTCCCTGCGACAGCGGCTATCAGCCTTTCTCTCCATCGTCAACAATTATCACAGATTCAACATTCTACATTTATCAGCACTGCACTGGGTGAATATGTCTCGAGACGAATTTAGCGGATCAACAACGCTTCGCTGGAGATAAATCCTCCTCTGGAGGACCTTCAGGGTACCTGGAAGGGTATAGAAGACGGGATCGCTCACGACGTTGAGAGAACATAGAAAACAACCTCCTCTTCGATTGAAAATTGGCCAAAAAGTATGTGAAATGTATGTGCGCAGATGCATTTCCACTGGCAAGCTAATCCCTCATTACGTCATCAGCGCTCGCTCGGCGAAATTCAAAAGTCGTCTTCCTGCTCGACTCGATCGCTTCTGGAGACTCGTTCTTGTTCGAGGGGTCTTCTCTTTCACCTACCTTCGTCTTGGCATCGAAAACTCGGCGTCGAAAATGAAGCCGGAGTGCCCCTTTAACCCATAGATTCACTGTGACTGCATCACCAGCTTCTGTCATAGGGCCTAGCACAATCGGTATTCAGAAATCGTGCAAATTGGTCTTCTGCTGGGATGAAAGCTACACCATAGCAGAGCAGAGCTGGCCTGAAGCAAAGGTCCCTGGTTCGATTCCTGGTGGTGATAGTCAATTTTTCTTCAGACTTTCCCTTTTCCATTCCCTCAACTTATGAATCATTTATCTGGTAATAATTATTATCAGTTTGAGGAAAGGGTGTAAACGGGATACGTCTGAAGAATATACTGACTGTGACCACCAGGACTGAAACCAGGAACCTTCGCTTATGACCAGCGATGCTCTACCACTAAGCTATGATGTAGTCATCATCCAAGCAGCAACTATATTTTTGGATAATTGTGTGTTGATCCCTATATGGGAGTTCCCTTCACACAATTCCCCAAGTATCGCCGAAATCGCACCAACCTATTCTTATCTTTTCATAGTTTATAAATTTCCTCTGTAATTTTTTCATATGTGCTTTACAGATATTGATGAGTGTGAAAGTCATCCCTGTCGAAATGGAGGCACATGTGAAGATTTCATCACCGGCTATATCTGCTCCTGTCGCCAAGGTTACACAGGAGAGCAGTGCCATACAGGTAAAGTAGTCATGTACAGAGGTCGCCAAATGCTTGAAATAATTGTGTACAGAGCTGCTCTTTTCTACTTTTCTTTGTAGCATTGCGGTGCCACATGTTTCCACCAACCATGTATCATGTATAGGGGAGAAAGTTGGCACTGAGATCCCGAGTTCGAGTACTCTGATTTTCTCCGATCGAATATTCGAGTATTCGAGTATTCTTGATATCCTAAAAATTGCACACCAACCGCCTCAAAAATCACATGATACAACCCTGATTGAACCGATTGGCAGTTCTTTTCTCGAGTGTATTGGTTGGTGGGTCATTTGGGCTCTCTCTACTCGTGTACAAATGTTCACCACACAGTCTGCACATCAATATCTGCTGACTGCTGCTCTGAAACTGCAGACTTCTGTGGTAAATGTATGTACCATGCATGAGCGAGTACTCTGATTTATTCCGAGTACGATTATATTCCAAAAATCCAAACGAGTATTCGAATATTCGGTATAATTGTTTCACCCCTAATCATGTATCATTCTTCTCTCTTTTGTCCTCCATACTCACACTAGTGAAGCCGGTCTTACAAATGTGGTCATTGTGTACAGGTGGTTGCCTTATACACGCTCATTAGACTGGAAATAGCATCTCTTGGTCCTAGTTGCAGTGATTCTCCGGGACAGGTGATCGCCCTGTGAGAGTGATTCTCTCGACAGGTTTACCTGGTTGTTCTATGGGTCATTGATACGGTTGGTGGCCTAAGACAGGACACTTTGTTTGTAAACGTTCCAGCTAGTGAGCATGGCGTGACTCTGAGGATAATCATTCGTCGTGTTCTTCAGCAGTACTGTTTATTCGTGCATGTGTGAATGTTTGTGGTGCGGCGCATTGCTGTTTCCATGGAGCTTGGAATTTGAATTTGACTTTGAGCATATCGCCATGGTCCTTGTATGGGTGATTGATTATCCCTGCAGAGATTGATGAATGCAACAGTTCACCGTGTAGCAATGACACTGTGTCTTGTGTGGATCAACTTAACGGCTTCATCTGTGTTTGTGGACCTGGATACACTGGAAGACTTTGCGATGAAGGTATTGCATGAAAGCCATGGGGGGGGGGAGAGAGGGTGTTTATCTTGATTGACTTCACTTTTGATTTCTGGCTCCCGATGTGGGTCATACATGGCTGCAAAAGAACAGTCCTGTGCCTGCATTTGTGTGTGTGTGTGTGTGTGTGTGTGTGCGCGCGCACGTGTGTGTGTGTATGTGTATGCACATGTGTGTGTGTGTGTGTGTATGCATACATTATGTGTTGCATATATGTAGCCATACTAGTCTCACCAATATTCTAAGCTAAACTCTACTGTCCTTGTTACTGGGCATCCTGATGTGCGTTGCTGCCATCAACCTCTCCGTGGGGCTTGCTTGTTTCCTACAGACATTGATGAGTGCACAAGCAACCCATGTGAGAATGACGGTACTTGCCAGGACAGCATCAATAGATTTGTCTGCTCCTGTCGATACGGCTTTCATGGAGAGATGTGTCAAGACGGTAAGGATGAAGAGATCACCCTCTCCCCATTCTCGGAAACTAGTGGATGCGCATGTGTGCATGCTGCGTGACTTGTACCGCTGTAAACAGCGTCCTAGAGAGGTTAGCACTTCTGTAAGTTTTTTCAACTCGGAGTACATGACAGTCGTATGCATGAGCCAAAAAATGTAGGCGAACGTGCTAGAATTTCCTGCAAATCCTCTTAATATACCCCCTCCCATCTTGCAAGACTCGACGGCGTGCTAGCCCGGGCCATCTGCGCCATCGCCCCAATGTGTTGCCTGCCGAGTCTTGCTCTTCGTCGGATGGTTGCAGCACTTTGCCTCCTGTACAAGATGCATTGTCCGGATGCACATCCCCTTCTACAGAGGATGTTGCCACCCCAGCAGCCCTAACACCAAACAGCCCACTCCACCCATAGTACAGTCCAGAGATGTAATGCTCCCGCACACCAACTGGCAAATGAACTTCCAGTCCGTTCCCGAAACAACCTGTGTCGAGCCTACCCTCACGCAGTTGTCCTTGTCTGGAATCAGCTGCCCCTGGGAGTCTCCTCTGGTCCATTCTGCACCAAGAACTTGCAACACTTCAAAGTTTCAGCCAACTGCTATTTTAAGACCAACGACTGATAGTGGGCACATGACCATCTCTGAGTATCAGCATCATATCTGCCTCACCCCATGACTTCCAAATTCTGCTCCACATACTATTCCCAATAACGTCTGTTCTTCTTTTCTCTCCTTCTCCTCCTAGTAATGTCTATCTTATCCTTACCCTCCTTCAAATGATTGTCTTCCTAACATTTCGTATCATGTACCTGTCACTTCTTTCATTTTTCTTCTTTCTTTTTTGGTGCGCTTTATGTCCCCATGACGTCGAGACCTCAGGTCGGCTGAGGGCAAAAAGCCTCACCATCACTATGCTCCCACTATGCAATTTTTTGTCTTTGCCTGTGAGCTGTGATCATTGTAAAAAATGAAAATAAAATCCTTGGAGCCTCATTTACCAGTGCAAACGTCTGCGATTTGAGAGCCATGTATTGGTATTTGCTGTTCCTAAATGAATTATTTTCTCCTTCTTGTCTTCCAATGGTCTGTCTATGCAGGTGCCGCTACATTGCCCTTTCCAGATGCCCCAGTCTACAACTCAAACTGTACCTATAGAATCATTGTGCGGAGATTTCAAGGCCTTGGCATGCCCTGGCTGCCGGTCAATGTCTACTCTGATGTTCGACCAGACACACTGATCGTCGAAAAAGATCAAGGACACCCGCTATCGTTTGTCACAGAGACCCAATGCAATGAATCCGTGACAGGAATCTTCCCCAATCAGCACCTCAGCTTCATCCAGTTCGAGACAATCATTGGTGAGCAGAGAGATTTTTTTATATTTTTTATACGAAAGTCCACTATATTCCCGAACATGTGCGAGAAGTGGTGGCGGGACCAGGCAGATCCGGTGGCGTAAGATTTATTAGATATGTGTGGCGCACGGATTAATCCGTACCATGACCCCTGATGGGTTAAATGTAATGTCAGCTTAAACCATTATTTGCGTGACCCATACACACAGAAAGTAATGGGGAAAAGGTGCAAGTGTCTTGGGTTTACTCACACTTGCACCTTTCCTCCATTACTTTCTTTGCGTATGGGTCACGTATTTGATGCTGTTGTTTTGGCTCTTCTTCCTAGCGTAGTTCATCTTACTCATGTGATTTTTTTATTTGATGTGATCAACTCTGCTCCTTTGAATTAGGAAACTGGACGCAAGCTGTCCTCAGAAGTCCTGCCCTGACATTCTCCTACACCGGAAATGGGCAGTTCTTGATATCTACATCAACCCTCAGTGATCTGTCACTAACCTTCCTTTCAACAAGATCTGTCATTCTCAGACATCGCCACAGGAGAACAAACTGTCTTCTAAATGGTGCAGATTGTGCCGAGTGGACACCAGTCACGCTGAGTCTACAATTCCCGATATCTGTGTCAATCGCCTACAGTCCCATTGAGGTGGAGTTTGTCGTGAGTTATGATGCAACCGTGCCGGCAATGAACACAACAATGGCCAGGGGAAAGCGTCAAGCAGCACCTGGTGTCATTGTAGCAGAGTATACGGTGCCAATTACCCTGCTCAACCCAGACCGTGAGTACATTGCAATACGTAACATAGTGCTCGAAGTGATGCGGAGTTTCTAGCCTGCTGGGTGTTTGATGTACGTAAAAGCAAAAGAATGGTTTGAGTAGATTGCAGTACCGTATTTTCCGGAGTAAAAGCCACATATCTAAACACCAGTAATTCACCCAATAACAGTCAGTGCGGCTTATACTGTGATGATCAAATTGATGGTGTATGAGGGGAAAATGCATGACATACAACCAGTAGTGCTTATACGCTCAAATATAACTCTTTATGTTTAGTTATGAATTTGTACATGACGTGTTTATGTGTATTTTTGTATGTTGTGTGTTTACTTCGAAGTATGTGTGTCGTTGTCTCTGGGTTTTACGCTTGGCGCGGGCGCATGTGTGTATGTGTGTGTGTGTGTGTGCATGTGTGTGTGTGTGTGTGTGCGTGTGTGTGTGTGTGTGTGTGTGTGTGTGTGTGTGTGTGTGTGTGTGTGTGTGTGTGTGTGTGTGTGTGTGTGTTTATGCCATCAATCCGTATTCATCACCAGCACCAGAAACTGCTTCTCCTCCGACTTCCGCACGGCCAGCCGTGCCATCAGCTCAAGTACAAACACCACCTGCAGCATTGCAGTCCACGCGCGCCATCACATCATCTTCATCAGTGGGCGGTGCAGCTGCTGCAGGTGTTGCCTTAGCGTTCCTTGCCCTGCTCGCCATTATCGTGGTTCTGTTTCTTTTGATGAGGCGACGCAAGAAAAAGGCTTTCTTGGAGGAAAGAATTCATCAAAGTGAGTCCAATTCATAATTATTGCATTGTTTTAACTTACTGCCATTCCTGGTTATCGCCCCCTCCCTCCATATTGGCCTTTATTCTGTGGCCACGGGAAGGTGAAATAAATAGATAGATAAATTGGAGGCTACTACATGTGGTGAGAAGATTGAATTCAATCATTTGACATGTTTTCCGCAACTGCATGGACCGGAGCGCTAGATGAAATACCACCCTGACAAGAACAGATCTGTGTAAAGCACTGCATGTGTATGCCTGCATGTGTAGGACATTTTTCAGTTGCAAGGCCTCAAGGGCTATCTGCAAGTCTGCGGTGCAGAATAATTTTGCACTTTTGGTCGGACTTCACCCAGCACTGTGTCACAGGGGTTGGACATGACGTTGTATGTTGAATTTGCCCACATTCTCACACAGCGTTTCATACAGCACTTAAAGACCCACCCTCTCCTGGCATACATACCGTCATGGTCGGCACCCCATATTGATGTTGCCTGGTGCTTGCGAGAGCACAAAACTTGAAGTAGCAGCAAAGAAGCCTTAAATTGCCCTTGTTGTTCTGAATTTAAAAGAAGGTTCGTCAACTGACAACCGCTCTATTTTAGTTGCTATTCACTCTGAACTGAATTTGCTTTTTAACTTATATGTACCGTTGTCTGCTTGCAGATGCATGCACAGTCATGGAAAATCCAGTCTTTGTTAACCAGACAGATGATGACAGCGAAGAGGTCAGCCAGCAGTATTTCAACAATATGGCAGTGAGTACATTTTGAAGGTTTTTTTTAAATAATTTTTTTTATTTGGTCCGTTGCCTGACAAGCACGATGTACAACTTCAAAGAGGGTCGAAGAAATAATTAAGAAACTGAGTGTCAACCTGAGCATTGTGTGTTGGGCTATCTGCTACTACTTTTGTCTCTGATGGGCCACCTCAATGGCTTGAGCATGTGTAGTGAGATGCCCAAATGTTGCTTACGTGAAAGGCATGGTAAGCATAACACTTTGCTGTCCGATAAAGGGTTACCAGCTACATGGGAAATACTTTTGCCCAGCAATCAAGAAATTTGTTCCTGCACTTCTGTTGATTTTTACAATTTTCACCACCACCGCCACCACATCATCTTTGTTTGGTATTCTATATCTTGTTATTGCAGTTGTCCGATGAGGACTCGATACCTGAAAGCTTGAGGTTTGACAAGGTAGGTTGGCAGGGTCGCATGCGTGATATCAACTACTCAACACTGGATACACGCTGGGGGGGGGGGGGGGTATTGGGTATGGCTTATGGCCTGATCAGATGACCGACCAAACCTGTTCCACTATGCCTGCACTGTAAATTATGTCACATTTTTAGCATGTCATCAATTACATAATTATGGACATTATATGTTGCGATTTTTTAAAAGAGACTTACGTTTTGTCTTCTTGTACTTAAAAGGAGGAATGGTTGCAGGCCAAGCAAGTTGATTTGGACGAAGGTTTTGACATCCGGGGAGTTCTCAACCCGCTGTACTCTGACGACACGGAGAGTAGATGCTATAATGTAAGAAAGAAACTTGAATTGTGTTTTCCACTTCTCTGCTACAATGATTGATTTTGCTCTAAGTATCTACAGCCAATGGATTGAGGAAGCAAATGCTCTAAACTACAATATTACTGTTTTTCCTTAACTTTGTATCTTCCAAGTTGAAAGGGTATTAGTTCATACATCGGAGATGTGTATTGTGGCTAGGTTTCAGGTCGTTAAATGTCTCAGTGATCTCTCAGTCTGGTGCCTTTTTGTCGTATTTGCTAATCATACATTATCTAGGCACATTGGTGAACGGTTCCTCATACCTCATAATTATTGATGTGTTACTTTTCCAGTTTGCATCCAATATTGGCCCAAGTTTCAAGTATGATTCTGCACACTTCAGGCTCTTCTGACATGACCAAGCCATTGTGTCCGTGAATCTATGGTATAAATGTTCTTTGCCATATATGTGTTGTTATTTCTGGCAGCAATCACGCACCAGTGTGGGCGGGTTGACAAACATAACATACTTGGATTTGGAGGATAACGTGAGTGGAATCTATAGGATTTGTCTAATATTCTTAGAATCTCGAGTTAGCAAGATGCCTTCAACGCTATGCATTGTTCGCATTTTGATAGCGTATTGTTCAAAAAGTTGGGTACTGTAGGTAGGCCTTTGCGGATAATGCCGGCGGAAAAATTGGCAGAATTCGGTACATTTTCTGGTAAGTTTCATACATGTTTGGTATGTGGATAAAGAAATGGAGCAGAATTCAAGGAATTGCCCGCCATAAGGTTTGTATGGTTCTGCCAATTTCACTGCTTTTCTAGCAGAATCTGCCACCTTTTCGAGCATTATCCGCCAATGCCTAACTGTAGGTTCTTTCCATTCCCTATTGGGGTACATTTGCGTGCAATTTGATTAGACTCGTGTACACGGATTCATGACAAGAATTTTACAGCTACATCATAATAGTGTATAAGTAAAATCTCATTGTTCAACCTGCCCTTTTGCAGATATCACTCAATGACAAATGGATCATTTTCTTATAATCAATCTTTGCAATTGCTATTCACATTCAGCGCATGCGCTGGATGTGTGAATAGCAACTGAATAGAGCGGTTGTCAGTTGACAAACCCCCTTTTCTTTACAATGCAGTTGCGTGATGTCCATCGCTTTCTTACTGATCAATCTTTTCAGGATACGGCGAATGGCAACATATACTCGGAGGCGGATGAAGAAGCATTCTATGCCTCGATACTCCATGACCAACATTCCAGGGCAGTAGATCTTTCCAGAGTAAGGCAGAATGGCCAGGGAACCGGGCTACTCTCAATTTCCAGAGCACAACCAGATCTGGACGGCGACCTGAAGGCATCAAGCAAAGAGCAGTCCAGTTAATTTGAACCACATTAAGGTCTTAATAATGTAGCTGTCATTAGGTATCTCTCTTAATCACGTGGTCATTCCCTATCACACAAAAAAGTGCATTCCCCACAGCATAGAGGGCCTGTTGATGCTTAGTACTATGGCGTCATTGCGAGGAATTTCATCAACTGATTATGCAAGTTAATTTAAAAACTATTTTGCTTTTGTAAGGATCCATAGGCTATCCAGTATAGATTTCTTACCTTGATCATTTCGCAATTCCCAGTTTCCCTTAAAACAGTCGGAGAGTTAATAATTATTAGAAGTTGGTTCTCGCACGCAATCTGCTCAAAGCGCACTCATTCTTCAGCAGGAAGCATGAAACCTGTACCTGTGCCTCATACAGGGTTTCGGAACAGAAGTAAAATTGATGCACACACCGCACATTCTCATGTACAGGTACTAACGTCGCTCACCCATTGTCTAAGTTATTCTTTAATTTATAGCAGCACTTTAGATGTTGCCTGATGATTGCGAGAGTATGAAACTTGAAGTGGCAGCAAACAAGCCTTGATTGTCCTTGTTTTTTTCTAGCAGCACTGAATCAGTGAATTCTGCTTCGCCATTATATTTTCATACATTATTATTAAAAATTTTAACTTCTGGGCTATTGTGACTTCCGAACGTCGAGTCTGCTAGATATGTGGAGATTGAGGGCATGTAATACTAGAAATTCTAATTCCTGAGACCTTGTTATTCGAGATACTAGTACTCTCTTCCACGATTTTGCAAACACACTGTATGAATAAGGAGTGCCTCCATACCATGTGGCCAATATCACACAAATGGCTTGACTTTTGTGTGTCGCTCCTGATGTGGGAGGTGGCGTTTTTCCTCAAGACTTCACGTGACACTTTGAAAAAGCAAGTACTATAATTATATTGGATATTTCGTTCCTTATCAGGGGGCACTGACTATAATTATTTGCACTGAAGAGGCACTAGCATATTTCTCTCCCACAGGCGCAAGATCACGCGAAGATCCCACTACCCTCCATGGTCTATACTAGCTCACGCTGTTGAAGTGTTGTTTGGCAAAATATTTGTTGCGACAGAAGCAGTTCATGATAGTGAGTCACCAAAGCAATAAGAGAACACTTCTTGCTTTAGAGGCCAATCCTGAAAGGGCGTATGCCAGTAAGACAGAACTATTCAGTACTTTGCGGAAGTCAAAATATCGATAACACATTTGACCACGGCAGGCACAACAGAAAACGAGAGGATGACAGGAGATGGAAAACTTGACACTAATGTTTAAAAGGCAGTACTAACACAGGGTAGGAGAGGAAGCGGGCCGTTGAATTTCTAATAGGACTTGAAAGTGCTATGTCACAGCATAGCAATGGCATAGCAACAATTTGAAAAATTCAAAAACTGGATCCACCTGGATCCAGTTTTTGTATGGATCCAAGAACATTTCAAGCGGTCTTACTCACAGCAAGGTGATGTAGCCAGTGAAACTGACTGATTTGGCCAATAGGGGCGGGGTGACACCTGGTGGCGAAGTAAAAGTCACACCTGCATACGACTTGAGTGCAACCACATACTGAGGCAATAGCAAAGTCACACCTTAGTGGATCCAAAATAGAAATCTGATGTCAACTTACTACTCCTAGACCGTTTTTGACGTCATCACTTTCAAACCCTATTGGATTGATAATTATCTGAATCAAAAGAAGTATTGAGGCTTCCTTCAGCTTCTTAATGTTTCTTTCTAAGCCTCTTATACGAGCAATCACAGAACATGATATCACTGGCCTGACGCAACAACTAAAGAAAAACAAAAACAAAAACAAACAAATTTAATAGTTTAAGAATGGACTCGGATGGAGAGCCAAGGATTAATTTATAAGAACGAAAAAGGACGAAAGAGCTCAAAGTTACGCTACACTGTCCATTAACACCACCAGTTACTAAACAATTAGCTCATGCAATAACATTGCACGACACTGACCGGCGATACTGACGTTCTACAACTAACTGGCTAACAGCTCTAGCACATTTTGGATACGCACTCCTACAGCCTTCCAACTTGGAAGGTTCTTAGTTATAGAAATACCTTAAGGAAGGGAAAGTGAGCTCAACCAAGATAAGAACGAGCTGAAAGTCTGTAGGAGTGCGCATCCAAGATATGCTAGAGCTGTTAGCCAGTTAGTTGTAGAACGTCAGTATCGCCGGTCAGTGTCGTGCAATTTTATCGCATGAGATTGTTTAGTAACTGGTGGTGTTAGTGGACATTGTAGCGTAACTATTAGCTCTTTGGTCCTTTTTCTTTCTTATAAACATTATAGCTATGAATAGGATGAAGGCCGCAGACATCACGCAACTACGTTACTTGTTTGACATGTATTACTGTGTATTTTATAACAAAAATATTATTGAAAACCCAGAATCGATTTTCTTGTTCCTATCATCAGTGGGAAAAAACGGAACTAAGGATACAACCAAAGAAACTGAAGTTAAGTACTGTACTTCGAAGTAAATAGAAAGGTGTTAGAAATAACATCAAGATACAAGTGCAATAAAACCACCAATGTTTTAAGTAAAAAGAAAATGAAACTTGACAATCTGCACATAATGACACCTCACACTTGGTCAGAGCGAATCCGTGGCGCTTCATCGGCCGGCAAGTCAGCAAACTGGACGCTCCAGGCTGGGAGGCCAGTTGGCCAGAATAGGAAAGTTCTGCCGGCGCCGCCGCAAGGAAATCAAGCACTTTGCTCTTCGTAGAACGTCTGTTCGCTGCTTCATGATAGAAAGAAATTTTGTCAAAACTAGAAGGAATAATTATTTTCGAGCTGGGAATGTGAACATAGTCAACAAATAAATAAATTAAATTAAACTGTAAGCCGAGGGTTGCTTTTTACTGCGGGGTGGTATGTATGCTACCGAAGAAGATAGGCGAATATTGAGGAAGACAAGTTTACTAGCTATGGTGGACGCTATGAACGGACATAGTGAAGATAGTAAGAGCGATTGCTGAAAATTGTCATGCCGACTGCTGGCTTGGAATGCCACGGGAATATCTTAGCTTTGAAACACACTTGCAGTAGTGGATGAGATAATATCTCATCGAAAAAAATGATCTCATTGTTTTAGGGGAATATCGCCACATTCTTGAAGAAGAACGCATTAGGTTTGTTTGGTTTGAGTCATAAATTGTCCTCGATGTTACTCTTTGATGCACAATTTGTGATGTATACAGCATTGACCTTTCTCCTCCTCCTCTCCCCCCCCCCATAACCCCTCTTCTTTCATTCCATTCTCACAATCGCTTCCATGTAATAATATTGGGCTCATCGCCCGTGTTGCGAATTCAAATCAAGAAATACAAAATGTAAAACTTACATACACGTTTTGGTTGCTCTACTATGTTTCCAAGATATGGAAGTCAAGGGACACGACGAATGCTTATTCGAGACCCTCGTGCAGCCTTCGCGACATGTAATTCCTTTTCATGGACCTGGGATCATAGCATCCAGAAACATGAAACCAGCAACACCTTCTGGAAGACAACATCACTAATTTGGCTCACCTTTAGAAGTTCTATAATATTTTCTAGGATATGGAAGCTACAGAAGGCGGTGAATGCGAATTTGAGACCCACATTCGTGCTGCTTTGCCGAGATCAAAATTTTAATTCTGGAGTTGGGATCATAGCATCCGGAAAACATGCAAACAGCCACGTACGTTATGTGCGCAGTGCTCAGGTAACACGTCCGGGGGATACTCTAAATAAGCACCCCGGAAACCGGGCATGCTGCAGACAGCTAACCCAGGGTCGGAAGTCTCCTACTAAACACATTGGAATTTGAACCCCACAAATAGCTGCTTGCCATGGCGTCCAGCTTTGGTCCTTTCCCAAGGCCAATAGTCGTGGAACGTAGAGCACAAAGCAATAACTTGGAACGAGAAAGATGTTCGTCTGCGGGTTCTTCACGAAAGCAATAGAGAAAGGAACTGTATTGAACCAAGATATTCATGGCGTGTAATTCGAATCACAATATCGAATCAACTTTCACTAGTGCAAAGAACTTGCAGTAGCCACCATTCAAGGGCTAGAAGTTGCCCTGAGAGCTGGGCTGCATTGTTGTGCGCGGTAGAATGAGACCAAAAATGCCGAAGACATTCGTTCTGGTTCTTTTAGTAATCGCGAATGTGATGTTGAATTTTCAGATGGTGCATGGAGTTACGCATTCCCAAGGTATTGTGTTACCATCATGTATGTTGAGTCATATTGACTTTTGAGCATCTCTATTTTTACTTGCATGCAACCAAGAACGCAAGCAATAAAACGAGTATCCCTCGTAACTGCCCTCCAGTTCTGATCTTCTCTTTCTCATTTCTGTTGCATTCTCAGATGCTCCCATAAGTCTATCATTCATAGTATGCCCCCTTGGCCCGCACAGTCCATGTCGATTCCGAGACCGAAAGGGTCGGAGGAGTGCACTGCGCCTGACCAGCACAGCTCTTGTAGCACCTACTACTCCTTTGTTGTCTTTGTCTCTTTTATTACCCCTATTACTTTGTAGGGATGTGCACATAGTATATATAAAAAATATATAAAAAAGTACCATCATTACCGCTATCAAGCAGTAGCAAAATCATTGGTGACGATAAGGATATAACAATATTCAACAGGAGTCAAAATGCTATTTCTTACTTGTGCTTTCTTCTGAGCTAGTTTTGACCGAGTTACGGCCTGTTGAAGTCTCACAGTCGAGTGTGTAGAATTCTACACATTCAAGTATGGGGCGGCTCTCAATTAAGTCATAATACTAATCTAGTCTATTCAGTACCAAGCCAAGAACATTTCGAACATAATTCCACTCGGAATAGTACTCCGAATGGATGTCCCTTCTAAGAAGGCAAACCATCGGTTGATATCAAATTTACCTCTGTACTCTCGTATTTCCTGAAACTGCTAGAAACGCCACCTTAGCACTTTTCGCTTTCGCAGAGCCTGTTGGACGAAACTATCCTACTTCTTTTCAGTTGTGTACTGTCGCGATCAGGAGGGTGAGCTGATGTCATGTTAGTATGCAGTGTCAACCAATAGAAACAATATGCAGCAAGGTAACACGAGGATGAGAGTATGTTGCGACTTCGTCGGTGATAATAGAAGAAATCAGCTGCTCCCAACGCTAGAGCTAGCTCTACTTGCCCAGTGACTGGTAGTCGGCGGACTCACGACTTTCATTCGCATCGCGCTGCAAAGCGCTACAATATGAGCAGTACCTTTCTAGGTACTGTTCACATTAGAGGTATTCGTCTTCCCTTATCTAAACTCCAGTTGCCTCTTTTAGGCAACAATGTGCGATACTTAAAATGTTTTTTTTCTCATCATACATAACATTACATGGGTACGGCATTGATATTCGAGAAAATTAAATCGATGGTTTCCTGTGTCACTGATGGGGTTTCTGTACTTCGTGCACAATTCTTGGTTCAGCCTGTGTCGACTATCGACGTTTCAACATCGATGGTCTGCAGGAGCTGTTCCAGACCGGCACGAAAGTCGTGCGCGGAAGGGACTGGATGTGGGAAGACCAGGACGGGAACTCTGTCGGCATCATCACGCAGGGCCTGGGCGTCTTCTGCCAATACGGCTGGGTGCAGGTGGCGTGGCCAAACAGTGAGCCGCCCAGAAGCTACCGAGCCGGCAAGTGCGGAAAGTACGACTTGTGCCGTCTGGTCGGTAAGTGAACGACTGGAGTGAGGATATCTTCCACCACAGCTAAAAATAGTGTACATGTACCAGGAATGCCATAGTCAAGACAATGTGGGCCTAAAGTGGGGAGAGGGGGGGGGGGGAGATTTGGAGATCTGTCTATAAAATACCCCAGCCGGCTGCGGTATTATACTGTAAATGCATTTGTATAAACGTTCGCTCATCCAGCTCCTATGGTGGTCTAGTTACTGTGAATACATTTATAATCTAATAAAGCAATAAATAGAACTAACTCTGCCGTCATCACTATGCATCACCGAAGTGAAATGTTTTCCAGAATCGATTTTCAGGTCACTATCATCAGTGGAATATGGTGACTGAAGCGAAGGCAAGCCAAGCAAAAAGCAATGACTAAGTATGCATTCAAAATTGTGATAAAACCTGTTGTGCCCCCTAATGTTACCTAACATTTTTGTTGCTTGCTTGTACGTATTATCACAGAGACAGGATATAAGTAGGTGAAGTAATGATGCTCGCTGTCCAAGCCGACTTCCCTAGTCTCGATTTTCTTCTTCGCTAGTCTTGCTGAACCGTCCATTGCTTGTTACTTGATTGCTTGGGAGTTGTGTGCTGTGTGCATGTGTGTGGTGTTGCCTGCTCGTTGTTTGAGGACCTGCGCGTAGTCTCACAGAGTCAGGGATCTGGGAGGTCTGCGAGGCCGTCTCCTCTGATTGGGTCAACATACAGGGCCTTCCGGGTTCGGATTCAGTACTTGCTTGGGGTTATGGCCTCGTGGAATCCGTGTCACCCCCGAATAGCTGGCGACGCGAACGAGTAGCGCTACTACGCTGCGAACTCAGCATCTGCGGCCGTGCGCTTGTTGGTGGGTCTGCTGTCTTTGATTTTTACTGAATACCACAGAACCATCAGATGCTGCACAGCGGGGGCGGTGGCATATTGGATGGAAGTGGGGGCGGGGCAAAAAAAAGATACTGCTCTTATACTCTTTGGCAAAATCTATTCCTTCTTTTCGCCGTGCAACTCTCAAAATTGAATACCTAGCTAGACACGTGCATGCAGAAATTAGATAGCCCCCAGTACATGTACATGTACATATTCCACTGTCCAAAGGACAAGGCCCAGGGTAGAACGCCTCGGTGGAAGGGTAATCCGCGGAATGAACGTATGAACTAGCTCCAGTCAGGTACACCGCTGCATACTCGATCCAATCAATTATTGAACACCAAACTAAGACAAAAACAATATGGCAACACTTGCTGACTTCGTCACTAGGCTAGCCTGTTCCCAAAGAGGCTCGCCACTTTTTCGAAACTGTTCGTTGTTTAGGAAGAATTCGAAACTTTCGCAACTTCCTATTTTCGCGAACTTTCCGCGACCTTGGCCCCACGGCATGGGAACAATAGTTCAAGTCACCGACTAGACGTCGGACAAATGCATATGCTCATTTCTCGCCTGCCTTCGGACTCATTTCAGAGAAACAGTAGTTACGATAATGGGCATTCTCTTTTCCGTGCACTGCAATGATGTAGGATACATGTACTTTTTTTAAGTACATGCAACAGGCTACTGGCACTGTGAATTTGCATACTTGCAACCTCAAGAATATGGCATCGCGACAAGGCGCTGCTAGAGACTGCCATGTACATGGTGAATACAGTCGTGCCCGAGCCATGTGATACGCTGCACACAAGATCAACACACACACACACACACACACACACACACACACACACACACACACACACACATACACATATACACACATACACACAAATACATGTACACATACACACGCACACACACACACACACACACACACATGAATACAGTGAAACCTGTGTAAGACGACCGCTCAAGGGACCCTCAAAATTCGGTCCTTGGTACCAGGTGGTCTCCTTATCCAGGGTCATTTGACTGGAAATAGCATCCCTTGGTCCTGGTTTCAGTGGTCCTTTAGGACAGGGGGTCGTCTTATCCGAGTGGTCGCCTTGACAGGTTTTACTATATAATTATAGACAACCAGGTGTAGCACTAACCGCCTGCAGGACAAACTTATGATCATTGGGTGACGAACCTTAACGTCAGTACGGAACAGTGTGCCAGGTCAGTGTTAAATTACGTGTTTGCGTGTTAGGTGGGACATTAGCTGAAGTCCCTGGGTAGGGAGTAGTACAAACAAGACATAAAGTAAAGACCGCACATCTGCGTTGCCACCGGCTTACAATTGTGCAGAGAACACACAACCAGACTAGAGAAGGTTCGCAGGGAGTGGTACTCGAAAAATACTTTTGTACTTTTCCCTGTCTCTGGGTGTCTCCATACCTATCCATATTTCCAAGTGTGGCAACTCCGGAGCATGTTATCCACGATCTAAACGTGAAACAAGACACTACCTAACAATCTGCATGCATGTAGACAAAAATTGTGACCAGGACACAACAACACTGTGGACTAACTTGTGATATGACTGGGTAAGTACCAACAACTAGTACGCCGTGACTGTACAGTCTGGTGGCAAAAATCGATGGAATTCTTCTACAAGGTCTTTGTATGGACCGAGAAAGCCGACGACACGGAGAAGGCGTTGAAAATAGCCATCCTTGCTATCCAGATCTGCAATTTCCAATAGCGTGGTGAGAATCCACTCGAAAAGAACCGGATCACCGGCCAACCTTTGCTTTGTGAGAAGGAGAAAAGCCTTTGCATCACTTTTAGAGCATGACTGCGGGGAGGTGTGTGTTGATGAATCGCCTACTGGATGAGGCATGCCTGACGCAGGCTTCCGCACGTTAGCAGAGCATGTTATCTGCAGAAGTCGTGAATGCCCTGTTAAAGTGTTGTTTGCGCCCCTTACCAAGAAAGCCTGATTTTTCTCACGTTTCGGAATAACGAGTAGGATGCCACACGTAACACGGAGCAAGGGTTCCCAAGAAAGGGGCACAGTGGACTTCTGGAAACGGCAGCTGTTCGCAGAATATGCTTCTTTCCCCGTATCCTTCCGGATAACTTTACGCAGAAATCAGCAAACACATCTTGGTAGTTAGTTGGTCGGAGAAGTAGGACCTTTCTTTTGGTATCATCACTACTTTCTTCTAAACCTGTATGCGCTGCTCGAAATCTTCCAGAAGATGTATTCTTAGATTGTTCCAGCATGCTACAAAATTTCGCGGTAACCGGATTTAGGAAGGTGAAGTACTGAGGCTGCCAGTGTTCCTCGATTGTGCTGGGCTCGCCTTCCCTCGTTTGATGCCTCTCTGCATCCGGTGCCAGTGGATATGATTCATGAGGTGATAACTTTCGTTCTGTTCTGCACTCATATTGTCCAACAACGTATGCGCGGAGTCTGGCATCTTCTTTTGACTGGAGTCCAAGGAACTGTGAGCTCAGCTTATGCTTCACGCTCAGTTTGCAGGACAGCTCTCTGCTGTGGAACCCAACAGGCCTGCTTTGCTCATCACAATCTCGCCTTCGGACGTAGTAGCGAGCGGATAGTGTTCCCACCTGGCTCTCCTCAATGTCCGTTCAGCGTTTGCTGTCAGGTGTGGGTCGGGTTTGTTGTCTGCGGAAATGAAACCGGGATCCATTAGGATATACCTGGGCGGATAAGTCACGCTGTGCGGCCGCTAACCCTGCTTCTGTGGCTGTTCACTAGTTGGCGAGGCTGTCCTGGTGACTACAGTGATATTGCTTGCCAACGTTCTTTCCTTTCGCGGCGGTGTAACGCGGACGTGCCCGAGTCGAAAGGCACATCCGCATTCGCCAGCAGGATAACCTTCCGAACATATCCAGCTGTCGGACGGTGAAGGGTAGAATGCCTCCGTCGATGGGTATTCCGCGGAGTGAACATAATTATGAACTGGCTCGACTCAGGTACGCCGAGGCATGCTCGATCCAATCCATACTGGACACCAAACTATAACAAGAATGCGTGTGTAACACTTGCTGAGTTCATCACTAGACTTGGACTGGAACATTGACTTAACATGAGCAGTACAGTCACAGTGTCTGACTGAAAACAACTGATCTTGGTACACGAGACAATGAAGCAAGTAGTTATGCTGAAAGCTGTTCACAGTGTTTCAATCAGGGCAGACCTTGCTAATTCCTCAGGCCTGGGGCTACATCCTCTTTCCTCTCTCACAAGGCCGTGACGTCATTATTATTGTGATGCTGTTGATTTCGTCACTACACTACTGTGACTAGGAATGAAACAGAAGCTAAAATGAATACAGTAAAACCTGTCAAGGCGACCACTCGGATAAGGCGACGACCTGTCCTAGAAGACTACCACAACCAGGACCAATGGATGCTGTTTCCAGTCCTGAGATCGAGCGATACACTAACTTCCCCTGAAATGTGAAAAGGTATTGTTGCCACCCTGGTGAGATGATAAAAAGGGCCTGAATAAACCGAACCATGAAAACAGTGAGAGGAGGAGAACAATTTGCTTTTTTTCCATCAGTCAATACAGTTCAATAATAATTATAGCTTCTAGTACTATACTGCAAGGTACATGTAGCATTATCGGCTTTGCAAGCACTAGCTCTGTCAGCGGAAAGGTTTTGTGACAACGTTCGCAGCAATGTTAGAATGGAAAGTGTCAGGAAACGTTTTGCACATGCCCACTGATCACCAACAACAACACTAAGTTATTCACCAGTATCATCTTCAGTTCTCAAAGCTTTATTCGGGAAAACCACAAATTGCGCCAAAATCCATTATAGGAAACGATAAAAAATAAAACAAATAAAACCAAAAAAAACACCTTCAGTTGTAGGTAAAGAAAGTTTCTAATTATACGCTCGTTCGCGTTGACATCACCAAGCAAGCTTGGCTAGTCTTCGCATACTGTAAAAACCGGAGAGTCTAACGATCAAAATGTTAAACGTTTTTGTAATTTTGGCATGATAACGTGCAAAATATTTAACGATGGCTACCTGGCCAACAAGAATATGGATCGATGTATGCGCATTTTCACACACCGGGTTCGGGATAACGTTTCTTCAAATAGCGAATAAAAAATGGTCGTTAAAACGTTAGACTTTGTGACTCGTTAGACTTTCCGGTTTTACAGTAAGCCAAATGAACAAAATAATTAATGAGGAACGAGCGAGGCCAATGAGGTGAACACACGCGTGAAACTGGAGAATAGTCGAAAGTTTGTACACTGGTCTATTCACCATGATGCACAACACAAATCGAAGAGCGTGTACATGTACATATACATGTACGTCATCAGAGAACCGCGGCATGGGGTTTAGGTGCGTGTATGCACGTCATCCGCACGCAAAGGGTTTAACTCCCCCACACGTAGTAAAGTCCGTCTCCCCCGAGCTACCACATCTCTGTATCTTCCCCCTTTTTCAGCTCTTATACTAAATGGCTGGCGTTGCCCCTTCATGTCCGTCAGGCAAAGTCGGTTCCCTCGTTTCGCAATCTTGCAAAGCAGCATTTCAACATTCCAACTCAATAGTCAGTATACCTGTTTAGTCTCGGTTGTCTCATGTCGGCTGTACTGCTCCCTTTCCTCTGTTATTTACCATGGTATTGGTGCACCACCACACTTCTTATACTTTCTTTCTACGCCATGGCTGGAAAACACCCCCTCCTCATCTATATTGGCACTGATTCATCTTTAGCCGCTGGAAGGTGTAATAATAGTAATAATAATACTTTTAACACATAACGTTCTTGTTCGTTGGCATAGCAATGTACCTGTACGTACTGTCACCATAGTAACAACACCTGCCTGACTCACTCGCGACAAGGCACCGGCGGATTATGACGGCATAATTATTGGCATAATTTGGTGTTTGAAAATTTGGAGCATAATTTGGCATCCTTTCGGAGGTAGGAGCATAACTACATGGTTGTACCACAATTCTAGTATGTAAGCTACACAATTTTGTACAATGCATCTGATCAGTGCCGGTGGTCCGCATGGTAAAGGCTTCGGAGTAGCCTTTTTCCAAAGATGCTCGCCACTTTTTTCGCAACTTTTCGTTGTTTTTGCAAGAAATCGCAACTTTCTTCATTTTCACAAACTACTTTGCAACTTTTCCGAAAAGGTGTGCAGAGAAGCGCGCTGGATCGAGACCATCGACTGTGCAAGCTATGGTTATTGTTGCTGTTTTTGTTTTTTGGTTTTTGGTTTCCCGTTCTCGGGGCCTTCTATTCGGTACTCTTTGTAGTTGTACTTCTGTACTGTTGAGCTATCCGAATTCAAATAAACATTTTTAAAAAATTGCTCTAATAAAAAAAAATTAGGTATAGTTGATGTTTGGTCATAGTGGAAGGAGAGGTGGAGCTACGGGAGAGATGAGCTGATTATTCGCAGGGTGAGGGTGACATCGGGTGGACGAGTATGACGATTACCAAGACAGTTGAACATGATAATTTTGAAAGGTAACTCAAAATATTTTGGCAATGAAAAAATCTTTTTACAAAAGAAATCAAGTAATGAATAGAAGGAGTCATGTTTTCTCCTTTCCATGTTGATCTCTAGCATGCATGGTCATCTTGGTATGGGAATATTCATGTATTTTGTTGTACTAATGGCCACTTGCAAGTACAAAAAAGGCACACTTTTCCGAACTTTGAGGCTCCATAGGTACAACAAAGTGAATATGTATCCCCGCGTGCCAAAGCATAATATGAGGATTTCGCGAGCACACTACGAGAATCCATGAAAGCATAATTCCATGATTTTGCGAGCATACTCTGCCGGAGCCTAATCGAGAGTCCATAATTCATGGACTCTTGCTACAATTTAGGCCCATGGGCTTGTACGATGAAGCTTTGTGATGTTCGAACTTTCCCTGGGCTTATGCGCGAGCATGGGTTTATGCGCGGGTGGGCTTATGCACGGGATTCTACGGTACTCATGTATTTTGTTGTACTTATGGCCACTTGCAAGTACGAAAAAGGCACAATTTTCCGAACTTTGAGGCTCCACAAGCACAACAAAGTGAATATGTATCCCCGAGTGCCAAAGCATAATATTATGAGGATTTTGCGAGCATAATGCGAGAATCCATGAAAGCATAATTCCCTGATTTCCCGGGCATAATCCGCCGGTGCCTACTCGCGACTGAGTGAGTATCGTAAGTTTACACTCGCGTGACAACGTTTAATGTCGGATCGCTTTCCTTTAATCTTTCAAAGTTTTGAATCAAAAGCTCTCTATTGCACCCCAAGGTCTCCTGTTTTGGCATCGTCGCTCTACGTACTCTCCCATTACTCTCTACAGATATCAACGAATGTCGACCAGAGATTTGTCAGAATGCTGGAACGTGTGAGGACACGGACAGAGGCTTCATCTGCCGGTGCATGCAAGGCTACACGGGGAATTTCTGCGAAAGTCGTAAGTGGGTTGCGAAATCTACTACAATTTATGTACATCTACAATCAAACCTGTAACTAACGGCCACCTCTTTGGGGCCAGAGAAAGCGGTCTTTAGTGGCAGGTGGTCCTTAGTTAGAGGTTTGCACCGCACAACCATAATGTGAGACCGTCCGTGCCTGGCGAAGTGGTCTGTGGTACCAGACACGTCACTAGTCACGGTGGTCTTTAGTTAGTAATTAAAGGTTATTCTGTCCTTGGGAGTAATGCCTACTCCCTCAGCTAGCATACCAGGTTCCCTCCGCTGTCCTACTGACATTGTGCCATGCGGTTTGCTTCATTTTTAAAGGAGCAGACTTTCTCACCTAGCCAGAGTTATTTGGCCTTAACCTTTACTCACACAACGTACCCAAGTTCCCACTTGATCATCACAGGAGCTAAACAGTGCGGTTGCGACGAAGCCCGAGATAGCAGGCACTGATAGTGCGCCATTTCCTGGAACAGCCCGGTCATGTACATGTACATGTAAGTGACGAAGGCAAAGTGTGTGCCTTTTTTTACTAAGTACACAACCTACTCGTCAGAAGGGTCAAAGACAACAGAATGCACAATAACAAAACAGCAGGGAGAGCAGAGGCTGGAAGGCAAGCCTGTGCTGGTGAGGCAACAAGCTTGCTTTACAGCCCCTACTCTCCCTGCTGTTTTGGTATTGTGTGCATACATGTATGCCTGTACATGTATTTTCATCTCAGCTATAAGACTTAGTATTCTTTTCAGTTGGTGCCGCTTTCCATGAATGTTGTTCTTTTGTCGTTATGCAACAATTGTTTGCTTTTTCTAGTAATTTTGTGTACGCGTGCGCATGTGTGTGTATGTGCGTGTATTGCCATTGAGAACTAAATTTCGTCTGTTTTACGTGGAATTTCTTGGAGTTTCCAAATGTATTGTACTTGAATAAAATTCTATTTTACCTTTCATGGTATCTCAATTTTTTCACGTCAACATGACTTTATTTTGCCCGTAAAAGAGGCCGTTACCCCCGAAAAAAATTGTACATGCGAGCGTTGCGTGTTCGTTGATGCCTATGTAGGTGTCCGTATGTGAGTGCATGACATTGTTTCTATTATGCCTGTGTGTACATACATGTACATGTACATGATTCGCTCTGGTAGGCGTTAACTTGTGCACAGACGTGGTGTGTTGGAACGGTGGGATGTGCCTTGACGAAGTCTACAGCTATAGATGCCAGTGTCAGCGTGGATATAGCGGTCAATTCTGCGAATCAGGTACAGTTACAACTCACCTCTCTACTCCATACTGCACTTACCCTGGTCATTTCTCTCATACTATTTGATTGATTGTTTTTTATTTCACGGATCCTCCAGAGGCAAATAGATGCCTATCTAAGGGAGTCTCCTAAGTGAGTACGGAAAATGAGAAAGTATGTTCGTAAGGGAGAAGAGGTAGAAGATACATTAGAATATAGAGCACAAAAGAAGTACATGTAAATTCAGTGTTTCGGGTAGTACATTGCATGCTAATCATAATGAGAATTAGAAAAGCAGCATTGCGGACTACTATAACTGACATATACACAAACTATTGAAACTATCACTACAGAGAGTGTATGGCATTCTTATTCTATGACAGTGCTCGCTTCTTTGAATTTTGCTGCGTTTGAAAAGGGTTCCAATTTACTTATCACATTCTTCCTTTCATGCAATTGTTTTCAGCACTTGAATTGTGTTCTACTCCTCCATAAATTGCAAATTGTGTTTTGTTTGCCTGTAAAAAGAGGTTGTTATAGTACTTACCCTGGTAATCCACTGTCCTTGTTCATTTGATTTTGCCTGTATTTCATATGACGATAAGGATTAAGGGTTGAATGTACACAAGTGTACTAGTGAGAGCCTTTCTTATAGATGTTCCTCAAGAGCTAGCCTGCAGGGTGTCCTTCTTCTCATCCCATGTGAAATGCAGATATTGACGATTGCTTCCCATCGCCGTGTGGTTTGAATTCGCGCTGCGTGGACGGCATCAACAACTTCACATGTATTTGCCCGGCTGGATTTACGGGGCGCTACTGTACCGAACGTATGTCACTGTGTCTTTCTTTCATTTTTTTGTTCTATTCTGTGGGATTGAAAATCTACTTACTTCTTTGAACTTTTCTGCGAATCGCCGACGGTAGGTTTACAACAGTCTGCTAACAACTCATGCTCCTTGATGTAGTACTGTTCTTTCAATCAAATGAACCCCTCGATAGGCACATTGCCTTTGGGTCATTTCGTAATAATAATTACATGCACCAGTAATCCTACACGTACTGTACGCGTATACAATAGCATAGCTAGCTAGCGAACTACGACCGTGCACTACGCCCCTGTTGCGATATTCTATGGGAGTTGTTATTTATTTACTTCTTTGGAATTTACTACGACGGTAGGTTCACAACAGCCTGCTAACAACTCTGATAATGCTGCTCAATAACATCCGATTCCGCTAGTCAAGTAATAATTACTTCTGAAGTAGTTATAACCCAGCCCCAATTCACATCCCAGTGTTGCTTGCATTGCCGTTCCACACCGGTCACCGTTCTGCGACCAGTTTAGTCGCATGCAGCCACATGACATGTAGCCAGAACACATCCGCCCACTCACTACACTTTTTGTTTCAAAATTGATCACTTACAAAATTTGTTTTTGCGGACACCTGAAATGTTTCCTGACACTATGTGAGCAAAGGTTTTTTTTTGTAAATTTCTTCTCCGGACAATATTATACTGCAGACATCGACTACTGCGAATATGGCCTGTGTCAAAACGGAGGCACGTGCGAAGACTTCGGTGATCGTTTTATGTGCTACTGTCCTGAAGGCTACGCTGGAATAGTGTGCCAACGAGGTGAGCAGTTCACAACACCGAACGAAGTTCAGTCAATTATGCATGATTAGGTTGAACTGAACCATTCCTATTTTGAATTCGGGTACTGAGCCGATAGAGAAGAAAGAAGGAAAGAAAGAAAGGACATATGGGCTACAATTTATAAGTAAATGTCCACTACTGTACCAAGATAATAGACAGTCAGAAAGAGCGATAACTAAGCACACAACTGACAGGCTACTGAGACATTCAATGACCTGATACATGTACCTAGCTCTAACCCATCTCCAGTGCACAAACCAACAGCACAGTATTGTGCTTAGTTATCGCCCTTTCAGACTGCTTATTATTGTTGCCATTTTGGCTGAACTGAATCATTCCTATTTTGAACTTGGGTACTGAACTAATAGTAAAATGTATTTTCAAAAACAAATAAGCGGAAAGGCAAAAAAGAAAGGACATAGGAGGTACGAGTTATGAGTAACTGTGCACCACTGTGACTAGATAATAAGCAGTCAGAAAGTGCCTGACACCTGCCTGACCTGACACCTAGCTCTAACATATATCTAGTGTGCCAATTAACAGCACAGTTTTGAGCTTAGGTATTTTCTGACTGCTTTTAATCTTTTCAAATTATCCGCAAACTCCAACGCAGCCATTGACACATTTAGGAAACGAATCGCTGTGAAGAGACCGTTTTTGGAGTTGAGATGTGAAGCTTATAGACGTGGACAGTTACTCATAACTCCTAACCCATGTGTCCTTTCTTATTATTTATTTTTACATTGCTATATTCCTGATGTTCTGCACGAAGATACATGCACTCCACACTAGCTGTTAGCGTAACCCTTAGAGTCTACAAACCCAATCCTTACTGAATAATGAAACGCATTGTTTTGCACCTGCCTTTCGAGTTCACATCTGTAGCTACAGCACTTCAAGTAGTTTATTGCCATGAGATTGGTTAATCAGTAATTCACGTTGCCCAGCACGGCCAGATAAAATTCTTAGAGATATGAGAGTCGATTCCCGTGTATAAAGATGACTTCTAATGCCATTGCATGTGCCTCTTGCCCTTCACCGTATTTAAACGAAAGGCAGTGTTAAGGCCAAGCACATTGGTACAGTGTCTGAAACATGTGTGAGAGTCGGTTCCAAAATTTGCTGCCATGGCATAATACACCAACTCATTTCACTTGAGCGCATACCGTGTTTCCTGAGTACAGTAAAACCTGTCAAGGCGACCACTCGGATAAGGCGACCACCTGTCCTAGAAGACCACCGCAACCAGGACCAAGGCATGCTGTTTCCTGTCAAATGACCCTGGATAAGGAGACCACCTGGTAACAGAGACCACATGTTGAAGGTCCCTTGAGCGGTCGCCTTGGACAGGTTTCACTGTATAAGCCGCCCTTTAACCACTCATAATCCACTCACAAGAAGTCGGTTCAGCTTACACTACCATGGTCAAATGAACTGGGTCATACAGGGTAGATGTGTGCATAGATGGGTAGACGTGTGTATTTCGTGACAATAACATCTGCCTGTGGCTTATACTCCAGTGGGGCTTATACTCCGGAAACCCAGTGATTATGAAACTTGGCAATAAATAAGATAAATTGTGCACTCACAACAACAGCAAAAAAATGAAGGAAGTTAAGTTCCAAAACGTTTTTTGTGACTTTTATCAGTGGAACGCCGTCACATAAAAATATAATAACTACAACACACACTTATATCTTATTTTTTGCCATTTTACTACTATTGTCTCCTCGTCGATTATGAAAATTATTATTGTCTCAAAATTTCCTTCACGTTATATTCGGTGTCACTTGCCTGCATATATCTACCTCTCTTCGACCTGATGATTCTCTCAATGCCTTGGCTTTCTTTGCTTCGTCTCAGATATCGACGACTGTAAGGGTGTGTCGTGTGAGAACGGAGGAACGTGCATCGATCTGGTCAATCACTTCCGCTGCCAATGTCCACCAGGGTACACGGGGCCTCATTGTGAACGAAGTAAGCACCGTACACTGTCATGGTGCACTGGCAGTGAAGTCGTGCCTTGAAAAGGCTAAACATGGTCCAGGGAATAATGTTTCTTTGATGACTGAAATGATAGAGTTAGTTTTGATTGCTTTCACTGTTGTGGCAGCAGTCATCTTTAAAAATTGTCCATATTTTATGTCGACAAAGGAAAGATGTTTTTCATGAACATGATGTTCATCGGATCAGTGGCTTGTGTATATATTTTCATCTGTCGACTATGACAGACTTGCATGAATCCAGGAGATATCTTTAAAGTGCTTGTTAAAAACTTGTTGTGGACGGGTTATACTATCGAAATCCTAAAGGCATAACCCGTGGGCAGCAGGATAGTTTACATAGCATCCGATGTACGTACAATGTATCATTCAACATCAAGTTACATATACATGTACTTCAGCATGGATGCACGCACCCATGCTCCACTGCCAGTATTAAGGGGGCAGCCTACCCATAAATTTCATATGGCATTCAATTGACCGTAACTTTGGTGTTTCTCAATGGATTTGAGTGAAATTTTGACCACACACTCCTGCCACTATGCTGGCCCTCAGGACATGATTTACAAGTTCTTGCGCCTCGCTGACAGGCTTTCCAGGCCGGAAAAACTCAAATTTCCGGCATAGTGCCACGGTGTGCGAGCCACCCAGGAGCCAAACAAATGCATTTACAATTTTTTCACATTTTCGTGCTCATTCTGTTCGTGCGCGGGACTCAAACCTAGAACAAGTCCAGAAGCAGCCATGGGTGATGGGGTAGGGCCCCTCCACGAGGCCCTGGAATCTGTCACATTGGAACGAGTGGGCGTTCTCTCACACACTCCCACAGACCCAAGTCAATTTTTGATTTTTTTTAGGTTTAGCACATGCTACGAGGTCGTACCTTTGATACAACATCCAGTGCTGGGACCTCCACAGCAAGCCATTTCCACAGCGCTGCACACCAAATCCAGGATACCCTCAGAAACCGGCAAAGACTACCACTCACGTTTCACTACTGCCTAGTACTGAATCCTACCTGACTTCTTGACACGACTCAAACTTGCCAAAGTCACTAAATCAACGTCAACTACAATAATCAAGCCACATATCTGCAACGTCACGAGGGTGCTGGCAAAAGTCCTGCTGCACGGCGGCGGGCTTCGCCCGCCGCCGTGCAGCCCAATACGTGGCTCAAAAACCTGATTTTTTGGACTTGGAGCAAAATTCTGCACACTTTCACGTGTTTCCATGATACGACAAGTTGCGCACGGTCTGCTCACATTCAAATACAGTGCTGCCAACAAATGACAGCGTGCAACAAAAAAATCTTTCCTTGCAAGGGCACATTTTCGGCCATAACTCTTGAACGGCTGGTCAGATCGGGACACAATTTTCAGAGAATTTGCAGCTATTCATGTTCTTTCAACTGACGTAGCACTCAATATGAATTTACAAATTCGATTTTTCAGCGAAGCATGTACTTCAGCATAGATTCACGCACCCATGCTTCACTGCCAGTATTAAGGAAGAGTGTGCCTTCATAGAGCACCGCATTTTCCCAGTTACACGCCGCACTTTTAACATTCTCAATTCGCCCCATTAAAGTCAGTGCGGCATGAGCTAAAACGGTCAAATGAATGGTGATATTGTAGGGTGTATGTCAGTATTTCATGACAAATAATATGGTTGCGGCTTATGGCGCAATGCGGCTTTTGCTCTGGAAAATACAGTTCATGCGCAGTGAGTTGTGCTACACTAAGTCATGCACATGTATTCTCCTCTTCCTTCCGCTGTCCCCAGATATCGATGAATGCACGAGCCGGACTCATGATTGCCATGGCGACGCCGTGTGCATGGATACGTGGGGATCTTACACGTGTCATTGCAAACCAGGCTATACTGGGTGCGGACGAGCATGCACACGTAAGTTATGATGTCATGCACACGTAAGTTATGATGTCATGCACACGTAAGTTATGATGTCATGCACACGTAAGTTATGATGTAATGACGAGTATGCACACGTAAGTTATGATGTCATGATTTAGTATGCACACATAAGTTATGATGTCATGATTCTAGTGTGCACACGTAAGTTATGATGTCATGATTTAGTATGCACACGTAAGTTATGATGTCATGATTCTAGTGTGCAATTTCCATGAAAAAAACTTTATGTTAAGGCATACATGTACACACGTAAAATTTGAGCAGATCACCTAACGGATATAACCGTTTGGCTGGTTTGGTTAGCTGCTAAGATTCCAACCTATCAGCTGAAACTCTAACCGTTTCAGGCCTACTATCAATCTACATGTACCTGTCTCTTCAAGTCCCTCTGTCTCGATGTCTGGTACTCATACTTTCTCCAAGACTTTTGTCTATTGCATGTACTTACTCAGCCACAAATACCCACAAATACCGCATCATATTGTTTCCCATACTGTTATCATATTTTAAAGTTGACCTCAGATAATGAGCCAGTTTGAAATGTAAAATAGAAGAAGAAAACACTTGCTATCCTGTTACATTCGTGGATAGTTTGCTTCATAACTCGTGTCCATGTGCTCGTATTCTATTTTTATCTTTTAAAGCATTCTTACTTACAAATAGCTTAGGAGCCGGTGAATCATTCATGGTCCACTGCAGAAAGGCTTGGATCCCTGTAGCTATGGTGGACTGCAGAAAGGCTTGGATCCCTGTACCTATGATTCATGGTCCACTGCAGAAAGGCTTGGATCCCTGTACCTATGGTGAAGTAAAAAGAAAGATAACGTAACACATATCGTTTCTCGTGTCTTTTCCTGTTTTATGCCATCTCAGTCAGCCACTATTTCTGCCCTGTCTTCCATCTTGATTACATTGGAAGTACCACGCCAGCATGGCCTTTGGGAACGCTGGACGCTGTCGTTCACGTCACGTGCGCGGACGGCTATGAACTGGTCAAGGGCTCCAGCAGCACATTTACGTACACCTGTACCGAGGTCAACGGTGTGGGATTTTGGCAAGGCGATGCTCGATGCATAAGTAAGTTCATTTCGTAAATGTGTGCAGAGAGAGAGAGAGAAAGAGAGACAGAGAGACAGAGAGAGAGAGACAGAGAGAGAGACCGAGAGACTGAGAGAGAATTGTAAGATTCATTGGTCCAGTCTTTTATGTTGGTGAACCGATTGTGACGGGGGCAACCAAGGTCTTGATCCAGGCACTATTCCATCCAAAAAATAGTTGGAGTAGCATGATGATGCCTTGCTACAGGTCCAAACCACTTTAACTTGATGCGCTTAAGAGTTGAATCAAGGCGTGTGAACAGGCCAATAGCATTTTTGACTTCCTGCTGTACTGATTCATTTGTGCCATGATGATAGTATTTGATGCCAGCAGCTTACACAGATGCTTGGGCTCAGAAGTTTCTAATTCGATAACATGTACATGTACCTTTTCATGCAATTCAAAGGCTGGTGCTGAATTCTTCAAAAAGTCTGAGAATATCGGGAAATGGTGTCCGAAATTAACGAGAGAGCTTGGAAGCTCAGGGCCCTACGCTATGCTTTTTTGCCTTGATGACCTAGACAAAAAAAGCATAGGGATGTTATAAATTCTTTAAAAACTCCTTTTTTTTAAACCTGGGATTCGAACCCGCACTATCGCGCGCCCTGCATGCATCCCCCGATACACTTCGCATACATACTAATTCTTCCAAGTTGTTTCACATTGTGATCTTGCATTTGAAAGCCCTATTTGAATATGCATTGTGGCCAGCCGTCATTGATGGCACGGTACGGTAGGGGATAGGTACGGGACAGGTACGATCGAGGGTAATACGACACCGTCTAGCTGCCCGCAATATTCAAATAGGGCTTTCAAACGCAAGATAATAACGTGAAGCAACTTGGAAGAATGGGTATAAATGCGAAGTGTATGGGGGAATGCATGTAGGGCGATAGTGCGGGTTCGAATCCCAGGATATGCCTGAAAAAAAATAGGAGAATTCAAAAATTTATAACATCCTATGCTTTTTTGCCGTCAGATACGGATAGCGCCAGGCGTGACACAAACACACAAACAAACAAATACCAAATTAAAGCTGTGTGGACCCTGGCTAGCGCCAGACGTTACTGAAGTAACGTCTTCTGCATAGCTACGGGAATAAAGATTGTATCAAGTGGAAAACTACTCTCTGCAATGCATTGTTCTTCAATCATGATTGCTGCAGACATTGATGATTGCCTGTACATCAACTGTAAGAATGGTGGGACATGCGTTGATCAAGTGAACGCATTCTTCTGCGAATGTCTGCCGGCCTTCACGGGAACATACTGCGAACGAGGTAAAGTGGAGCTCACATAGTAGGCAGTCTGCTAGGCAGAATACTTTATTACTAGTAGTACGGACATAGCCTGGGTCGCTGTTGTATTCCTCCATATGGAAGTATGGTTGGATAAGATGTAGATCTACCTGTATGTTACCTTGGATACTAAGGACCTTGGGTACCTAGGTTTTTTTGTTGCCTGATGACTGCGAAAGCATGAAACGTTAGGTAGCAGCAAACAAGCCTTGATTGCCCTTCTTGTTCTGTACCTTGGATACTAATTGCTGGAAGTCAACAAATATTCGGCGCACATTAATTTATTTTCGGCTATTTTTGGCCTGATCATATTATTTTGGTCGAAAATTTGTTGCAGCCGAAATTTTGTTTTACAAGGTGGCAGCAGTACATGCCGAAAATGTATTGCAGCCGAAATGTGTTTTAACCCTGGGAGGCCGAAATTTGAATGGGCCGAAAATTTGTCAACTTACAGTACACTTTCCTTGGATACTAAGCACGCCTTCCTTGGATATTAAGTACACTTTCCTTTTCCCATGGGTGTATGTAGTATCAGAGTTCCACTTCACCACTATAATTTTCTATGCGAAGAACTGGATCAAAAGTCATAGTAATCGAAGTCACATACACACTCACAGAAAAACTGGATTGCAACGCTAATACGTCATTGATCAACACATACTCCTACTTAGTAGAGACATTGTCCGGAGTTTATCCATACTGAAGTATTTTATTGATAAGAAGTACCCCAGACACAGTAAAACATGTTATCTTCGGTGGAACTTTAATTTCGGTGATTTCGGTAGAGAAACCAGCCACCTAAATTTTAGTCACGCCTGACAGGCACTAGAGTATGCACTGTATGTGAAGGAAAAGCTGGTCACCTCATTCTACATTACACCTGAATCCTATCAGGTGCCTGGCACCGAAATTTTAATAAACCCAAAACAACATGTTTTACAGAACAAAGTATACTTTCGCCGCTGACGATATACATCCTGTCAGAGTTCCACTGTCCTGAACTCACCCATTGGACTTCTGCTATTCATTCTCTGCTTTGCAGAAATCGAGGAGTGTGCCAGTCAGCCGTATCGCTACGGCGGATCGTGCGCGGACAACTTGGACGGCTACCTGTGTGAGAGCAACACAGGGTTTGGTGAAGGAATCTGTAATTTCGGTAAGATGATTTTGATGCTATAGTCTTAGAAGTTGGCAACAGTGCTCACCATCAGCGTGACCTATTTCTTATGTACAGATCGACACACTCGGCAAACCCCTGCAAGAAAGCACCACTCCCTGCTCAATACACGGTGTATTGAGCAGGGAGTGGTGCTTTCTTGCAGGTCTGCCGAGTGGAAGGTGCGACGTGCTCCTCGTGTGCTCTGGATGGCAGTCGTGAGTCAGTCAAGTGTCAAGTTCGGCAAGAAGCGTGTGTTCCTAGTTGGAACAATCAACTTCATGACTATTACCGCCGAAATCGCAACTTCTAAGTTCAGATCTACACAGTTTACAAAACTTTGACCTGTTTGTGGTATTCCTTTTTGCTTCATCAGCCATTATGCGATACCGTCACGACTGCTTTGGCAAGATGCAATCATTTTGAAGACTTTGAGTGTTGTCTTCACTCCTCCTGGCTGCCCGTCCTCGTGCAAAATAATTATACACAGCACGTCGTATTTGTGTGTGTGTGTGCGGGCGCCCACGTGTGTGACCGGGCATGTGCGTGCATGTGTGTATGTGGGCGTTCTCGTGTCTGTATGTGGTGAAATTGGACAAGAAATATTTGTTGGACAACATGTTATTGGATTGTGTCTAACTTTTCTCTTTCTAGGACCACCACTTATGGATCCAAACATACCATTTGAGGATCCCATGGCCCCAGAACTACCACCACCTCTACCAAATCCTCCACTTCCACCATTTGGTCCACTTCCACCACCACACATTCACACAACCCCCGTACTACCTCCTCCAATGCTTCCCGAGCTACCACCCCTCATTTTACCCGAACCACCACCCCCAGTTTCACCGGAATTGCCGCCACCTCCGCCCCCAATTGTATATGAATTCCCACCCCCAGTCCTACCAGAAATGCCACCAAACCCGCCAGATTATCCACATCCAAATCCACCAGATATGCCACACGGCCATCCACATCCACACGGCCATCCACATCCACACGGCCATCCACATTCACATCCAAATCCGCCACCTGTCATGTATCCTCCGCCGGGTGCGACGTCACCTCCCGTCATAACGGTGGTGGAAGTTGAGCGGGGCACGGGCTGGATACACTGGGGAATGGCTGTGATCGGCACGGATAATCAAGCCACCTTGCTTCTGGCCTTGGTCTTGCTGTTCTTGGTCGATCTCATCATCGTTCTCATTATCTACTTGTTTCTACAACGCCAGAAAGCTACGATCGCGGTTGAAGAACGTGAGTATGGGCATGCGGTCAACCCTGTGAATTCCAACCTTCAGTATAGCAAGTCTCAAGTAATGGTAAAATCGTAGTGCCTAGTGCCTTTCAACTTCAAAAATAACAATAACCACAGTCCATTCATCGCAAACTGGCCAGCTGGCTTTTGAAAGTCGGATTTGGGCCGAATTAAGGATAAAAAACCCACTTTAAATCTCAAAAATCTGGGTTTTGGATCTACTCCTCCATAAATTTTGCCATGGCATACCTGTCCTAATTTTGTAAAACATGGCTGAATCTGTTCTTGGACTTTTTCTGGCCTCAAATGTGGCAAGGAGTAAACGCACGGGTCACACAATGCAGGATGTACTGTTGTTTTCAAGATATCTACAACTATGTGAGAGAGACACCAAAAAGTTAGGGTGCCAGTTTCCAATGAATGGACTGTAGAGAAAGAAAGGGGACGGACATAATGGTACGAGTTATGACTACCTGTCCACCAAAGTGACCAGATCATAAAACATTCAGCAAGTCGCACTCGCAAATCGCACTCACGAGCCTCACTCGGAAATCGCACTCACGAGTCTCACTCGCAAATCGCACTCACGAGTCTCACTCGCAAATCGCACTCACGAGTCTCACTCGCAAATCGCACTCACGAGTCTCACTCGCAAATCGAACTCATGAGTCTCACTCGCAAATCACACTCACGAGTCTCACTCGCAAATCGCACTCACGAGTCTCACTCGCAAATCGAACTCACGAGTCATAACTCGCACCATTTTGTCCTTCTCCTTGTTTTATCCATGATTACATTGGCTCACCCTTCAAGTTCCACTGGTAAATGACGGAGCTTTTCCCGTGCACTATCTATAGGTCATTATTCTGAAATTTGACTGCATCAAGGAATTGGTACAGTCTGTACCAAGGAAATAAACCAAAATAATGTGCATCAATCCTGACAAAGACTGGATAAAAGTCAAAAGTCAGTGTTGTGTCATGACTGCGGTCAATCTGGCTGTGCTCTAGTACTGGTATGCCTAAGCCGTGTACAAGTCTTATGTGTGCCGTGCATGGAACGTAGCTGCTCTGTCAGCTTTTTATTCCTCTCCCTCTCTCTCTACATATATAGCCAGTTGTCTAAGGTCCTCAGGCTGTTTACAGTGCTCTATGTCCAGTGGACAGAGCCAGTAATACAAAGATCACACAGCAATGAAGCAAACAATTTTTTTGTCCGTCGTTACTCAGAGTTTCGTGCGAAACACTCATGACACAGATCTCTCTCTATATATTATTATTATTATTTGCATTTTTGCGTCATCGTCAATCAAATGATTGATGATTTCGCTTATGCTGAGTGGTGGTAAACAGAAATCAAATAGGCTGATGTCAAAGCAGAAAACAATATGAAGGACGGAAAAAGAACTATAATATTATATAATATACAAGTATACTCAATAGAGTCAATAATCAATCCTCATTTATACTATGCTTTCACTGTAGCACGAGATGTGCTGGAAATTGTTCCCGAGACACAAGACGCCGTCATGCAAAGTGAGTTTGACTTGAGAATGACCCGAGATGATCGCATATTTCTTGCTGGCGGGACCACACGCAGTTTGTCAGTCAACTCTTCATCATCGTCTGAATCATCTCCGGAGCGTGACATGACATCACTCGAGTCTGGCGTAGGTAAGTAGCATGGCCATGGGGGAGGGCGATTCCCCTAAGGGCCCGGTCCCACATGCACTTGAGAATTGCGGATCCGCTGCATGCAGCGGTGTCGCAACAGCGTGTATCACCATGGAAACTGCGAGTAGCGGAACTTCCGTCGTGGCGGAAAGTTCAAATCCGCTACTCCAAAATTTTTGGAGCGTACTCTCCTGCGGAAGTTCCGCTCCTGCGACACTCCGACATAGTGAGCGATTTGTGTTGTTCGATTTTATTTTCGATCATGAAGTGGACAGTTTGACTTTAGTCAGAGCAGCTACGGCTGCAGTTGTACATGTATGTTGAAGTCTAGACTCATTTGGCCACGGGATGAAGAGAGATACGGAGCGATAGGTGGATGCCGAGAAACTGAAACCGATGGCTGCGGCATCGACCAAAGACCAAATCCCGGACCCATGAGCCGCCAAGCATGGCCATCATGTAAAACTACGTAGGGGGACCAATGCAAAAAAAACAAAAAACAAAAAAAAAATTGAGCTTGAGAGCAGTTGAGTATTTCGGAGCTCCTGTGATGGAGACTGTAAACTGCCACTTTCCTTGTCGACGGAGCATCGAACACTTGGACATTGCCAAGGCCATAGCTTCCTCCGGATACGAGCTAACTCTGGTCATCCAGATCGATCTTTAGAGCCGGCCGGGGGTGTGTGTTCTCACCCTGTCCAATTTCGACATTAGAAATCGTCTCGTGGAGAGTGGACTGGAACTAAAAGGAGAGCGGGTGAGTGTCCTGCCGGGTGATGGCTCACTGTCTTCGTGTCATGTCCTTGTGTATGGCTGTGCACCCAATCTGCATGACGGTCACATTGCCTCAGCATTGGCTGAGTTTGGGCAACTTGTCGGGATAATTGAGAGAGAAAGCCTCACCCATGAGGGCGTAAAAATCCTCACGGGGACTCGACGTGCACTTGTGGTGCTCCAGAAACCCGTACCGTGCAAACTACGCATATCCCGTACATTACACCGCACGTACCACCGCGGGCAACAGCAGACCTGCTTTCGCTGTCATGCTTCTAATCACATGGCCAGAGACTGCCCGAAAAAGGCGACTGCAGCCAGCAGCACTGGGGCCCGATCGTACGCACATGCAGTTCACTCTGTCAGTATGAGCCAACAGCAACAGCAACACGATGCAGAATGCGTACAAGTAGACACCCAGCAGGACCAGGAGCGCCAGCAGCAGCCTTCGCCGCCTCCACAGCAGGAGCTGCAGCGTCAGCAGTCGCCTCCACAGGAGAACGGTGTCTCATCCCAGCAACCCCGTCCTGTAGGCACAACATTGCCGTCCAAAATACCTGTGCCCCATCCAGCGCGCCTGCAGGCCCCGGTCACGACACCCGTCATGCCTGCATTTCCCAAAGCACGTGGCAAAGCTGGCCACTCGTCTCCAGATGAGGCTGGTTTTGTCCTGGCAACAGGAAAACATACGTTCACTCCCAAAGTTCTGACCGGCACGCGTCCCCCATCCCCGGACCCTCAAGTCGCCTGGGCACACCAAGCCTCAGCGCGTGAGATGCAGCAAGTGGCTGATCGAGTGAACAGCCGCAGAAGCAGCCGCTAAGTAGATAAGTAAACTTTCTGTTTTGTGTTTGGTGCAGTCTTATGTCAGGATGCCCCCTTTCCTTCTCTAATATTACCACATTTACTCTTAATCCCAATGCCAATTCATTTTTCCCTCGCGCTATTGTGCAACCCCCCGCACCACAGCTGCGTCTACTGGGTGAGATTCGAGTCGGTTTCTTAAACATCTGCAGTCTTCGACACAAGGTTGCAGAGCTAGAAGACCTTATTAACCTGCATATGTGGGATGTAATTGCCCTTTGCGAGACGTGGTTGAACAGCACCATATCTGATAAGGAGATCCACATTCCTGGTTACTGTGTTGTCCGCTGCGACCGCTATGGCCGCCAGGGAGGAGGAGTATGCATTTTCTACAAATCAACGCTCCCTGTGTCTCACCGTCCTAATATCCACGTAGACGGCCTTGAAGGCACCTGGATTTCGGTAAACAGACGTGGTCGCCAGCATCTCATAGGCTGCATGTACCGCCCGCCCGACTCAACAGTCACCTATTGGGAAAGACTTGATGGAGCGCTTCATAAAGCAGCATTGTTGACACCATCTATGACTGTGCTTGGAGACTTCAATGTCGATGTCGGAGCCGGCACAACATCCCCGCACTATCAGCGCTTCTCAGATTTGGTAGCATCTTATGGCCTCAGAAACCTGGTCACAACTGCCACTAGGACCACACCCCAGTGCCCCAATGGCAAGATCATCGATTTGATCCTCACAAGTTGCGATGATGCCCGAAGTTGCGCCGTAGTGCCGTCTACCCTCAGCGACCATGATGCCGTTCAGGTCCTCTTGGGCCTGCACGTTCAAGTGCCCAGACAAGCATGTAACTCGAGGAAGCCATTCCGCAACGTACGTAGAATCCACATACCTGATTTCCGAGACGACCTTGATGCAGCACACCTTGATACCTGGCCCCCGGACACTACAGTTGATGACATGTGGTCAATTTGGCACTACAAACTCTTGGCGATCCTCGACAAGCATGCTCCTCTCCAGTGTTCTTCTGCCAAGCGGAAGCAGCTACCACCCTGGTCGGATCGGCACCTCTTCCAGCTCACCCAGCACAAGAATCGGCTGCATAGGCGGTGGCGGGGAGACAAAGCAAACGCTGCGCTCCACACTGCATTCAAGCGCGCCCGTGCGGAAGCTAGAAATGCATACCGACAGAAGCGAAACACTTACTTCCAGGGACAATGTACAGCAAACGCAGGAAACACCAAGAAGCTTTGGCGTACCATTAACAAAGTCACCTGTAGAGACCGTCCCCATGTTGAACCCTCTTGTACGATCGAAGATGTCGCCTCAGCCTTCCACAAGGTGGTTACTGATGACTGTCGACCGCAAACGTTGTCTGCTCCCCTCGGGCCTCCACCCCGCACTTCCCTCCCCAAGTTCTCACACGTCAGTATCGGTGCTGTTGAACGGCTACTCCAGCAAGTTAATCCCGCGAAGGCAACAGGCAGCGATGGCGTACCAGGGGCAGTCCTCAAACTCTGCTCTGACGTCTTGGCGCCGTCTGTCACTAGCCTGTTCAATGCCTCGCTGTCGTGCGGACATGTGCCCTCGGCGTTCAAGCTAGCTAATGTCATCCCACTGCATAAATCTGGTGATCCATCGCTGCCAACTAACTTCCGCCCTGTATCCCTTCTACCCATACTCTCCAAGCTGCTAGAGAAGTTGGTTCAGAAGGAGCTCATCACCTTCCTGGACATAACAGCATCGTTACCAACAACCCAGTTTGCGTTCAGGCGTGGCCACTCTACCGAAGACGCATTAGTCCTTATGTCAAACCGCATCCTGACAGCCAAGGATCAGGGCCTATTCACAGGTGTATGCCTGTTAGACATGTCCAAAGCCTTCGATAAAGTCCAACATGACAAGCTATTGCAGGATCTCCACAGTGTTGGGGTGTCCGGTACTGCCTTGGACTGGTTCGCCAGCTACCTATCCGGTCGCACTCAACGTGTCTGTCTGGGGTCGCGGACTAGCTCTATATCAGCTTGCACGAGTGGTGTCCCCCAAGGTTCGGTGCTGGGCCCCATTCTGTTCAGCCTTTACACCCGCGAGGTCCCCGCTGTAGTTGGCCGGTCCGAGTCAGTTCAATTCGCGGACGACATTGCGCTCGCGTGCAGCCGGCGAACAGCACAGGAGGTATCCGATGTCTTATCTGCTTCTGTTTCAATCCTTGCAGACTGGCTGAAGGATCGAGGCCTGATCCTCAATGCTGGCAAGAGCCAAGTCGTGCCAATTCCTGCCGGCCGTCAGCACACAGCGGATCTACAGGTCGTCTGCCATGACACTTCACTGCCTAGTGTGCCAAGTGCTCGTTATCTTGGCGCCACAATCGATTCCGGCATGTCCTGGCACGCCCACATTGCCAAATGTTCTGCACGCGTGTCGCAGAAGATCGGAGCACTCTGGCGAATGCGCCGCTGCCTGAATCACCAGTCACGCATGACCTACTTTAGATCGCTGATCATGTCTGACCTGCTGTATGCCTCAAACGCGTACTCTAGCTCACTGCAAAGAAGGTACCTCGACCGTCTACAGGTCCTGCAGAACAGCGGGGCTCGTGCTGTCTTTGGCCGCCCTCCGTGGTCGTCTGCCCGCGACCTGCTGGAGCGCATTGCAGTGTTCCGTGTGGCAGAAGTCTTCAATCAGAAGCTAGCATACCTGGTGTGGCCCTGTCGTTATGCACTGGCAAGTCCAGAGTTGCAAGCGCTGCTAACCCCCACTGCACCCGGCCCTACTCGGCTCCAATCTGCCATGGGCCTGTGCGTGCCAGTTTCCCGTTCGGTTGCGGGGCGGGGGCGCTTTGCTTGCAAGGGTGCTGTATTATGGAATGCCCTCCCTAGCGACATCCGTGCCATCCATCACGCTCGGCAGTTTCGCACGCAGGTAATCCCCTACACCTGCGCCCTGTAGATGTCGACAAGCGAAATCTGATTTTTTCTGTTCTCTTTCTGTTGTACCCGATCTCCCTCTGATGTACCGCTGACTCCACGTTGAAGATCAAAGTATTTGAATTCTCATTCTCATTATGATTTTCATATTCGCTTTCATGTTATTGGGTTCTATGCCCGTTTGAACTTGCGAATCAAAATAAATACAAACAAACAAACAAACAAACAATGTGATGTAGGTGTGGCAGGAGCGATACATGTACTACTATTACCAGTATCTGTAGCAGGTATCATTGGTTATCGTCGACGTGCTGCTCAACAAGTTCGTACTAGTATTCAGTAACAAAATGTTGCTGCGGTCTCCATTGCCTGTCGACAACGTCTCGCCAATCGACCTCTACCCTACGGAAAATCCATTCTTTCAGATTATACAGAACAAAGACTCAAAGTCAACAATACCGAACCCACGACATGTAGCTAATGCTTGATACTCAACAAAAACAACGATCTGTCCAACACCTAGTATCTACATCAACAGTACATCAGTGCTGCGTTGATGTGTCCACAAAGGACGAAACAGTTCTGTCCACAGACACAGTACAGCATACTGTACACCATCAGTACAGTACGTGCACGCGTACTTCGAAGTGAAAGCATGCTTGAGTTGCAGGAGAGCTGCTGCACTGAATTTTTTGGAAGTCAGAGCTAGAGAGGCGTGCTTGCTTCGTTCGCGCGCCGTGCACGCGTGAGCATGTGAGACCACGCGAGCATTTTGTCGCAGGAGAGGTGCGACACCACTCCCACAAAACCTTGTCGCACCAGCGGATCCGCCACTGCATGAGGGACCGGGCCCTAACAGTAACACCATGCAACGTTGAACTCGGATGCTTATGTTGATGTTGATCTGTTTACATTGGTGGACAGTTGGTCATAACTCGTAACATTTTTTCTTTCTCCTTGTTCATCATGCAAAGTGAACGTTTATTTGTTCTCCCTCTACACAATCTCCTATGCGCCGCATTATCTACAGCACAACCTGTAACTAAAGACCACCATGACTAGCGACCAGCCTGGTACTACAGACCACTCCGCCAGCCATAGACCGTCTCACATTCATATTAATTTGGTTCTGTGGTGCAAACCTCTAACTAAGGACCACCTGCCACTAAAGACCTCTTTCTCTGGCTCCAAGGGGTGGACGTTAGTCACAGGTTTTGCTGTACATGATCACAGGTCCTACTACAGTACCCTGTCTCCTTTTGTCATCATTCTCTCGAATCTCTTCATGTGTTCTTTTTCTCTATACCCGCTACGCCTTGGTGTGTGCAGTAGGTGTCGAGGACATCACGGGAAAACGTGTAGATTTCGTCGAATATGAGGATCCCAACGATTATAGTGAATCAGCAATTATGTAAGCAAACTTCCAAGGTAGGGCAAATTCGTGTATGTTCGGGGATGCAACATTATTTTGATATCCCTGGGTCATGTTTTGTGGCGACTCTTTAGTTTTTTAGTGAAATTCTTTTGGAAATGCGTTGATTGTACTTTAGGCTAAGTTTAGCCCCGCTGGTGCTCACTGAGTGCACCAAAGTGGTCGCCCGCTGATGCGAATGCGTGTGCTTCATGTATTTATTATTCCTTTTTTTTTTTTACACTCTTACCATATGCAGATTGAACACGAGCGAGAATCGCCCCCTGCCTACTGAACCAAACTGATCTCGGGCATCGGTTGTGTGGCACATCTACTAACCCAAACTTCACCACCAGCAAGCACTATCTGCACTAAAAACACCATGCCAATTGAATTCAAACTAACCGAATGAAAAATGCAGGAGGGACTATACTGTCATACCCACGCAAACGTATTGCAGCCCACGCACTATGAATCCAATTATTTCGAAGCCTGCAAGAACTGTTATTCACCAGTGTCTAGTTTCAACCACCACTAGCGCGGAGCAAGCTGTCAACAACTCCCCCTCCCTATGTGTCCCAATGCAATTACCATTATTAATTTTGTAGAATCTGATTGCAGTCTTTCTCCTTATGCTGGTATATGCTTTGTGGATAGACGGAGACCAAGAAGTTAGTATTGATTTGGATTGTGCGCAATGACCTTCGCATGGGAGCATGAACCGCATACTTGCTTTGTTGGTGCGGTAATGAATGTAATAGGGCCGGGTTGTGTGGTCCATACGGGTGTGTTCGATTTAGACAATCTACATGTACGTATCCTGATGGTTCTGGTTGGGTAGGTTTGAGGGATGATAGTGACCCTCAATTAGAATAAGTGAATCTTGAAGACATGATGGTCTATTAGATAAGGTTTTCTTGGCCCACATATTTGTACTTCTTTGAAGTATCTCCAATAGCAATTGTCCGTTGAATGGTTGTCAGGCCATAAAACTCCGATTAGCCCTTACTTCCTCGGTTCACGTCTTGTGTACTTATATATCTCCACTACAGCAGTACAGGCATTGAGCATTCTGCATACTAGAAGGGCACACTGCCCCTGTGTATCTCCAATACTAAATTTAATAATGGCAGCCGTTCCTTGGTTCACTCTGAAGTTGGGGCATATTCAACAATTCCAATGGTAGTGCGACGAGAAAGTTTCGCAAGAGACCGCATCAAAATGTCATACTTGTAGTATTGAGAGATTTAGATTACCTACCCTGAAAACTGACTAGCAAGATTCCTAATGTTTTGCACATGAGCTGCCAAGCGCGAGTACAGTACACAGCCAAAATACGCTAGTAATCAGTTAGCAATGGAACTTCAGCTGACACCGCTCAACGTTGCCCACGGAGTTCAAAACCCATGTATTATTAATGTGCCTCCCTTTCTTTTTCTCTCCCTACCTCCTTTCCCTCTCTGACAGCATCTTTCTTTTTTTTTCCCCTTTTTAGCTTGCCGTGGTTGGCTATCACCTGACCTCTCATGTTTATTGGCAGTCTTCGGACGGGCCAGGAGATGTTGAATAAATAAATAAATAAATAAATAAAACAGTATCATGGCCGATTTCCCTTCAGTAGAATGATATTTTCGCCGAATCTCTCCAAGTGATTCACTAGCCACTAGTACTGCATCAATGGTGCAGGTCTGGGGATTGATATAAAAATTGACTTGTCGAATGGTCTAATGATTCGGCAAGCATGCACAAATCGCAATGGACAAAGTGCTAGTTCAAAGTATGTCAGATATCATTGTTGTCACTTGGAGGTTCATTCGCAGAGCGAACCATTGAGAAACATGTTCACATTCATTACTTCTAAAAGCACGAAGACACCCTATCGGCCATCGGTATGGGTATATAGCCACCGCCATTGTTGCGTTCTAGTTCACTGACGATCGCCAATGCCCTATAACTGCCGATGGGCCTTTGCACTGCAAACCGCCTGTGACCAACGAGTGCGCGGTGTGGCCAACATACTTACATTGTACATGCCATGTACTTCGAGTGCTTGTGTTATGATCACTGTTCTGAGACTGAGTGAAGATGAGATGCGGGTGAGTATTTATTGGGTGTGATGAATTTCTTCCCCCCCCCCCCTCACAACTCGTAGTCGTATGTGGTCATTGCCCTTTGTGAGTATATGCGTTTTGTGGTCTCCTAAAAGAATATACTTCTGAAGTGCATGTACCTCTCGTGATTGAACATACAACTCCCCCCCCCCCCCATTGTGGTCTCCTGATAGCCCCCTCCCCCCTCCCCCCATTCACAGTATTTGGGGTGTCACTTTCATCGGAGATTCACTACCCTCCATACGTGGTCCCTTAGACCTTTAGAGTGTGTCCTGTAGGAGATTGTTGGTTTCGTAGAAGAATCTCTTCCCTCTCCCCCCCCCCCCTCCCCCACCACCACCACCAACCCTGCCTTGCAAGCATTCTCTATAGTACCCGGACAGTAGTATCTTTGCTCCAATCGCATCCCTGGTGTTTTCACGTCTACGTGACTCTAACGGCACCGCCGCCTGGTGAAGTGCGGGTCAGTGCGCCGTCGGTGAAATCTGCAGAGTGGCCTTGCTTACCGACACATGCAACGCGGGGTGCTGCAGAGATGCTTCCACGAGGAGAGTCGCGGAGGTATTTTACGACTACCTGGATCCAAGCGGAGCGTTGCACACCACTAAACAAGGCCTACAGGATACAACACGAAATCATGTACAGATCGAGTAGCTACGTTGAGTGTATGCTTGTTAGCAATAGTAACCTATGTGTGGCTATGATGCCCAATACTAGTATTAGCCAGTGCCAAATGTATACAGATGCTGCACAGTAGCTTAGTAATAATCAATCATGTAGTTGCCCTTGTGGCTTACATCCGGGTGAGTCAGCACCAGAACTAGTTGCTACAGAAGTCATAACGGTGCGCGGTAGACGGGACCACTTAAACTTGTCTTTGTCGTTGGGTCATGACTCATGGACGCCATGTTTACCTGACTTCCCAGCCATATCGCGTACGTATTATGAAAGACAGTTGCTTCGAGGGACACTACTATACATGTACAGTGCACATGATGTGTATGACTGTACATCTATCTGCCTAGCCTAAAGTCCCAACGTTACGTCATGTACAATGCAAGCCTGCTGTCACCTGTGTGTCCGCAAACGTCTTGGGATAGTGTACGATGCAAAGCTGTAGGCACCCTGGAGGCTGAAGAAGGAGTACATGGCAGATATTGGGCGTACGCTGTAGGTGTTTGTGACAAAACCACTTGGGAGTCCCTTGCTCTAGTAAGAACCGTTAAACGGTATGTGTTTTGTTCGGCGCTGGACGCCACGAACATCGACATGAATTCACTGTTATAGGGAATGTTGAAAAAATGTTGTCAGAACTGGTAACAGAAATGTTTTGGGCATGCAGTGGCCTGCCGATAGGTCCGTGTGTACCTCGTTAGTGTTGCGCATTGTTAGCAGAGCCCAGTCTGTAGAACAGAGCTGGGGCAGACGACCTGGCAGCTGTCAAGACGACAACCATCCCAGGCATGCACTTCCTGTCTGCTGCGCCCCAACAGGCCTGAGCTGCAGCCTCCCTCACTTATGCACAGGAGAACCGAACATGTCCTGAGATACTGTAGGATGATGATAATATTTATACTTCATGATGACGTGTGTGGTAGCAGCACCTTCGCAGCCCTCTGGACACAGTGTAGTGTACCATGCCCAACGTATTGGAACCATGATAGCTGTGGTCACCAAGGTCCATAGCCGTGGGGAATGTACACGAACATGAACACTGTACACGATGTGGCAATTTTGTCGCTGGGATTATGCTTCATGCTGTACACGAACGCCTGCTCCCCTATCGTCCAGGCTTTCTAGACGTCACAAGCCAGCTTGAAAGCAACAACGGTCAAGCTGAAGGCACCAGGAACTACAGTGCATGTCGTGAGAGCAAAACCGTCCTAATGTGCAAGTACATCTGTAGTCATGTACCCAAATACAGAGATGAATGATGGTGGCTAACGAACTTGAGCTTTAGTACGTACATGTACATGTACTTGGTAAGCGAAACATCTCAATCCACCTGACCAAAGTATACGTCCCACATGGTGGGTATTGTGCAGTCTCACATGGTGGGTATTGTGCAGTCCCGCATGTAGTACGTCCTTTACTGTTTCCTTGATCCCACGCCCACGCAACACAGACTGGAAGATGTCGCCGGCGCCCGAGCAGCTACGAGGCAAGTCTGAGCACGTCGGTTATGGCCTACACGAGTGTTTCACCAGCCCCCAGGCGATAGTAAGGCTTAGACGTCCACCATGATAGACACTTGCACTAAAAAGTCGTCGTAACATGTGCTAGCAATACTAGTACTAGCTTTGTTAGACATTCATTCCAAGTGATAGAGTTAGATACTCAAGGTCAAAATATCACTATTGAATCACGGCATTAGCCCAGCACGGATGACTTGAAAGCGGCTGATGAAAAGCTCCAATCCAGGAAGTAGTCCTTAGAGTGCAGCTACCCAGAGTGACTGTTGTGCAGTGCGTGTCGTGCATCACTTCGACATGCACATGTAGCTGCCCAAACTGGCCAGGAATGCTGGCCACAGCACCAGAAAAAGATCTAAAACTTCCGGGTCGCATTGGAAAGTCTACGCTGGATCTAGAGTCTTGTGGGCAGGCTGAGTTCATGATCTCACCGCACACAAAATAGTGGTTTCTGGTGGTCAACGATAATAGCTCGGAAAACTACCAGTTAATATTGCTACACGGGCCTCAAGACGCTGCGTACCTGCAGGTATGTTTCGCGTCAGAAACTCCCTTTCGGGCTTGCTGCCCATTTATGGGGAATTTTGGTGGTCCCGCATGACCGACCAAACGCCTCCCTCGTGCCCAGATGAGCAGATAAGCATGACCGTGGCCGTGGTGTTCTGTGAGCATGGTCATGTGAGTCTACATGGCACGTAGATAATGTAAGGTCGACAGCGAATGGGCACCTGGCCGATGACGCCTTGGCGGGGCCTGGACGAACATGGAGTTACGGTTTGACATTATCTGTGTGACTGTGTCATCTGTTTAAGACTGTTGGCGGGATCTTTGCTATCATTACAACTACGCACGTACAGTATAGTGTACATTTACTTTTACCAGACAGGCTGACTTCACCACACCAAGGCAAAACAATAGAGACCCAAAGTATTTCCAGTACTCTGATAAAATACTCAGTAGACGAGACACGTTGCCTTCAGCTACATGTACAACTTTCTTTTAAAAAGCTATATGTATATGCATGCATAGTAGCAATCCCAACTCCAGCACTGCGCGAGTACATGCTCCACTGTACATACCCATGTATTTAAAACGTGTTTGACAAAAAGGCACAGTAGGTATTGTTGCTGAGGTAATACACCTGGTGGATAGACAACACAACTTACGAGTACCTTATCTGTACTTTGTTAGCCACGACAACGGGTGCAATCTACTATATAATCATTAATTTTTTTACAGACTGTGTTTACGCCCATCTAGCCATGATGGTGCTACTGTAAAACTCTAATGTGTTTTTTTATCACATTGCACATACATTGTACATTGTACCTACGGGAGAAGGGGAAACAAAACGAAGACAAAACAAACAACAACAATGGGTGTGCACTGTGTAGGCGCTACATGAGCTGTGAGATGCGGTGGATTCCCCCGACCAAGGGTCTTGGGATCGGCGTACGCAGCAAGCACCATTGGTGGGGGGGGGGGAGGGGAGAGGAATGACGGGGAGGGAGGAAGAGAGAGAGAGAGAGAGAGTGTGTGTGTGCAAATAGTTGGGGTTATTTATAGCACTACAATACACATGTAGATCTGGTTCAATTGATGGATTGCTCCTCATTGCATTATCCATTGGTAGAGCCAAATCTTTACCTTTAACCTTTCGGGAATTGGCTCAACAGCCGAGATGTATACGTACATATCCACCATTCCCTCCACAGTGGAACTCCGAATAAGCTGTTCCCAAACTATTGACAAATGAAACAAAATCATTTTTCTGTTCTATTCAGCTCTCTATCATCTATGTTCCACGCGAAACGACGATCGCCTTTCGGCAAG